CCCCCCCGTCGCTGATACTTGCAGCTGACTAATTCGATCTCAGAAAGTGGTTGGTAACGAATTCTTGATCAATTTGATCGATTCGCCTGGTCACGTCGACTTCTCCTCCGAGGTCACGGCCGCTCTCCGAGTTACCGATGGTGCCTTGGTGGTTGTCGACACAATCGAAGGTGTCTGCGTCCAGACCGAGACTGTGCTCCGACAGGCTCTGGGTGAGCGTATCAAGCCCGTTGTCATTATCAACAAGGTCGACCGTGCTCTCCTTGAGTTGCAACTCCAGAAGGAAGATCTCTACCAGTCCTTCCTTCGTACAATCGAATCCGTCAATGTCATCATTTCCACCTACCTCGATAAGGCCCTTGGTGACGTCCAGGTCTTCCCCGAGAAGGGTACCGTCGCGTTCGGTTCCGGGCTTCACGGCTGGGCATTTACCGTGCGACAATTCGCGATCCGATACGCCAAGAAATTCGGTGTGGACAAGAACAAGATGATGGAACGTCTTTGGGGTGACAACTACTTCAACCCTAAGACCAAGAAATGGACCAAGACTGCCGAACACGAGGGTAAGAACCTTGAGCGTGCTTTCAACCAGTTCATCCTCGATCCCATCTTCAAGATCTTCGATGCTTTCCAAAAGGGAAAGGTTGACCAGCTCGTTGACCTGTGCGCCAAGCTCGAGATCAAGATTACCAGCGAAGAAAAGGAACTTCCTGGCAAGGGTCTTCTCAAGGCTGCCATGAGGAAGTTCTTGCCCGCTGCTGATGCTCTCCTGGAAATGATGGTTATCCATCTGCCATCTCCTGTCACCGCCCAGAAATACCGAGCCGAGACTTTGTATGAGGGTCCAGCTGACGACCCATCCTGCATTGCCATCCGCGACTGCGATCCTCATGCCGATCTCATGCTCTACGTCTCCAAAATGGTGCCAACTTCTGATAAGGGTCGTTTCTATGCCTTCGGTCGTGTTTTCGCCGGTACCGTCCGATCCGGCATGAAGGTTCGCATTCAAGGCCCCAACTACGTTCCTGGCAAGAAGGAAGATTTGTTCGTCAAGTCCATCCAACGCACTGTGCTGATGATGGGTCGTACCGTCGAACCTATCGATGATATGCCAGCCGGTAACATCATTGGTCTGGTTGGTATCGATCAGTTCTTGCTCAAGTCTGGTACTCTCACCACCTCGGAAACCGCCCACAACTTGAAGGTCATGAAGTTCTCGGTTTCTCCCGTCGTGCGACGATCGGTCGAAGTCAAGAACGCCAACGACTTGCCCAAACTCGTTGAAGGTCTCAAGCGATTGTCCAAGTCTGATCCTTGCGTCTTGACCCAAATCTCGGAGTCCGGTGAGCACATTGTTGCTGGCGCTGGTGAGCTCCACTTGGAAATTTGCTTGAAGGATTTGGAAGAAGATCACGCCGGTGTCCCTCTCAAGATCAGCGACCCAGTCGTCTCGTACCGTGAGACTGTTGGCGCCACCTCCAGCATGACTGCTCTGTCCAAGTCACCCAACAAGCACAACCGTCTTTATGTTGTCGCCGAACCTCTTGGCGAGGAGGTCTCTAAGGACATTGAGAACGGCAAGATCACGCCTCGCGACGATTTCAAGGCTCGTGCCCGTATCCTTGCCGATGAGCACGGTTGGGACGTTACCGATGCTCGTAAGATCTGGGCATTCGGTCCTGATACCACTGGTGCCAACCTGTTGGTTGACCAGACCAAGGCCGTGCAGTACCTCAACGAAATCAAGGATTCTTTCGTGTCCGGTTTCCAGTGGGCGACTCGTGAAGGTCCCATTGCCGAAGAAGCCATGCGATCCATCCGCTTCAACATCATGGATGTGACCCTCCACGCTGATGCCATTCACCGTGGTGGTGGCCAGATCATCCCCACTGCTCGACGTGTGCTCTATGCCGCCACCCTGCTTGCTGAGCCAGGTCTCCTCGAGCCCGTCTACCTGGTCGAGATTCAAGTTCCGGAACAAGCCATGGGTGGTATCTACGGTGTCCTTACCCGCAGAAGAGGTCACGTCTTCTCCGAGGAGCAGCGTGTTGGAACCCCACTTTTCACCGTCAAGGCATACCTTCCCGTCCTGGAGTCGTTCGGTTTCAATGCAGATCTGCGCGCTGCCACTGGTGGTCAAGCCTTCCCTCAATCCGTCTTCGATCACTGGCAAATCCTCCCTGGTGGTTCGCCACTTGACGCCACTACCATGGTTGGTAAGATTGTTACGGAAATGCGTAAGAGAAAGGGTCTCAAGGAGAACGTTCCGGGCTATGACAACTACTATGGTGAGTTTTTTGTTTCTTGTCAAGTATTCGACAACGGCTAACAGTGAAAACAGACAAGTTGTAGAGCACTCGGCGTGAAGGCATTAATAGACAAGACCATGACTTTACGATTGCATACATGAGTTTATGGTCCTGAAGCATTGCATGACGACAACCTCTAAAAGCATAGTTGCACGCAATGAGATGCTTGAGGTGGGAAGCTGGAACCACGAAGCAGCCAAGAAGTCAAGCGGATGAAATGGATGTGAAATGAGGATAGATGATGGGCGCGTCAATCTCGATCCTCATGGGCAAGGTTTTACCCTCAATGTCTATTCCCTGCGATGTGGATAGATAAATGTGTTGCAGTGATAGAAAAACTTGCTGCAGGTAGAACACAATGAATGCGTTTGACGAAGTCGACAATTGAACTGTTTGCTTTGGATTCCTTGGAGGCTGTCCTCGAAGAAGTGGGATTGGCATCTTGAAAGGTAGGTGGCCAAGCTGGCAAGGGACAACGGAGACTCGCGAGGTTGAGAGTACGATTTGTTGTGAGTGCTTTGCTGCTCGTCTCTCTGGGTGATCAAATATCCCTTGATGCACCTACCTTTACTTACTCCATGGCGCTGCTTAGTATTGTTCTTTGCTGACAATAGGCACATTCCTTCGTTTGCGCATCACACAAGGGGAACATCCACCTGGCTGGCATGAGCCATGTCAACTAACCCACCAACAGCTCCGGGTCTGGTTCTTCGTGCCGTTACTCACCCAGCTTCCTACGTCTGTCTATGCTCACTAGCCGGTCCTGAACCATTGGCAGAGAATTTTTCTTTTCCTGGAAGAAACTCGGGGATACAAAGCACGAAACACTACCACCAGCAACTCAGCTACCTGGCGGAATGGGCGACAAACACGGCAACCCCAAGAAGATCGAGAACTTTGCCAGCGTCGTCGGCGCCTTTGCCTCCCACTACGGCAAGAATGACGATCAGACCACGGTGACTGAGGAAGAGCGGAAGAAGAGACAGGAAAAGGCGGCAGAGGTTGCTGATTCGTGAGTACCTAGCACTGTATACCTTCCAGCATAAATGAAACCAGTCATTGCCCCAAACGGTCGACCAAAATCTACACGGATCACTTGACCCAAAATCACCAAAAAAAATATCCCATATTAACCGTGTGAAACTATTTTTTTTTTCGATAGATACTACAACTTCGCCTCCGCGGCCTACGAGACCGGCTGGTCCACCCACTTCCACTACACGCCCTTCCCTCCCTCGTTCCCACCCAGCGACAGCACCATCGCGACCGCATTGGCCTTTTACGAACACCGCTTCGCACTCCTCATGAACTTGAAGCCCAACATGAAAGTCCTCGACGTGGGCTGCGGGATCGGCGGGCCCGCGCGGGAGATTGCCAAACTGGTCGGATGCGAGATTGTTGGGATCAGTATCAACCAGGCGCAGATTGATCGCGCCATCTACTTGACCGCGCTGGAGGGGTTACAGGGGAAATGCACGTTTGTGAGGGGGGATTTTCTTGTAAGTTGAACAATTAATACCTGGGTGGTTTTTTCCCCATCGCTATATATCATGCCCCTTGGGCCCCTTCTCTTTTTTTATGTTATCCCGACCTAGGTATCCAACCCTCTGAGATATGTGATAACGTCCCCTCCTTCCGTGAAACTTGGGCGAAACGAGGGGGAAAACGAACAAACGGGAAAAGAACGAAAAGGGAAACCCTGTTTTATATATCATGAAACCAAAGCTAAATATTAGGGATAGAACCTCCCCTTTGCGGCATCGTCCTTCGACGCCGCCTACTCAATCGAAGCCACCGTGCATTCGCCCTCCCTATGCCGCGTCTACAGCAACATCTCCCGCGTTCTCAAACCCGGCGCCATCTTCGGCCTGTCCGAGTGGGTGTTGACGCCCAAATACAACCCGCACAACCCCAAACATGTGGGGATCAGGAATAGGCTGGAGAGAGGCAACGCGCTGAGTAATTTGCATACGAGCGAGCAGGCGAGAGACGCTCTGAAAGGGGCGGGGTTTGAAGTGGAGTATGAGGAGGATTTTGCAGCTCACTTTGACTACGTCAAGAAACTGGGGGATGACAATGTCGTGGCGGAGGCAGCGAGGAAGAAGGCAGAGAAAGGGAAGAGGCAGAAGAATAGGGGAAGTGGAAGTGGAAGTGATATGGAAATGGAAGGACAAGAACCCACCACCACAACCGCAGCAGGACAGGATCCTCCTCCTCCTCCGTTTGAGCATCAATCCCCCGTCCTCGTCCCCTTCAAATCCTCTTCCCCCTCCTCCTCCTCGTCCCCTGACCTCCGCCCCGCCCCTCCCCCCTCGACCCCCCTGCCCCATCCCATGCCCATCCCCGCCACGCTCTACCGACACTGGTCCTTCCCCTTCATTCCGGGCTCCACATCGCTCGCCACAACCTGGACCGACTGGTGGACGTGCTTCAAGATGACCAAGTTCGCCCGACGCGTGTGCTACGGCATGGTGTGGGTGGGAGAGCGCGTCGGGATATGGGACAAGGGCGTCACGGACGCGATGGTCACGCTGGCGTATTGTGTGGACAGCACGGCCGAGGCGGCCGGGGAGGAGACTTTTAGTCCGTGTTGGTGGTTCATTGGGCGGAAGGTGGGAGACGTAGAAGATGAGGATGGCGGCAAGTCTGCGGAATCGGATCGCGATGGGCAACTCCCGGACAACTTTGGTGGAGATGGGACTGGACAAAGGAGGGAGGACTTGAGTGTCCTTATGTATTGATGAGCTGCATTGGGTGCATGGGAGGGGGCTTCGTGACACTTATCATGGGGTCCATCATGGGATGCATTTGCAATGGCGATCAGTATAAGTCCTTGAAATAGCAAGCGAGTTGTGTGCATGTTGCACAAGGACTCCTTCACCGAGTATGGCATTCAGAGATATCAAATGCATCAGCCTCATCTCTCCTGGCTCTACCAATACCCCGAAATCTGCTCGATACAGAGGACAATGTAAACTTGCCCTGACTATTCCGTCGTAGTATCCTTGATTTCCAGCGAGAGTGATGTCGAGCAATCCTAGACCCCCATAGCATACGCAAACAAATCCGTGACATCTGGTAGCAATCTCCACTGCACAACTCTTTTCCGACCATTTGCCTTAATAAGTCTTCCGCACCATGAGCCGTACTAGCCACAGAAATGCCGCCCTGAAATTATTGACTTTATTTCCCCAACTTGCCAGCAAGCTTTGGAAGTCGGCTCGGGAGTCGAAGTCGACATGCGTCAACCACTGCCTGGAAACGAGTAGTAAACCTCGACTTGGAACTGTTCTGAGCGAATCCGGCTTTGACAAATTTGGCCCATGTGTTGGTCAGGACCAACTCTTTGATGCTGAGCTCAGCCTTGTCGAAAATTGTCTCATCGAAAGCGTCGGGAATGCCGATATTAGCGGGCAGTCTCTCGCCGAAATTGGTCATCTTCAACTGCTGCAGTTGAAGTGATTCACTGTTGTCGCGTGGCAACTCGTCTCTTCCACCTTCTCCCACGACGGTCGACACGACAGACAGTTGATCTTTTCCGATCTGGCTTTCCAGATCCTCTGAGATCGTGGATGACCAATAGTTTTCGAATGGCGTGGCGGCATTGGACGTTGGTTCTGCGCATACTAGGGCCGCATATTGCTCAAAGATGGCTTCGAGGTCTCTGAGATGAGCTGAAGAGATGTTTATCGGAAACTCGGAGTATTTCAAGCTCACAAACGAAGCATAAATTCCCACCGCTTGTTGAAACTGTCGTCGGATCAGGTCCTGATCTTGCGTCCTGGAATGTCCATGCTTGCGCAGCACCCCAGATCTGGGAGACCCAGACACCCAGGCAGCCTTCCAATCTCGGACATGAATGAGAAAGCTGATGTTTTCTCCTGAGAAGTCCTTCAACGCGGAGAACATGAGGAGAGGAGTAGGATTCAGTTTGAGAGTCTTCTCGAGGGCGCTCATGGTGTACATCTCTCCTTGACGGGCGCTTGTGGTGCTCTTAACAGACTGGCGTGTAGAATTCCGTGCTCGAACTGCGGCTTTCGTGGACCCTGCGTTCAATGAACCGTTGAATTGCTGCTTCTCTTCCCACTCGGCAATGATCTCGCGTGTTTCAGTCTCGAGCTTTCTGTTTTTGAATATCTGAAAGAAAGGGACAAATATGACTGAGGCCTGCATGATGACAATAGAAGGCGAAAACCTAATAGAGTGAGTGACAGTCCATGTCAATACGACAATAGGGGCGGATCTCACCATAAAGGAGGAACAAAGTACTTGTCAACAGTTGTTTGTAAGGGCCCAGCATACAACGCGACTAACCACATGGGTGAGGCAGGTAACCTGATGTTGTCAATATCAATACAGGCACGTGATAGATGTTTTCAGTGAACACTCACCCAGCAACAATGCAGGCGATGGTTTGCGACCGCCATCCGTGAACGTCATGGATATTCCGAACTCGCCAGAGAAGGACAGGAGCATACACCCAGGACCAGAAGATTTGCCACATGATCGAGGGCCACCTGAGCAGTGTTAGATCTTCAAGTTGGTGTGATGAGTATCGCCTTACCATTCCCATCCACGTCGGCAACGTGATCTTGTGGTCACATCTCCTGTGACGCCGAATCCCGGGTGAAATTTACGGGAAGCAAGAAAGATTATGAGGGCGATGACAACCTGAGGGGGTTAATGGCAGCATACCTGCTTGAGTGAAGATTACTCACCTGGACGATCATGCCGATTCCAATCCATGCCATGGTATTCTTTGTAGCGTTGTATGTCTTGAGTTTGTGCCACCACTTGCGCCACACTGAAGTCTTCGTGTCTGTGATTGAATTGGATTCGACCAGAACATCTCCGTGCGCATATCTCTTCTGCGCCGTTGCAACAGAGAGCAATTGAGAGTTTGTTGCTTGAAAGAGAGCAATGCCTAGTGGCAGGTAGATACTCATGATCCAGTATTCGGTAGCACAGGGAAAGTACCCATTGAGAACATAGGCGATCATACACAGGACCCAGTACACATGGAGAGTCGCCACGGCACTGACTGCCAGAGGGATGTTTCGAATGCGTAGGTACGGCAGGTGTCGATTGCGCAGGAGAAAGACCGCGGCAGGGAGCAAGAGGCAAGTCCACGCGATGACGAGTCCAATGTAAGTGATTCCGAGCCCATCAGTGTTGATTCTCAGCGCCATGTCGTAGCCATTAGCATAGGGATTCTGAGGTTGAGTCGACGCGGCAATTGTACCTCGATCAGGACTATTAAGATCCCGTGGCATGGAGCCTGCACATGGAGAAGTAGCTGAAGCCATCCGTACCAGCGGATAGCGTGTTCAATTAGGGGGTCTGGAATAAGCCAATGCGTTGATGTCGATATGACGGTGAGAGCTTGGAAGGAGAAGATGGAGATGCTGGACAGAGGAGTGAAGTAAGACGAGCGCGTGTCGACGCAGGTCGGCAGTGTGCGTTGCCTTGATCTCGGCGCAGTGAAAGCAGCAGGTGAATTACTGCAGTGGGAGTGATATGACGTGAAGGTGTGTGCTGTACCAGGCGACAGGTGACGCAGACGAAAGAGATATCGACAGGAAGGCAGGGGGAGGACAAGATGAACACAGTCAGTCACAGACTAGACACGAAAGTGAAGCTGAGATGAGATACACGGTATGGAGGAGATGAGTTCTTCTCTTTCTCTCTTTTTCTTTGCTCTTCCCGTTAGTTGACACTTGACCGTCACCTTCAGCTCACAAGGCTTCGTGTGCCTCTCGATCGCCCACCATCGTTACTTTGGGTGCGGCACGCGATAGGTTTTATGTACTGTTTCACACGCCGTGCACTTGCCTTCAGATTTGTCGCCGCACCCACCCAACAGATTGTTTGTCCCTGAGGAGCATCCGAGCGCAGGCTCTCACATGGCAGAACACCAGTTCCTCCTCGCCCTCATCCGCGGACTGGCCCGAACAAAAACTGTCACCGTTCTGGTGGAGGATCATGATGAAGAGGACGAGGCACGGAGGTCAAGTTACATCCCCTACATCCCCATGCGAGCCTTGCAGGACGCGGCATCGGGTCGCCTTGAAAGTTGGGGCTGGTGGGCCTTGGCCAGCAGGAATCAAAGAAAATTGCCCTCATGTGGAGCTAGAGAACCCCAGTCAACTTCCAAACATCCTTCCATGCTGATGCCCCTGTCAGCTCTTCCGTTCAACCTTGTGATGAAGCCCGTTGAACGTCCCTTAATTCTTGCCCCAGTCAGCTACAAAACACGACACAACACACGCCATCAAGCTGATCACGGACAGTTGCCACTCCACTCCCCGTCGCTCCCGTAGCCGAGTCAGTCAATTTAGCGACAACATGAATGCCTCAGTAGTTCACGAACACTCCAGTGTTGTTTGAGCCCTGGGCTAGAATCTCCTCAAGCGGACACTGAGATATTGACAGACGCACTACGTGTTTCTCGAACTTGCAGATCAGGATTGCCCCACTAACAGTCGGAGAGGATATGGAAGGATCCTCTTCACCATGGTTGCACAAAGGGTGAGCTTGCACCAATTCTCGATGCGGCTGTGATACTCTGACAATCCGAGAAACGTTCGATCAAGGAACACATCACCCACCGTGGCCGAGCACTGAACACAGAGCAATTCCAGTGACACTGACATCCAGCTCGTGCAACTAGGTGCCTAGGTAATCAATGCCGGGCTACGCAGAATGTTCGCAATCTACTCGTCTAAACGCCCTACCGATAGACTGGCTACCCTTGGAAAGATGAGGAGCGATGACAGCAGTACGTAGCATTAGAGTCAGGGTAAACGCTTTGGGAAGACAACTCAGGTCATCGATTGTAAGGTTTCGAGGCGGGATACTGTGGGCATGCTTGTCGGACACAGTGGCGCAATTCGAGAGGTAGTGAGCAGATGGGCAACACGAGTTGGCTCGTTCCTGACCAGAGGTATTCTCTCGTTCAGGCGATCGTAACTCAAGCGATCGGCAAGGTGCAAATGTAACGGAAGACTGCAGAAATGACGCAGCGTGGTGACATGAACACAGAACACTTGCCGTCGGAGAAAGCGAGCAGAGCAGAATCGAACAGGCCAGGGCGGCACCATGAGAGTTTATTGCGGCGGCCGCCTGAGAAGGGCATTGCCATTAGAGCAAATCAAAGTCACAATTCTCTCCTGGTACACGGTCAGTAATGAACTTGCAGAGTGCGATTGAACATTAATGGCTGTCAAGTATCCTCAGAGATCTTGGTGAAAAGGGTACGATCATGTCAATGTTGATCAGTTACTATCTAGTGCAAAGGGTGTAATCATCGGAGGCATCCAAGAAGGGACAAACGACATACCTTCGAACAGGGCTTGCATGCCAGCGGCGAAGACACTGGAAGAGTTCAAGAAACAGAGTCATTCATCACTGGTAGCTGAAGGATCTCGAGTAGGCGGCGGTAAGCACGTGGACGCAGCAAAATTCAAAAACAACTGTTCGCACTGTCAGTCCATGATTCGCAGACATCAGGTTGCTCAACGAAAAAAACAAGCTGCAGGTTTCTGCACTCAGCATATGTAAGAAATGAATATCATCTCTTTGGCACTGTTAAGAGGCTCCGGCGAGAGCCTCCAGCACCAAATTCAATCGCAAATTATAACATCATGAGAAAGTGATCGAGAGGAGGAGTAGACACTCACAAGTCAGACGGTAGCATCGGCGTGCGTAGAACAAGTGGACACGGGCTTCAACTTGGGCTTCAGGCAAGCATCAACTCGAAAGCTATGGACGTTACACAAGAAATCAGAACTAAAAGGATGGAGGTCATTCCTTAGCAGTATGTGGGAAAAATATTATGTCGAAAACAAAGAGAGACGGGAAGAAAATTCGAGGTGTCTTTTCGCGACGCGGGAAAGATGCACGAGAGGGTTTAGCGCCGACCTCGGCTCTTGGCGCAAAATGTGTCTTGGCATCAACGCACTATCTCGAATTTCCTTGCACCGTTTGCGAAAGGTCTCCGAATTGACTGCAGAGGCGACAACATTACACCACATTACTTTTCGTACGCTCGCCCAACATCTCCTCCTCCAAACCACAAGGCTAATATTTGCGCATAGTCCTCACATAACCGGCAAGATGTCCACCATCGATATCAAGCCAGCCGGGTGGAAGTTGGTCGAGGTCGGCCGAGTGGTCACCCTCCGCTCAGGACCGTACGAGGGCAAGCTGGCTACCGTGGTTGAGATAATAGATCCTGGCAGGGTATGTCTCTGACATTTGGGAAGTAAATGGGGGACATGATTTGCTCACGAGAGATATTCCAGATCTTGGTCGACGGTCCCTCAACGAAAGAAGATGCGGTTGTCCCCCGACAGGCTATCGCTACCAGCACCGTCTCCCTCACACCTTGGGTCATTCCCGGTCTACCAAAAGCCGCAGGCACTGGCGCAGTGAAGAAGAAGTGGGAGAGCTACGAGGTCGACAAGAAGTGGGCAGAGTCGTCTTGGGCCAAGAAGAGAGAACAACAGGACAGGAGGAGGAACCTGACCGACTTTGAGCGATTCAAGGTGATGAGATTGAAGAAGCAGGTGAGCAAACACCCCCGAAAAATCTACATGCTCCCCGATTGGATCTTGCTCCAACATTCCTATGGGGTGTCTTGTGGGAAACCAGCAACTAATGGACAGGACTTTTTAGGCACGATTTGAAGTTCTGAAGGCACAGGCAAAGGTTCGGGCAGCAGCAAAGGCATAAATTTCGGCACGGATACGGCGTCACACAATCCAACTCACAATTTTCAAAGACGAGCAAAAGATATGCGAGGCTGCAGCATGTCGAGGGTGGGTAGGCACCACTGTCGGTTCGATTGACGAAAAGAAAAACAATCCGCGGCTTGTGGCCATTCTTCTCTTCGCCCGCGCGGGGATTTCTGCAGAGCATGATTTCCAATAAAAATTCATGAAATGCAAATCAACATTCAGACCAGAATCAATACGGGAGACTCAGTGCCTGAAGCGTTTGTCTGGCTTTTCACCGGGAGCGTCCGGCGACGATACCAGTACGCTCGGTAGTGAGCAGGATGTATCTGAAAATCTTAGGCTGTGAGGCTTTGCACATCCACACGTTGCGCCCCTTTCTCTCGCGGACCGTGATCATACTGGGATGCCTGGCTTCAGGTAGAGAGATCTGGTACAGTGTATCTCTGGGTGCCCTTGTTTTCTCGCTGCTCAAGTTTGGTATGCAACCCAGCACGTTGTGTAGAGCCTCACCTTCCACCCATCACCTTTCATTCCCTGTCTTGCCTGTGATTGTTCAACGTTTCGACGTTTGGACCGCCATAGCCATCCTGCGTCAAAATCCTAGAAAAAGCGCCCAGACAATCCCCGAATCTGCATGTCACCTCGCCAACAATGGGGCATGATCTTCAAACCCATATCTCCAGCTTGAAAAGCCAAGAGGCAATTTATGGCGTGGGAATAGGATCCTTCAGCCTCTCGTGTCTGTGCCCCTTGCTACCGGGCTTTCGGAGCTTCCTCTCGGGCAGAGTGGCGACTTCTGAGACTGAGGCTCGCACATGTCATAGCATGATGGTATTTCCTCTTGAACAAGATCCCAGGCACTTACTATTTCGTCCACAGCATCTAGTCTCCAGGCTCTGTCACGCATTCGAGAAGTTTGTGGGTTGAAGAAATGCTTCATTGAACTATCGACGTCTTGGACAGAGGCTCACACAATGCCAAGGCTCGCTCACAATCACTTGGGCAATTTACCCGAGGCTCGCTCGCCCATTCCACAATTCAATGAACAATCGAACGTCCAAATCACAAAATCACCTTGCTCATCAACCGCTCAGAGAGGCGCAACTGTAAGGTCCCCAGCTCTCAGGGTTTGTTGGTCGAATCTATTGGTGCTCACAGATTGCGAAACCCATATCGCAGAGAGCTCTAATCCTACCCCACAAAACTGAAGCGAAGCCCAGCTAACATTTGCAACTACGCAGCACATTTCAGCCAGTCCTCTCTTGATCAGCCAACCATCATGTCGAACCCCAGAATAGAAGAGCTCCCTGATGATGAGCCTGACAAGAAGGTCGCAGCAGAAGATGCCTCTGACTCGTCCGACTCTGAACCTGAAGCCGCTGGCGAAGGAGAAGCCAACATACCTGCCGGCTCTGCAGTCGCAGTCCACAGCCGAAACGAGAAGAAGGCAAGAAAGGCAATTGGCAAGCTGGGCTTGAAGCATGTTCCGGGAATCACACGAGTTACGTTGAGGAGACCCAAAGGAGTAAGTTGTCCTCCGCGCGATGGCAGAATAATGTTTTGGAACACCTCCTGTGGTCGTATGGACACCAGTGCTGTTGCAGCAGGTGGCTGACGTTCTCCTACAGATTCTCTTCGTCATCTCTAACCCTGATGTCTACCGATCGCCAACCAGCAATACCTGGATGTAAGTAGAATATGCTTTTACACTTAAGCACCTGTTAACAAAACTGCTAGTATCTTCGGAGAGGCTAAGATCGAAGACCTCAACTCACAATCCCAGGCCGCTGCCGCTCAACAGCTCGCAGCTGCGGAGTCAGCCAACGCAGATCACTCTGGCCACGACCACGCAGCTGAGAATGGCAAGGGCAAGGCGGTTGAGGACAAGAAGGCAGAAGACGAAGAAGATGACGACGAGGAGGTGGATGACAGTGGACTCGAAGCTAAGGACATCGAACTTGTCATGACTCAGGCCTCTGTGTCGAGGAAGAAGGCCGTCAAAGCGCTGAAGGAGAATGGCAACGACATAGTCAACTCCATCATGGCGCTGAGTGTATGATCAGGAAAAGGCAAACCAAAAGTTTCTGGATCTGCATCGCTTCTACGGGGGTAGTCGGTCTTCCATGGAATTGGTTCCACGGTCCTGAGCACTCCAAGTCGGTATTTCTATGTGTGCAGGCTTGAATATCGAGCTATGTCTCCAAATGCTCAAATGCATATGAACGAATCGATTGTCATCAATCAATTCTATCTTGTCCATCCCCATGCGTACCTAGGTAGTTGAGTTGGGAAAGTTGAAAGTTCCTTAGATGTGCGAGTAAAACCCTCAGAGCGACGTCAGACTAAGGGATTGAGAAATGTGTCGATCACGTGACAAGCTTTGGCATTGAGTTTGGTCGAAGCTCAGGGACCTTCGACTTTCGACCTTCGTCAAAACCAAGCTTGACAACTCACTCTCTTCCCCCAGCAAATTTACCCTAACAACCCTCACAATGGCTGCTACGGTACGTCCATCAGCTCCTCACAATCCCATCCGATCTTCTCTATGAGAAACAGCCTACCCAAAAAAGGGAGTTTTGACTAACAGACGCAACTTGCTCTTCTCACCCACACAGTCCCGCGCAGCAGTCAAGCTCGACTGGAGCAAAGTGGGCAGCCAGCTCGGCCTGCGCGGCAGCACGGCGACGGCACTTTCGAACTTCAAGAAGCGCAACGACGACGCCCGCCGCCGCGTGCAGGTGCTCCAAGACCAGCCCACCTCGGTCGACTTCGGCCACTACCGCTCCATCCTGAAGAACACGGCCGTGATCGACGAAATCGAGCAGTACTTCAAGACGTTCCAGCCCAAGACGTACGACGTGAGCAAGCAGATCAAGGCCATCGAGAGCTTCGAGCAGGTCGCGATCAAGAATGCCGAGGAGACAAAGGGAAAAGTCGAGGTCGAGTTGAGGAGCTTGGAGAAGGCCCTGAACGATATCGAGGGCGCGAGACCTTGGGAGGAGACGACCGTCGACGAGGTCGCGGCCGCGGCGCCGGAGATTGATGAGTACACGGCCAGATTGGTCAAGAAGGGCCGATGGATGCCGCCGGGATACCTGGTACGAATCTCCTTTCCACGCCACACCGCAGAACTACGTGGTTTCATCTGTTCATCTGGAGTTGATATTTGCTAACTTTACGGCTACTACAGGAGAGATTCCCCAATCTGTCGGTGCTGTAGACATTACGCTTTGCAAGGAGAGAAGGCGAGAAAGAGCAAGAGGAGCAATTGGTTGGAAGGGTGGCACACCTATTTTCCTCAGACAATCAGAGCTTCTTGTTTCCCCAACCGAGGATTTATGTATAGTGACTTAGATCAAAACATGAGCACTTGTTCAACATTTCGATGCTACCAGACCCACTATTCCCTTTTGCCAGGATGGTATACTAGGGGGAGATAATTGCTTGCGGCCTAGGATGCAGGAACTGACATGAGCCAGTGTATTAATCGTTGTTTCACCTGAAAAAGATCAGAAGTGAAACTCCCATGAAGTGCGAGGACGCATTCAGACGCAGCAACTCAAGTGCTCCATTGATTTATTCTGACACAAATCAGACCCGCTACAACTCGAAACACACACAAGCCAAGTCCATCACAAAATCCCCGAGCCATGTGTTGCCAGCTACCTCGGTTTCGTTCAAACATTGCTATTGCTTGCTTGCTTGCCTACCTGCTTTGGCAGGAATTCCTTACAGCCCTGAATCCTCCTCCTGAAAGATAGCGGTCTGGCTGTACGTATTCCACTGGCTGCACTCATTGTACCAATCCTGGCCAATACCCAAGTTCTTGATCTGGGCGGGCTCTTCCAGAAACTGGGCGCCGAGCCCCAAGCCGACGTGCCAGGCGATGTGGCAATGCATGAGCCAGGCGCCCGGGTTGTCGGTGATGAAGGCGATGACCAAGTACCCCGATGCGGGCAGCATGGCGACGTCGCGGCGGGGCGGGTTCTGGTAGTTGAGGGTCTGGGAGTTGTTGAAGATGCCGCTCCCCGCGCCGAGGACGTAGAAGTCGTGGCCGTGCAGGTGGATCGGGTGAGGGAGGGGAGGGGCGATGGTGGGAACCGCCTGAATCACCCAGTATGACCAGGCGTTGGCGTCCGGGAGGGCGATCAGGTTCATGCTCGCCGGGTAGCTGGTGTTGTCAGAGAGTACATATGCCAACGTCGGGTCGTCCCAGGGCACCTGGATGGCCGTGAAGTTCAGGTTCCATTGGAAGAGCGTCTGTTGGGCCTGGTTCTGCACGATCGCGAACCCGACGTCTAGCTGCGACGACTGCGGGATCGTGTAGTTGCTGGGCACGTTGAGCTTCACGTACGGGATCAGTTGGCTGTTTGGGTCGCTGCAGTCCGACCCGGCGGGTGCGTTGGACCGAGTCGCGTTGGAGGGCAAACCGGTCGAATTGGCGCCGACGTAAGAGAAGACGGCCAGCGCGTTGGTGTTCTGATTGCTGCTGCAGCCGGACTGGGGCACGACGTGGAACCAGTAGTTGTCGATTGCTTGGTTGGCTTCGATGACGACGTCGTAGCGCTGGCCAATGCCCATGAACAGCCATGGCGTCGTAAACGGCACAACGGGCACAAAGTCGGCCGTGATGACGGTGAAGTTGTGCCCGTCCAGGCCGACCTTGAAGTTGTCGTTGGTTGAGGTGTTGATCAGACGGAGACGGTATTTCTTGCCCTTGGTCAACGTCGTCCGGCTGTATCGACCCGAGGTGCCGTTGACGTTGACGTTGGTGCCGTTGATGAGAATGTTGTTGCCTGGCGGCGGACCACGTGGGAACCCGCCATTCTGGATCAGGGGCCCCAGCTCGAATGCGCTCTGGTAGTACCAGTCCGTGATCGGGTAGGCACCCAGATCGATATCGTAGTTGGACGTGGCGGGGCCGTTGATGATCATGGTGCCCACGACGCCATCCGTGTATTGGTCCGAGAAGTGGCTGTGGTACCACGTCGTACCAAACTGCGTGCATAGAAAGGTGTACGTGCGCGACTGACCGGGGGCAAGCGGACATTCCGTGATCCCGTTGGTGCCGTCCATGTGGTTCGTCTTCCACTGCCGCAGGCCGTGCCAATGCATGCTCGTCCCGTTGGTCGTAAGGCTGTTCTTCACCGTGATCTTGAGCGTGTCCCCCCAGTTGGCCACGATCGTGGGTCCGGGGAACTGGCCGTTGATGGCGTAGACGGTTCTCGAGAACCCATCCGGAGCCATGGTGGTGTTTTGCACTTCGAGAGTGTACTCCACCACCTTGCCGGTGTTGGGCCAGGTGCTATCGTAGTTGGTGGCGATGCTGAAGCCGTTGCCCCAGCACTGGCGCGTAAATGGCCCGTTGGTGCACTGGGCATCTGGTGTTAGGCTTGTAGTTGACGGACTGCCAGTGGTGGATGATGCTTGCCTCGGCACAAGGCCAACATTCTCAATCTGGATCAGTTCGGCAGTGGGAATGTAGGCGGCAAAAGCCTGGTGGAAGATGAGTGAAACGAGGGACAAGAAAAGCAACATAGTGAGCGACTAAGGTAAGGGCACTAACAAACAGTCACGGGGGTCAGAACACAGAAAAGAGAAAATCAAGACGGCGCCCTACAGACATCATTATAAAGGGAGTCAAGATATTCATATGCAGTTGATGACTTCCTCCCTTGCCATGACAGAGATGCGGGTATAGGGGACGGTGGGATGATCGTGGTCGAAACGTGGTACACGCGAGATTTCGGCCGGATGTCTTGGACCCTTACCAGCGTTCTGGAGCCTGATGTCGCACAGTAAAAGAATTTGACAATTTTCCTGAGCCACTCAAATGATAAGGCTTGACCGAGCCTCACCCAGCAGAACCAGATTCGGACGGAAACAGGTTGTTGACGGCAAGAATAGAACCGAGACAGTTCTTGGGGTGCAATTTCCGCGATATACGAGCTGTAGCCATTGTTTGCAATCTGGCCATTAGGATTCCCCTTCAGTGGATTGCAGGGTACCAGCCTGGATTGAAATGCTGAGGATGGTAAAGACGGTAAACAAAAGTCAAGGATGGTTGGAGGCCTCGAGGCAGCCCAAGGTGAAGCATAGTCGTTCCCTCCTTCCGGAAAGGATCTAGCGCCACTCTTAGACCAATCAGGCGTATCCCCCTTGCCCCCTTTTTGCAAGGGCCGAATCTGGAAGCAAAGGACAATGTCCACAATGTTTATTGTTGCAATTCCCCCCTCGCTTCACCTGGTTCCCTTTGATATTCAACCACAATTCCAATTGTCTGATACTCCTTGCGTTGGCGTGATTGAGTTCATCCAGCATCTGTCTCGGCCCTAACTTCTGTCAGCGCAGGCATGACGTGCATATCTCCTAGGCGAGAGTGCTTCTGCACATTTCTTTTATTGGAAGCCTCATATGTGCCTTGAGTTACACAGAGCGGTCTTTGGAGCGATAGCAGACCCAGAAATCCGGATCCCTTCCATTGATTTTATGGCTGTCAAGACGCTCCCCAATGTTATCCGGCGACCTAGGGACCGCCAGACCCCGAGACAGCCCCATTATGAACGAGGGCGAGCCATCTGAAATCATGGCTTGTGGCGATCCATTCCATCGCTTTTCCAATTCCAAACTTCGAGACTTTGTCCTGGATGTGGCTGACTCTTGATGTCTCAGTCGAATTCTCACCAAAGCCAGATTTCATGGATACAGGGCTCTCAAGGTCTATATTCGCCAGGGAGCCGAAGACATTGTGTCTCAGTTGTCAAAGATCATCTGCAAAGGGTTGACCCTTGATCTCCACCGCCGACAATGCCGTGATGGCCGTTTCCATGTGCTCATATAGCCCAGGTACTGTTCCCTCGCAGAGGAATGCTTTCATTTTTGTGTCTGTGTGTTCTATCATCACTATGCATGTCATACTGTGCCTGGTGACCGGCCTTTTGGCTTTGGCTGGTAAATCCGCTGCTGAATGCGACTCGTACGGATATGATTTCGTCAACAATGGAGGCCCTTACTGCATCCACACGACCTCTACCGCCTACTTTTCGTTCGGAACCGAATTCTTTGGTAAGGAAGGCATTGCTTTGGAAGGACTGGATAGACACTGACAGTAACAAGGCTGTCAGCCCAGTGACGTTCAGGGTTCTGTCACTCCAATTCTGGTCGACCCAAATAGCGATGAGTACTTCTGCTCCGACATTGCCGTTCAACCAGATGGGGAAGATATGGTGTCGACATGGTAATTGGATCCGTCGCTATGAGTGAGTCTACTCGCTGACAGCAACTAGCAACGTTCCCGGGAACGAAGTAACGAAGAACAACATGTTCTCTGGGGACTGGACGATCGTCATCGAAGGTCTGACCTTCGCCTGGATGAGATCGTTTTCTATCATTGCGGCACCGCCCGTGGTTGTGACAACTACTCCCACTGCCACATTCACCGTCACATCTACCCCGTCTACCACAATCACGACAACAATCACCAACGTCTATTCGACTACCGCATCTCCTTCCACCGTTACAGTACCTACCACGACCACAACAAGAACCATTACCACCACTCCCCCGCAAGTCACGGTATATTGGACCTCGACCATAACACGGACACGTACCACTAGAGTGTTTTCTAAAACAATCTCGACCACCACTGTCACCACGTCATGCAAAACGCAAACGCCAGCAAGAGATCCTACGTGTACCATTCGGCCTACGAAGGCTACACTTGCCGCAGCCAACGAGTCCTTCACGATCGTCCCGCGAGTGCGTCAGTTTGGAAGACCTGGATGGAAGGCGGAGAAGCGAGCGATTGATCGAAGACAGGACACGACACCGGTTGATCCTGGCCCAGGTAATTTATGGATTGGAAGGCAACGATTCTCAAAGCTGACGGTTCCTTAGATCAATGCACTACAACTGTTGTCGATACTGCGGATGCTGTTTCTTCATATACGACAGTGACAGCGCCGACTAGCACTGAAATCGACACGGAAAATGCGACGACGACAACCACAGTGTAAGTTCAGCGAGTGAAAGTCTAGCGCGGCAGTACTAACTCTGAGCACCAGCACGCCTCCGCCCGTAACGGCATACTCTGGAAAGGCAAAGACAACCATCACAATCACCGAACCTACGCCCACACGCACCCGTACCACTCGTACCTACCAGACAGTTTGGACCACCTCGACAGTATGGGCAACGTATGTGTTATGCACTTTTCTTTCTTCCGAGTTCTTTTGCTAATGCCACTGCAGCATCACCTCGACGGTCATGACAGCGCCCTCTGGATGGGTCTGTGCTACGTCTGCAGGGATTTTAGGGCTTTGAGTGTGAGAAAATGAGAAGGTGTGCAGGGGCTGTAGGAATGAGCAGGAACATCCAGGATATAGAAAAGGGAGCTTTGCTGGGGGCGCCAACTCACTAACTTTTGTACTTCCCCGCTTCTCAGTCAATTTTCAAGTAGTTCATTTGCACTTGGCCTGCAGCTGGGTGTTTTCTTTTGGAGACTTCAGCCGATGCTTCTACAAAAGTGCTGCTCGACAATGACGAATTTCCTCTGATAAACAAACATCAATCAAGATCCTGGAGTTGCAAGGTTCATTGTCGCCGATTGAACTCACAGACTCTCAAGTTGGCCATGTGCCTCGCAAGGACTCCGGGATGAAATCGAAGGTCAATCACACCCAAGCCAGAACCTGCAGTGAGATACTGAGGCTGTTGTCCACTTCGCTGGGAAGCGATCCGATCAGCCCAGGTAGGTACGGGATCTAGCTCGCCGCCACCTTCCATGGCGGTCTTGACTCCATATGCGCGCCAGGCAGACCTGCTCAAGGGAGAGGTGTAGGGATGGAGTAGCCTCGTGTATAGCTGTACCAGTCAGAGACTCACAGCCGTTCGGCGTCGAGCTCAAGGCTGGAGTGGAGTGGATGAATCTGGGGCAGTGTTGGCGCAGTTTGTTTCTTCCGTCGACAGCAGCCGGTGCCGTCCAATGACGAGTCGTTCGGAGAATTATTACCCAATAGGAGGAACGAAGTTCTCCAGTCGGAGAGATTATTCCTCCGAACCACATCGAGTCCCTCCGCGTCTTCGCTTCTCGTGATTCTCTTCTAACCAATGTACAGTGTTAGACTGCAGCCTTGTTCTTGTAACCCTCCGCCGGCATACAAGAAACGGGTTTGAGCATCGCTGGGCTTTCTCTGAGCCTCCTCAGGCTTGTGTACCAGTGTATCATGAATCACGCCGTCGCTGGAATCATGTCTCTCCAGAGCTCCGTTGCCTTGGATAGAAAGTACGGGAGTATTGTGTATAAAGACCACGGATGATGACCAACTCGTATGCTCTGCTAACCATCCAGAAAAACAAAACAGCAAACAGCAATAGCAACAACAGCAACAGTGAACAATCCCAGCAGTGACTTGACTACCAACACAACTCCAAAGAAAAGCCCCTCACAAAGACTCTCACCAATTCAGCAAAAGCAATGTCTTCCCCAACAGCAGCTTTCTTCGGCGCCACCGGCGGCGTCACCAACGCCATCCTGGTACATACCTTGAAGGCAGGCTACAAGGCCGTCGCGCTGGTGCGCACGCCCCAAAAGCTACGGGACCAGCTCAGCGCGCAGGGTCTCTCCTCCGAGGTCCTCGAAAACTTGACCATCGTCCAGGGCAACGCGCTCGACGTTGCAGCCGTTCGGCGCACGCTTCTGGCATCCGCGACAACAGGTACCGCGGGTGTGCCCTCAGTCGTGGTCACGGGGCTGGGCGGCAGTCCGAAGCTACAATTCGACTGGCGCCACCCGTTCCAGATCGCGAACCTCGATAACCCTTCGATCTGCGAGACGGCGGCGCAGACTCTTCTCACCGCCATGCACGAGATCTACGCCGAGAATCCCGTGGCCAGTGAAAAGAAACCGCTCCTGGCATTCATCTCGACGACGGGGATCACGCGCGGACCCGAAGACGTGCCCTTCTGGATCCGCTTCCTGTACCACCAGATGCTGACCGTCCCGCACATCGACAAGCACAAGATGGAAGATTTGTACCGCGCCGACGCGGACTCTGCATCTTCAAATCCGGTCTTCCGGAACATCGTCGGCGTCAGACCTACTTTGCTCTCCGGCGGTGCTGATTACAGAGACACCTCAGGAAGCGACAAGGTCATCAAGAGCGGCATCGAGAACAAGCCCGCCATCGGGTACATTATCAAGAGGGCAGACGTGGGGGCTTGGGTGTATGAGAATGTGGTGAGCGAGGCATTGCAGGGCCGGAAGGGCAGGTGGGAAGGCGAGATGGTCAGTTTGACTACCTAGTAGTTAGCTGATTGTTCATGTCCAAAGCGGCCGGGCGAGACGAGACGAGCGGGTCAGGTGTTTTGGAATGGTTTTTTTACAGCTTGTAATAGTATCACTGGGTGTTTCGGATTGCACAATGTTCCTACTAGATAGACTCATTATCACGGACACTTATTTATCGTGGAAATCAATTGAAAAAACAGTTTTTGTTGTTTTCACATCATCATTCGTTTCTCTATGCTCGACAGCGCCATGAAGAGCGCCTCGGGTATCGTGGTTGCTAATAGTACAAAGGTATTAAAGCAGGGGTGGGAAAAGTGGGAGGCATCTCTCTCTCCTGGTCTGTCCAAGCCACTTTTCGAAAGGAAGATCGGGTACTGGTGAACCGATGAACGCTCTCAATATCAACTGTCTCTCTTTGTGTCTGATCAGACTCATGCCTCTCCTCCTGCTCTCATCTGATCATGTTTGCATTTTGCGGACTCTCTTCTGTGGTCTTCTCCCTGCTCTCCTTTAGGTCCGAGAGAGTCCGTCGATCAGATAGTACTTGTTGTATGGTGCCTGCGTGTGTTACCAGTGCGGTGTCTTCGAGTGCGGCGGCCGCAGGTGAGGCAGGAGATGATGATGTCGAAGAGCGAGACGATGCCGTTGATGATGGCGGTGAAGATAGCACCGATGCCGTTGACGATGGCCATCAGCACGGAGCCGATGGTTTGGCAGATTGATTCAAACTGTGGATCGGGCTGTTAGTACATCATATGTCAAAATCAGGGGACATGAATGAGAGACGTACGCAAGAGACGACTGCACCCATTGTGGCGGTGTTTGTGTAGGTGTGAGATGAAGTACTGGTATGTGTATGTGTTTGGATGTGGTTTGTTTGTGTTTGTTGAGGTTTGAGGAATGTGTTGCGGAGTAAGGATGAAGGTAGGCTTTTTTATGTCTTGATAACAAGAGAGGATAGGTCTGTCTAGAATATTCGTAGGAGGAGAAGCATGTGGGGGTTGGGAAGGAGGCCTTTGTACTTGTATCACCTTTCACTCTTGGGCACGGGGAAGGATTGCGATTGCGACTGCCACCGCTCGGGAAACGAAATACATCACTTTGCTTTCTTTGCACCCTTCGCTTAACCGCATTCTAACCCTTCTAACCACGCTCAGATCTAGCGCTTGGACATTCACTCACAAGGACATTGATCCCGACCAATACAAACTGACGGGGAGACACGACGTCATGGCCTGATGACGTCTGGGAGAGTATGTGTTCGGAGATGGCTGGCAGTTTACCAAGTTATATCGAATCACATTCAGTAGCGAAGGGGCTGACCATCTCACGCCTTTTGTCCGCTGTTGTAAAAGTTGCGCCAGTAGGTGCCAGTAGGCGCCAGCCCGTCTCCAAAAATGCGCATCTGACGGGGTTGCCCGTTACACTAGCGCTGGGAGCGGGAACCAGCATTATGCCATGGTGGGCACGAAAGGGGCAAGGATGTGCCCTGTGGGTGCCTGGGAAGTCCAGTTGACGTCCGATTTCGAGCACAAAAACAAGGCATAGAGACCGATAAAGAATTGCGGAGAAAGAACGGCAAAGAATGGCGCTGACCATCGACGTCATTCGCAGATCCGTGCAGCATCACACACCAACCAACAGGCCACATCCCGGCGACCAAAGTGGCACAAGTGGCCCGAGAAGCACGTCACTGGCTGATCGTCAAATGGAGCTGTGGCGTCTGTGGCGTCCTGCATCGAGATCTCAATCACCAGCCACCGCTATGAGCCGCACTGTGGCGCCTGTGGCGGTGCATGCAGGTACAGTTCCGACCTCGAATTTCTCCGCCAATGAAAACCAATGTGTGAGGACCGCATCCCAAAAGGATGCTGCAGTTGTTCGGTTGGGATACAGTCCCGGCCATTTCGTGGCTGGCCCTTGTCGCCGCGGTTACTGCAGTCATTGCACACCAATTCCTCTCCGTCAACAGAGAAAGCGCAGTCCGATTTACGGTACAAGTCCCCCCGCGGCTGCAGCGCGAATATTCGTGGAATTGCAAAGAAATAGGCAAGGACGACGAATCGCAGGACGAGGTAATATGATTTCACCCTATGCTCCGCTTGGCCAGATGTTAACACTGTAGACAGGTCTCCAACGGCCAAATACACCCCCGATGTCCAGCAGACGGTCGTCGGCTTGGACTGCCCATTACTCCCAAAGACGCGTCTGCGATTGACTCTGCCATCTCAGCCGCAGCGCGAGCTCAAGTCAAGTGGGCGCAGACTACTTTTCCAGAGCGGCGCCGGGTCCTTCGATCACTGCTTCGATATGTCCTTGACCATCAGGAACAAATAGTGGCTGCGTGCTGTCTGGACTCTGGAAAGACCAAAATAGATGCATGCTTCGGCGAAATACTTGTCACGGTCGAGAAACTACAATGGACTATCAAACATGGAGAAAGAGCTCTCGGCGCGTCAAGGCGACCGACCAATCTTCTCATGTGCTACAAGTCAAACACTGTTATCTATGAACCTCTCGGCGTGGTAGCAGCGTGCGTGAGTTGGAACTATCCCTTCCACAATTTCATCTCGCCCGTCATTTCAGCCTTGTTTGCGGGCAATGCAATCGTGGTGAAGCCGAGCGAGCAGACATGCTGGAGCACCTTCTACTTCGTCGACATCATCCAAGGAGCATTGCGGGCATGTAGTCACAGTGCCGACCTTGTCCAGAATGTCGTCTGTCTGCCAGAGACTGCAGATCACCTCACCAGCCATCCAGGGATCAGCCACATCACTTTCATTGGCAGCAGAGAAGTCGCGCACAAGGTGTGTGCATCGGCAGCGAAGTCGTTGACTCCCGTTACGGTGGAGCTAGGTGGGAAAGACCCTGCCGTCGTGCTTGATGACCCAAGGACCATCAGGGCCATTGACGACGTGGTCTCAATCCTAATGCGTGGTGTCTTCCAATCTGCTGGTCAGAACTGCATTGGCATCGAGCGCGTCATCGCATTACCTGCCGTCCATGACAAATTGCTCGCTGAGGTCCTTCCCAAAATCAAATCGCTTCGTCTCGGTTCTGTCCTCCTATCATCTCCCAACGACCCGCCAGACTTGGGCGCTATGGTCTCGTCCAGCAACTTCTCCCGTCTCGAAAACTTGATCTCCTCTGCAGTGGCTCAGGGCGCGACCCTCCACTGTGGGGGCAAACGCTACAATCATCCTGAGTATCCCCACGGAACTTACTTCACGCCCACGCTGCTCAGCAACGTCACTCCTGAAATGGAGATCGCGCAAAAGGAACTCTTCGGGCCTGTTTTCTTGCTCATGAAAGCCGAGAATGTGGATAGTGCGATTCACATTGCGAACTCGACAAGTTACGCTCTGGGCGCCGGAGTGTTCGGACACAACCAGCACGATGTCCAGAAGTGCGTGAGGGGGATCAAGGCAGGAATGGTCGCCGTCAACGACTTTGGGGCATACTACGCTTGCTCTCTACCCTTCGGCGGCGTCAAAGGCTCTGGGTATGGCCGCTTTGGTGGCGAAGAAGGGCTGAGGGCGCTTTGCAACATCAAGGCTGTCTGTGAAGACAGTTGGTGGGCGAGGGTTTTGGGTATTCAGACGAGAATCCCACCGAAATTACAATACCCAGTTTCGATGCATGGCTGGGACGTATGTAAGGGCGTGGTTGGGACGGGGTATGCGTACACTTTGGGTCTGTGGGAATGGTCTGGCTCTGTGGTGCAGCTTTTGACGGCCTTGACGAGGAGTGATGAAGATAGTAGTAGACGGTGATGCAGGCACGAATCTGGAGTGGTGGAGGGAAATGGATCCCATCTTTGAAGATGATGGATCCTTTCATCCTTTCTTGGTGATATTCTTTTATGTGAAAACCCAGCTGGACGCGTCAATGCAGCCCGACTCTCAAATCATGCTAGAATGGAGAATGGCTATCCATGTACCGAGTACCTACTGTACGTTCCCTAAGAAGGTATCCAGAAGTCCTCTATAGATGCAACCCCAGTCTATGCAGACCCGACCTGAATGGGACATTCCCATATTTTGTTCTATTTCCTTTTAATAGTTCCGATCTTCTTTCTTCTAATATACCCAGGCACTGTTTTCGGCTTCGTTCACTCGGAGGATCATTATGACCACGATATCCCCAACATGATGGCCGCGCCGACGAACATGGCCGCGAACTGGAGTGCCGTCTTCCTCAGCTCGGCCCATTTATTGGGGCCGGTCTCCAACAGTTCTGGAATCACGGCCACGGTGCCGACGTACAGAAACGTTCCAGCCGTGAAGGGGAGGAGCATGTCTCCCCAGCTGAGGCTGGTGCCCCAGATGCCGCCGAATCCACTTTTTGGCGATGTTCCGGCCAATGTTCCGTCACTCGTACTTTTGGAGCTCCCGCCGCCGCCGCCGTACTCTTGCACAAAGATGCCGATCAGCGTGCCCAAAAAGGCCCCCACGGCCGTGACGAACTGGGCGCCCATGGCTTTCCGCTTCGAAAACCCGGATTGGATGAGTAAAGCGAAGTCCCCTACCTCATGGGGGATCTCGTGGAAGAAGACGGCCATGGTGGTCGTGGCGCCGAGGGCGGGGCTGGCGTAGAAGGAGGACGAGAGGGCTAGCCCGTCGGTGATGTTGTGCGTGAAGTCGGCGATTAGGTTGAGGAGGCCGGCGAGTTTGACGGAGGGGTTCTGAGGGGATGGAGATGAGGAGGAGGACGGAGCAGGGGTAAGGGTTTTGGTGGTGTCTGTTTGGGCTTTGCGGTGTCTCATGTCGCCATTTGCTGCTTTTTTTGCGGACGTTGTTGTGGCGGAGCCATTGGTTGCAGCAGTTTCGTGCTTCTCGTCATGAGAATGTGAGTGTGAGTGAGAGTGGCCGCCGTCTCCACCGGTCGCAATGCGCAGGGCTTTATCCATGGCCATGAAGGTGACCAGCCCAACAATGATCCCAACCCCCAAGAGCAAATTGCGGTTCGGTTCGACCATGACGAACTTGACCTGATCGTGCTCGTCTTCACCCAAGAAGATCTCGGGGAGCAGATGAAAGAGCGTGTCCCCCAGGAGACCCCCCACCGCGAAGGCGACCATGATGCTCAGCGACGACGGGTCGATATTGGGAGGACATAGCGCGAGGAGGAAATTTGGAGGGCCCGAAATGTAGGCTGTTGCGAGCAGGGCGTTGATTGCTGGGGAGGACGAGGGAAAGAGGATGGCGAAGAGTTGGGTCGTTAACGAGGCATGCGAAGGATTTGCTCTGGTTTTTGCCTCTGATAGGGTTTGCACAAAGGCACATTGCTGTCCCGCTCAAAGTCTCAGTCGCTGAATCTAGGCTTGTCAAGAGAGAAATGGTGTTGCGTACCTGGACGTTCTCCTCGATTTCCTCCCTCGTCAGCAGGCTGGTGTCCTTGCCTTGGACGGTCTCCGCGCAGACCGAGACTACCAGGCCGAGAAATAGTGCATAAACGGTGTATTTGAGCATCCTTGATGGTCTGAAACCAAGGAGGGCCATTGTCTCTGTGTACAGACTGAGGGTGAAACGGCACGCGACTGCGCAGGCATTGAAGAGGGACTATTGCTAAGTGCGCAATTCAGGGGGTTTGGCTGGGCTTTATCGATAACGGGAAATCCTCGGCTGAATACCATATTTTTGGTGCAGCTGCGGATTTTCGGTGTCTGCTCACTGACAGAAATAATTCCTCTGCAAGGACATACGCTCTATTGTTGGATCTGAAGACCTGGGATATTCCTGCAAACATGGGTCGTGAAAGACAGAAAAAGAAGAACAGGTCTTCAATCCCGAAAGCCAGGCCGAAAGACGGCAGAACCAAGGCTGGCAAGAAGAGGATAAATTTTCTGGGTAATGAGACGATTGCAAAGAATTGGTACTCTCTGCCATTGTCCAAACACTTCTGACCGCCTACGACTAATTCTTATCTGCAGGGACCGAAAACTGACTTTGTCGCAAAATTATAAGCGACTGGGGTTGTCCTCCAGACTGAATGCTGCGACAGGCGGGACAGAAAAGAAGGCAGCCAAGGACAAAATGGACATAGCAGGTGTGAAAAGAGACTCGCTGGCCATCGCCGGGCCACTAGCCGCCGATATAACCCCTCAAGAAGTCCAAGTCGAGCGAGACCCGGAGACAGGTCGCATTCTCAGGGTTATTCGACCAGAGACAGGCGAGGCGAACCAAAATCCACTTAATGACCCTTTGAACGATATTATGGACCTTGAGAGTCAACAGCTGAGGTCGCAGCCTGCAAATGGCATCGTGGCAGAGTTGGAAGCACAGGCTGCAGAAGAGGAAGAGCTGCTGGCAAAGAAGAAGCGACCACGACAGCAAAGCCAGCGAGAAGAAGAATGGATCGCTAAACTAGTAGAGAAGCATGGCGACGATATCAAAGCCATGGCAAAAGACCTAAAGCTCAATCCGATGCAACAGACAGAAGGCGACATTGCTCGCAGAATCAAGAAGTGGAAGGCAAACCATGGAGAGGTCACGACATGAGACAACATTGACGAGCCGTCTATGAATAAATCACCCTGGTCAGAGACATGAAGAAATGCGACAGAGCAATGCCTAAGTGCGTGGGCTGTGCGTGCGCTGAGTCCATGTGGAGAGAGCACAAGCCAGCAAAGGACTGGGCTAAGGAGGGGACACATTCAATGGAACAAAATACATCCAACAAGCAGTTATTCTCTCTGAAGGTCACTGCCACGCTATGATCCCAGAGCACCTGCCAGGGAGTGTGCTTGTGTGGGGACTATCATCCATCTACAACGCTTTGAACACCGAATTGTCGGCCTTTGTGAGAGGACCCTTCCCCAGGGCAATGCGGCTTCTGGCGAGAATAGGGTGCATAAGAGCTGGGTGGAGAAAGATCGGACTGCCAGTGGTGGATGGCGGTGCTAGGAGTGGCATGAAGACGACGAGGGTTTGATGATGGTATCACTCTCCCCACTACCTTATGTAACTATTCTTGAACAAGATGCTGAGTAGATGCGGGAGGGATTGGGTGAAGATTACGTTGATAGAGGCAGTATCTGATTCGGAGGAAATGGTCTGATGTGGCTGGTGACCGTTTCAGCAGTGGGAAGCGATGCCCGGTGCCCAGAGTTGTTGGGGGGCGGCGGAGACATAATTACACTCATACCTAGGTACCTACCGAGCTACCTAGGTAGCGAGCTAGGTACCTAAGAGTGCTAAGGTCACCCAAAGGTAAACATGCGGCTAGACACAATTGGCTGGGGTGACGGCGGACCAAGCGGCTTCTTCTGAATCGCCTCGTGCTCGTTTCGCGCATCCTCAGTTCCTCAGTTCGCGTATCTCTTATTTTTTTTTCCAGTGTGCTCAGGATCGCCATCAAGTCATGCCTCTTCGTATTGTTTCCATTCCCTTCATGCCCGTGGGCCCCTCGTGGCGTCCTTGTGACGGTCAGCCCAGGTGGACGGAGCTCCCTCCCTAATATCAGGACAAGATCCCTACAAGATCCTCACTCTTCCGCAATCAACGCGTCCAAAATGTTGCAGAACAACAAAAGCCGTCCCTACCGTCATCAAAGAGTATGTATAGATAAAGAACATCGTCATACCGCCCTAGCTTTTCTGCCGGACTCATAGTCAACCCGCCTGCGAAAAGACCCTCTCACTTGGCGAAACGCGTGAATTGTTGCGGCATCGTGAACATGATGTTGGCCATAGCATCTTCTCCCAGGTCTCTCCGGTCAACACAGCAGCGCACCATGAGCGTTATATCCAAATCCATGCCGATCAAAAGCCCTTTCACCACCTCAACGACCTCCAAAACGAACAGCCCTTGTGCCACCCCGTCCACCACAACAGCTCCGCTTATTCCAGATAAGATCTTGCCAAACCTGTACCTGTCAGAGTGAGTGAAGCTTGTCCCATCCGCTCTTGTCATGCCGTGCGCAGGGTTGGCCTGACTCTGACTGGACAGCATTCACACTGCTGCCGCAGTCCTAAGCCCCAATTACAATGCTCCCAATCGGCCAAGGATCAAGTACGTGCTCTCAGTCATCGACAATCCGGATAAGCAGCCGAAAGTGCCCCCTGGACATGAAGCAGAATTCGTGCTCAAGATGATCAGCCTCCGAGACAATGTCAACTTTGACCTGCTGCAGGTTTTGGGCGAAGCCTGCGCTTTCATCAAGGCAAGTCTTCAAAACAACGATGGTGGCGTCCTTGTCCATTGCCAGAAAGGTGTATCACGGTCCGCCGCAGTTGTGATAGCATTTATCATGGAAGAAATGGACCTCGATTACGACACTGCATTCCGGTACGTTCGTGGTGGTCGGTCAAAGGCGAAACCGAATTCAGGATTTCAGAAGCAATTGGAGCTGTGGGGCCAGCTGCGTTACAGCATTCACGATGCCGATGGCAAAGAAAAGCCTGAGTACACAGCCTGGAAAGCAGAGAATGAAGAGCAAATCAAGAAATTGGGTTCCAGGTGGACTGGGTAGGCACTGGGAAAGCAGGAGTTTCCGGTGGCTTTCAAAGAACCCACAGTGCGTCAAATTGGCACCACCGTATTGCTGTGGACGACCATCAGGCTTGTTTGTCCAGCAATTGTTTGTCCCTTCTACGTGTAGAATCAGCGGGACAGCGGGTGGGGTTCAGCATGGATGTTCAAGCGAAGGCGCAGGCTGGTTTACGATGGTGCAGACATTGCACATTTTGCATGCAGGAGACTGAAATGACATCAATAGACCTGACTTGAGCTGGCTATTGGCTTCAGAGCTATGCACAACCAGAGTCGGAGGACGATTAAGGCGCACACTGGAGATGGGCACTCAGTCCAGAGGTGAGCAACGTGCTCCATGCTAACAGCTACCCATTGAGGCAGCAGCTATCCATTTGCTCCCTTCCCGCTCTACTCGATCCCTGCACTGCTGGGAAAGAAAATATCCTTGATCACCTTGTCCGGTTGGAATGCATCTCCTTGGCCTGGGCGATGTTGGCGGAGCGGAAGTCTTCGCACTCTGTGTCCCCCCAACCCACTCCCCTCCTTCCCACAGCCAATGGGTCCCGGCGAAACGGATAATATTTCCCGACCCCCGATCCCATACTGGGTGCCATACTCCACCATTTCTCCTCCTCAACTCACTTTTACTCTGTTGCAGTTTCGTCTTCTCGTCGAAATCACCTTCAGATCCTCAGATATCGTTCTTCTCTCCCGTCACTGGTTCGTTATCGACCTGGCACAGTTGACTTTGCAAATTGTGTCCCATTCGAGACCCTACAGCGTCGCCCAGACGTCAGTTTGCATTCGGCCTGCTGTCGGAAAGTGAGAGAGAACTATTGCTTGTTCTCGTTACTCTCCCGTCACTCTTTCGTTTCCTTGTTCAGTTGAGGGACCGTTACTCCGGCGTCACTCTTGCGTTTCCTTGTTCCATTGAACGACCGTCTTCAGGGCGTTTCACAAAGACGTTGAGCCAAAAAGGTATGTCTCATTACCCTCAAGTCTCAATGGGACAAACATCCCCTTCAGTGTCTCTCCGCGGTCGTCTGCAGCGTTTCATCACGGCGTCCGCGGATGGTTTCCATTGTCTTGCTAATAGAGACAAATACAGGGCACCGCGTTCACCTTGCGAAGGACGAACCTTCCCACTATTCTTCTTTGTGAGTTCAATACCCAAGCAACATCACACCCATTGAGCTGCAGTCTGCAGTTTGCCCATCGCGGATCCACGCGGAATCTGTGTTGGTCCGCGAAGACAAATAGCAAACACAATCTCTTTGGATTGCTGCTTGAGACATGGCGCGTAGTCTGCAGAGTCAACTATATAAATCTGCTCCATCCCACGAGGTGTAAGTCCTCTAATAGTCTAACAAATATCAATATATAGAGATAACAAATAGCCCGAGGCGACAAGGTATGCTCTTCCCTCCGATCGTGTCCCTGTTCGTTGACCAAGCTGACTCTCTTCAGATCGACCAGCCCGGTGGTAAGCCTGTCTTCTCTTCTCCGTCACTTTCTCGTCAAACATCGCTCAATTGATCCTCTCTGCCTGGGTTTCTGTCTCATTGCCACATGTCAGCCGATGGAATGTCACTATATCGAACTTTCTGGCTCGCTGGCGCCTAGCAATCTGTCCTCGTGGCCCTCGCTTATTGGCGGAGAGCGGAACCGCAGAGCGGAACCGCTGGGTGACATGGTCGACGGCGAGCATGTGCTCCTTGTCTCTTGTCTATATATATCTGTCTCCCGCGCCTTCTTCCTCCTCTTCCTTCCATCAACATCCTCTTCCTTACTCACATTGCTTACTCCTATTTAGTCCGGCAACCTCAACGTCCTTCTGCAATCTACGCAAACACAATCTGCTTTCGACCTGCTTTGTCTTGTTTTTGAAACTTTGCACAACTTGCTCATTCGTCAGAGCAACGTCACTTTGAACTTTTGGTAAGCAATTTCGTTGTCCTTTTCGTCTCCTCGTCCAACAGATCCTGGACAACACATGACGGGAAATTGGACGTCGTGGCATTGCCTGCCTCCTTTGACTCTTCGTCTCTGTGCGAAGATCGACGTCGGAATGCGGTGGTACGGCTCTGGCCTTCTCAGTTGTGACAGCACTTTTCTGCAGTTGTCAGTTGCAGAATGTCCTTCGCCTTGTGATTTGGACAATGACGCACTTTGAAGAATCCGCACATCTTGGAGCCGTTTGCGACAAACAAGAAAACCCAACATTGTCGGCATGTGCAACACCGTTTGTTTACACCGCCAAATCTGGTCGTTGGATTGCCTTTTCAGGCAGGCGGGTCAGCGCCGAGGCTCGGCAAGGCTGGCAACATCTCTCATCAGCTGTGTCCTGCTTCTGGCATGTGAACATCAGCAAAGCTCTTCGCGCAATCGACATGTGACAAGTTCGCTATAGAAGCGGGTCCACGCTGAGAACAACAAGGCTGGTTCCAAGTCGACCTCATGGTGTGCTCAGCCTCAGTGCAGAAAATTGCTCGGCGCCGAGAGTGTCAGGGGCTTGACTTCAAATCGACAAAGCTCAACATATTATGGCAAACATGGACCGACTCAGACTGACAAGGCTGAGACTACATGTCGCATGCTTGACTTGCCCAGAACTCTCTCAGCAGTACATGGTTCTGCAATATGTCATCCTCTTGCACGCACATCTGATTCTCTAGTTGACCAATGACTATCCAAGGGCCTGAAGCTAATATGATGTTTACCTCTAGTGTTTGCACTTGTTTTTCTGCAGTTCCAGTTGCCAAGATGCCGTCGACAAGAGCACAGAAGGCCAAAGGCATCACCAATCCTGTTCCAGCTTCCAAGCCAGTGTCGACAAGAGCCCAGAAGTCCAGAGGCACCACCAAACCTGTCCCAGCTTCCAAGCCGGTGTCGACAAGAGTACGGAAGTCCAAAGGTGTCACCACTTCAGTCTCAGAGCATGGCCAAGTTAAGATCACGGCTATGTTTCCAGTGGCAGCAAAGTCTGCGGCCGAACGCACGATGTCCGCCAGTGTCCATGCTGATGTGGCTGTGAAAGACACTAGCACAGCCTCTATGTCCTCGGACCAAACGATGAATGAGTCTCGCTCTCTCATTGTCCGTCTGAAGGTCCCTGGGGTGGCGGACACGAAGATCGTCGTGGCTGCCAAGCGGGCTGTCAAGGGCAAGGCTGTGGACGCGAAAGGAGCAGGTCAACGTGCCGCTGCTACTTCTCGGGGGTTCAAACGAGAATCCTCTGATGAAGGTTAGTATTGTGTTTTGGGCTTTCACTAGATTGAAGCTAACTCTACTTAGATTCAGACAATTCTCCACACAAGAAGAGCAAACGATCCCGCAAAGAGGATGATGACGACTTCGAACCAGATGATGCCACGACTCAAGCTCTGGCCGTTGCAACCGTCACTCGTGAGCTTCGCGGTCGAGGCGAAGATGGAACTGTGACCGGGCGTATCAGAGACGCTGAAAAGGGTATGGCTTTTGCAAATACTTCATTGGATCAGCACTGACTATTTGAACAGCCAAGGAAGATCTGCGCGGACCCTTCATCTCTCTTCGGGTAAAGCTACTCGGCCAGTCCCTTGAGAAGACGAAGAAGCGACGCCCCGCCACTCGTTATACCAACGCGCAACGATTCAAGTTCGGTCACGATCAGCTCTGGTATTGGACGTCGCCATCTCCGTACGAGATCCGCAAAGTCTCGGAGATCCTTGAGAAGGAACGGCCTGCCATCGCTGAGGTTGCCGTAGCAGAAGGGACGGCAACGAACCCATTCCATGCCAGTGCTGGCATCTCTATCGATTCCATCGTCCGCGTCATCCTGTCACAAGCAAGCACCAACGAAGGCGCACTGGATGCACAGCAGTCGATGCTCCTGGCATACCCGTATTGGGTCGACGGCAAGAGGATTACAGGGAAAAAGCCGAACTACCACGCAATGCGTCTCCAGAGCCTGTCCAAGCTGGAAAAGGTGCTGAAAAAGGCGGGCTTGGGAAAGATAAAGCCAAAGGCAATCAAGCAAATCCTTGACATCGTCTATCAAAGAAATATGGCGCTTCTGGATCCTTTGGCAGACGGCCAAGTCCTGTGCGAGGACAACGAGCCGGGCGCCACTGACTTTGTTCCTGGTCTGCTGTCTGTGGACTATTTCTGGGACATCTACAGACAACAGGGCAAGCAAGCTCTCCTTGACCACCTTGTCTCCTTCCCGTCGATCGGCGTCAAGTCAGCGTCCTGCTTGATGAGCTTCAACATGTCGTTGCCAGTCTTTGCCGTGGACACCCATGTCGCCGGTATGGCAAAACTTCTCGGTTAGGTGCCGGGAAATTGCACGGAAGAGGATGACATGTGCACGCATCTTGATACTGTGTTGCCAGACAAGCTGAAACTGTCTCTCCACCAAGCCTTCTGGAACCATCGTCGGAATTGTGCGCGCTGCAGTGCGCGAAACAATCCATCAAGCTGGATCTATAACAACACTACCTGTCCTCTGGAATCTATGATCAAGCGTCCGCAGCCCAAGCCTGAAGCCACCAAGGCGCCGCGCAAGCCCCAGACTGCGCCACCCAAACGGGCCAACAAGAAGGAACCTAGCGACGAGGAGCGGATCGCACAGGGACTTGTGAAAGTCACCTACGAAATTGACGACGATTTTGATGCTGCCGGTGGCACAGGAGTGAAGCGAACGATTTGGATCCGGGATTACAGTGCGGAGGAGTATGACCCTGTGGAGGAAGAGGACATCTACGTTGAGGAGATTATCATTTCGTTTTCTAAGGGAAAAAAGTGAAGCATAGTCGGTGAGCACCAAATATATGGTGGCCACAGCAGGTGAAAGCTCTGATGATATGGTGGTTTTTGAGGAACATTCGCAATTTCTGATTTCTGATTTTACAGTTGCGAAAACGAATATTGAGCTGGTAAATAGAATGGACGTATTCCCAACCAATATCCTAATGCTCTTCTGGTGGTGGACAGGGGCTGCTCCTGAGGGCACAACTTCCTTAGCCTTGTCAGATACGCGAGGCGCCTCCTATGTGCGCGTCCATAGGACCTTGCATCCGTTGATATAGACACCCACCCTGCTGGTTATCACATCTGTTGTCAATCATAGACGCGGGTAAGCTCCTCCCATTCATCTCCTATATATATACAGCAATAATAACGGTCTGCACCTTGACCCCAACAGCAGTGGGTATGACACGATAAACGAGGCGGGATTTGCATCGCCAGCAGCGGAATCATCCCTGGCCTATACTCCACGCCCACCAATCGCATATGGTGGATGCCAGCTATCAATCAATCCCATCCATGGTCCCGTGCGCATCCGGGATCAGGGGACCATATTTTATTGTTTATCGCTCGTCGCCTCTCCAAAGCTTCGCTGGGGCAAAAATCTCAATGCTACCTTTCCCCACGACGATGCCTCTGGAGAAATGGAGCCGTTTCGCCAGTAAGTGCCCTTTATCGCCATCCTTTCGATTCTTATCTTGGCTACCTAGGTACAAGCTCTGCGAGAAGCAAGCTTTTTGCCGTCGATGGAGAGAGCTTAGGGTGGTACCACCAACGACATGCCTGATCCGGCAGCTGCCTATACTGCGCTTCCACTCGGTCCTTGCCTCTTGCTACCTCACTAGCAAAGACGCTTTGTTCTTCCTGACGCCCTAGCATGGCTCCATCGTCGAGCTGCAGGCCCATCATGCGATCAATTGCCATTTGGCCCCCTGTCCCGGTCCCTGTGCGTCCTCTTCTTATCCATGCAATGAAGAGGGGAGCTTTGCCATGATTGATTCCTTCGGTCAATCCCGAGCTCTATGGGTGGGAGGCAGGATCGTCATCCTTGCTTGCAGCTTCTATGCCCCTCGTTACGATGCCGCTGATCAAGATCGATGAACAAAGGAAAGGGTAGGTTACTTGCATGACCTGATGCTGTCATGGCTCCGAGCGTGGTACAAAAGGAATCTCCTCTGCCTTTTTCTTTCGAGGGACGTGGGATGAGAGTCCCTCTTCCGTGCCACCCTCCTCTGCTTTGCCTTTACCTACCAACCTTTTTTTCCGTTGCGTTCTGAGCGCACAGTATCCAAAATGGTCTCTCTGCTTTCTGCAGCGCTGCTGCTGCTGGCTTCGGGCGCTCAGCTCGCCGTCTCTCAATTCGTGACTGCGCCAAAGAACTTGACCAGCAAGGCCGGTTACGCAGGTGTGACGGTGCGCTACAAGTCTGTCCCGGCAGGCATCTGCGAGCAAGACCCTGACGTGAAGAGCTATTCTGGCTACGCCGACGTGTCCCCCGGCCAGCACATCTTCTGGTGGTTCTTTGAGGCGCGCAACGTGGACCCCACGACAGCGCCCCTAACCATCTGGATCAACGGCGGACCGGGTTCGTCGTCCATGATCGGACTGTTTCAAGAGCTGGGACCCTGCCGGATCAATCTGGACGGCGACGCCGTCAACAACCCGTATTCGTGGACCAATGTCTCCAACGTCATTTTCATCGACCAGCCCACGCAGGTCGGGTTTTCCTACTCCTCGCCCGTTCCTGCGTACGAGGACCCCAACTCGGGATATTTGGTGGAGCTGCCCGACAACACCTGTCCCGAATATGCCAGTGATTGGAGCTGCGGGACCTACTCATACTGGAACGAGACCCTGACGGCCAACAACACGCCCACGACGGCGCCGAACATGTGGAAAACGCTGCAGGGGTTCATGGGCGCGTTCCCGCAGTATGCGAGGCAGGAGATTAACTTTGCGACGGAATCGTATGGTGCGTTCCTTTCCCGCTCTCCAGATATACCTATATCCAGCAGGAAAAGGGAGGTTGACCAAACCTGACTAACCTCTGTGTGTCTAGGCGGCCACTATGCGCCCCTCATGTCCGAATACTTTGAGTCCCAGAACTCCAAGAACATCACGGGCGCCCATCCCATTTCACTCCAACACGTCCTGATCGGCAATGGGTGGTACGACCCCCTGATCCAATACCAAGCGTACTACAACTTCACGGTCTTCCCGGGGAATACGTACAACTACGACCCGTTCAACCAGTCCATCAAAACCCAAATGTACAACAACCTGTACGGACCGGGAAACTGCTACGACCAGACGGTGGACTGCAACACCCACGGGACCAACGAGATATGTACCGCGGCGGACAATTTCTGCCTCCAGCAGGTCGAGAGCATCTACGACATCTATTTGAACAGAGACGAATATGACGTGCGGTACATCATGCCCAACCCGTTCCCGCCCACGGAGTATGTCGACTACCTCAACACGGAGAAAGTGCAGGCCGCGATCGGTGCCTATGTCAATTACACCGAGAGCGACGCCGCCGTGGGCAACGCATTTGGATCCACGGGTGACGACGACCGCGAGATCGGCACCGTCGAGGCCCTCCAGGGCTTGCTGAAACAAAACATCTCGGTAACAATGTACTTTGGCGACGCCGACTACAACTGCAACTGGCTGGGCGGGCAGGTCGTGGCCGAGCACGTCAACGCCACGGGTTACACGGCCGCTGGCTTCGTCAACATCTCCACCCCCGACGGCGTGGTGCACGGCCAAGTCCGGCAATCCGGCAAATTCGCGTTTGTGAGGATCTTCCAGTCCGGCCACGAGGTGCCCTTCTTCCAGCCCCTGGTGTCGCTGGAGATGGTCGCCCGGACGATTTCCTGCAAGGACATCGCGACGGGGAAAACCACAATCACGTCCGGGTATAAGACCTCGGGCCCGGCCACGACGACCTACAGAGAGGGCAATGCGACTATTCAGTTCCAAGTCACTCCGCCGGACGCGATTTATAATACGACCACCGCTATGCCGCAGAATTCGACCTCTAGCGGCGGTGGGAAACTTGCCAAACGTGCCACGTACAGCTTGAGGCGGGCCAAGAAGATCAAGAGGGACGGGTTGGGCGGATGGTCGAAGTGATCACCCCGAAACAGAGAGAGATATATATCCTCCCTGAGTCTGGAAGAGAATACCTAGGTCTTGACGCGGAATGGAACAGGATATCTATCGGCGATTGTTCGCCATCCCATAGGTTGCTGATTGAACCACCACCTGCAAGTTCTAAAAGAACACACACAAAACACATTACGAGGTAGTAAAACGTGAGAACGATTCAATCAGACTTTTGACTCGTGATCTTGATATTGCTTTCAATGCCTAACCTAGTCAACTAGCATAGGAGGCGCCCGGACCCTCTTGCGAAAATTCCCACGCCCGACACCCTTTGTCCTGGCTCCCGCATCGTACCTAGGTATCCTGTCCTATCCGAATTATACCTACCTACGTGACTACAATACAAGAAAAGAATCCTTTGGAGGTCCCGGCCACATACTATTTTCTTTCATCCGTAGTACGGGTAGATAGGTATCCCCCTCGTTTTTCTCCTGCAGTCCATATATGACCAACGGGCACCCAGGAGCGTTGCATGTACCATGTACCATGTACCATGTACGTAAAGTACGCATGAATGCATGAATGCATGCTAATTGATACACTCTGTGGAAAGCAAAAGAGAACGGGGTCGAATGTTGCTCTCTCCTTTTTTGCAAAGCAACAATAAACTCCCCTTTTCTCAGCGTCAAATCTTTCCTTTTATCCCTTTTCCTTGCTATTGAGCCGTAACGGGGTTTTTTGCCTTATTTTATTGCATGAGTACCTAGGAACCTAGGGATTCCTTTTGCCTCCTTGTAACGATGTTAAATCTTCTGCAGGTGGGCTTTCGCACAGACAGGACTTTTGGCGCTTGGGAGAAAGGATAATCGCTTGCTGAAAAGGGTCAATTCTGGAGTACACGGGAACGGCTGGGATTTTTCTCCTCACGAACTGACTGTCTGTTCGAATAAGGGGAAGAGCGGCCGTGGTTCTCTGCAGGTGGTCTAACCAGATGGACGGACGGTATCGAGGGGGGGATTGCATCCGGGGAGGGTGTATCTTGTCCATGTCCAAGTGGACCAGACCGTAATGGTGGGAGGTGGACAGTCCTGCGGCGCAGAGAGACATCAACGTGTCTGAGACCGAAACACCAAGTTTCTATTATGAAGGTGAATTGTGAACAGTTATTGTATCTTGTCATTAGTCGAGCTGGTGCCAAATTTCACCGAGGTACTTTTCAAAGCATTCGAAATTTTCGCCGTTTTCAAGGTCAAGCTCTGGTATTGCTGTGTTTCATCACGGGCATATCTATTCATTATAATGGTACACCTGTCGAAGCATAGGTTAGCACATACATGGACAGTCAGGAAAAAGATCCTCCACTTACAAAGTAATCGGGGAGACCCCAAACCTCGAACCCAAGCCGCTTCGCCATCTTCGCAAACCCCTCCGTCTCAATGAGATGGTAGAAGGGAAAAGCAGGAAACATGGCCCCGTCTCGGTGCACCTCGGCTTTCACCAAAAGTGCTGTCCCACCCACACCATCCAACGGCATCAGACGCCGTTCGTCACGATCCTTGCCCATCTTGGCCAGCTTGGTCATGAGTGTCCTATACGTGGCCATCTCCGCGTATCCTTCAAGCAAAACTTCGTCCGGACCCATCTTGCTGGCGAGCTCCTGGGCAACGTCACTATCGCGCCATGTGTTGAAATCGTAGGGCCGGACGTCCTCCTCTCCTTCGTCGTTGATGAATCGCTGCATACAGCTCGGGGCGATGACGGCTTTGTCGTGACTGGCCAGATCCTGGATCAGCGTGGGAGGAGTTTCGATCACGTCGCCGTCCAACCACAACACCCAAGATGTGTGCGGGCCGATGGTGGTGAAAAGCAGGCTGTTCCGTGCCCGGGCCATCGACGCTCGCCGCACCTTTTGATTTTCCATCTTGTGGCGCTCCTTTTCATCTTGTGAAGTCAAGGGTGGCTCAAAATCCTGCCGCAATATAGTCACCGATTGAAACCGTTTCTCTTCCGGTCCTGCTTGCGTCTCCCTTATTGCTTCTTGTAGCGCCGCCGTCGCCGCGTTGCCTTCCTTCGTCTTGGGGGTGATGAATCCTAGGCTGATGTGCTCGTGAGGGTAGGACAGGGCCATAAGATTGGCCCAGTACTCCGGGTAGAAGCGGGCTAAGGGTGTGAGGATGAGGACTTTCTCGTGCTTTTCGACAGGCGACGCCGAGGAGGTCAGGTTATTGAGTTGGTAGTGGACGACGGGAGGGGGGCGGCGGACACCGTGGGCATTTTGAGCGTTGGATTGCTTGCGAAAGGCTGAGGTCGGAGGAGATAGAGGGTTGTCGGCTGCGGACGTTTGGACTCGTAAGCGGAGTTCGGACTGGTCGATCGAGGTGTTGCGGATGCTGTAGAGGAAGTAAATGAAGACAACACCCAAAAGGATGCTGAGGGCAGTGGTCCGCTTGCTGCCCCGTGGCTGTCGCATGTCGAAGTACGCCATGTCGTCGCAAACGGACGAGATTTCAAAAATGGTGTCACCTCGAGGACTGTTGCGTGGCCTGATGGAGCATGTTCGTAGGAGCAGGCGGCCTGAAAGGGGCGGGTAGGGTGAAGTGCTTGGGGATTCTCAGTGAGCAGGGACAAGTCTGCGGTTCAGAAGAAGGAAAAGAGTGAAAAGGAAAATGTAGTTCAAAGGAGTGAATTGTAGTTCTGGTGGTTGTCGTCGTAGCAGTTGTTTCGTCTTCAGCGCATTGAGCCGGCGAAACTGACATTTTGCGGCTGCTGGTGAAACATGCACCGCCACTTTGTCGCTGTACGAGTCTCACCTCCTCCCACATTTCCCAGCCACAGGAAATGACTACGGATGGAATGCAGAATACAGTCATACGAAATTACCTTCCGAACAGCAGTTGGATTGATTCCTCATTGTTCTCTTCATGTGGTTTATCTATGCGCATGGCCATGGAATATAGACCAGCCCCTTCCTTTTCATACCCATCGTTAATGCTGACAAGTGACCTGCGCACTCGCTATGCAGAGAATAGCCCAGTCAGTCCCTAATGGAAAAACCAACATTGCTCCAGGCAACTTTGGCGGTTGAATCTGTCGACTTCCCAACGCCAATGCTAGAATCTTAGGCGAAACCTGATGCAATCCGTATCCCAGATGGTGCCTTGACACCAGGCCAGTCTCGTCGAGTTTCAATATAATAAAAACAAAGGAAAACCGAATGAAAACGACCGGCAGGCGGACTAGGTCTCGACCTGCGATTGACTATTTCTGCTCAACCCGAAAAGTGTTGTCGCCGTCATTGATAGACGTCGGTTTGTCTGATTTTCTTGTTCTTCTTCGACTCTTCCTTGTCTGACGAGACGTCACTGCGCGGACTTCTTCCCGGACCTGGGCTTCCTGCTGGTGATACTTTGCCTGCTCCAGCGACTTGGAAGTAGTCATCGCCTTCCTCGAGGGCCAAAGGCGTGACGGGACCTTTAGGGCTACCCAAGGGATCCAAACGTGGTGCACCAGGTTTGATGCCCATGGAAGAGGCTGCAATCTTGGCTGACAACGTGGTACGCTCAATGAATTCGCGTTGCTTCTCACGCATCAGCCTTGGTGACTCCAGCACGACGGGCTGCGTTACCCGATTCAAGGTAATGGCTGGACTCTGCACGGTGGAGGATGGTGTCGCTGGTGAGTCGAGGTGGCCAAAATTGGCAGGATGGAATCGAGGAAGCGTCATGTGCATGTTCCTGGAGGCTTGCCGGCCATGTGCTGGCGGCCGACTCCGGGTCGGCTGAGGCGAGAGCGGTTGCTGGCTAGCATGGAGTCTTGGAGACAACGGTGAGGTTGGCGTGTAACGCCCAGAGTATGTATCGCGGTTCATCGTGTACCCCATTGAATCGAAAGGATGACTATAGATGGAAGAACTGAAACGTCGCAGGCCGTGTTTCTTGGGATCTCTGCGACGTCTCTACAACTGCCAGCTGTTGTGTGCATGCGGCAGCTGTACTAGAGATGCGTACCAACTCTTTATAGAGTCTCTATGCCCGTGAAGGGGGGCGGGCAGCGGTCGCAAAGTTCGGATTTCGGACCACACGGGTCAATAGGTAGAGCCAAGGCCTGCGAGGGATGCTGGAAATGTGAGTCCTCTGGGGGGTTTTGCGCGTGAAGTCGAATTGGTTTGTTGTAGTGGGCCACAGAGAGGGGCGGTGTTGTGTTGATTTATGTCGGGAACAGCGGAGAGTTCGCAAAGGAAGAGGTGGAAAAGCGGATAGGTATTTGGCGTAGAAAGGCTCAGAGTTGGCCTGTTGTACAAGTGCGGTGTGGAGGTTCAGTCACCGAGTCTGCCAAAGACGGGTCCGTCTGAGGATTGTTCCTGTAGGCCTCTTGTTGCCCGCCTTTACCAGAAGTAGTACAAATGAGAGTCAGACTCAGGGTCACGAGTCTGGCTTGGTTGGCAGGGATAGCGGCAAGAGATTGTGCTATGGCGCTTGCGAGTGTGTTGAGGGGCTGTTTGATCTGCAGTGTCTGGAAAATTGCGTGAGAAATGATCAACAGCCAAGTGTACGCTGATCTCGGTGCCGGGGGGTTTCGACGTTGATACAGGATGCCAGCCTTGAGAAGGGCGAGTAAAATAAGTACTCGGTACCAGGGAACACAAAGCAAGGTAGAGGGAACCCGGTCGCCAAGTTGTCTCCCAATTCTCGAGGCGTCGTCATGTAACCGAGACCGAAAAGATCTTCGTGCTTATGAAAATACTAGGATATCAGGAGGCCTCATCGGCGGCCCATGATTTGGAGAAGGTTATCGAAACGAGACGGTTCCAATGATCTATGCAGGGCCATGTAGACTGAAGCCTGAAGGAACATGGGAAGGAACATTAATGGGCATTGGCCGAGTGTATCCAGTGGATCCAGCGAAAGGCACTTCCTGACAGGGCCGATGACGGTAAGCGTTGAAATGAGAACGCCAGCAGCACGCCAGCAGCACGCCACCCGCACAGGCTGACCAACAAGACAGAAGGCCATGGGGCAAATGGCAAAGATGAACAGGGGGCCAGGGCGGAGATCAAACCATGGAGCCTCCGAAGGCCTTGAGCGCCGAGAAAAACATGGTCACCCACAAACTCACCCCCGAAGATTGCATACTGTTGATCAAGGGCGGTGTTGCTGCAACTTCCAAACAAGAAACAAGAAAGAGTTTAGAGAAGATGAAGGATTGTCGAAAATGATGATGTTTGAACAGAGACAACTAGAGAAACGCAAAACGCAGGCAAAGAAGTCAATTCAATGTCTCCATGAACGTGATGTCATGGCGGAGGCTGAAAGGCGAAAAAGGAGAGAAATTCCTCGTCTGACAGCAAGTCACTTTGACGACGTTTTGTCAGTATTGCGGCGACTTCTTTCCGTGCGATCCGAACATATCGCCTGTCTGACAAATGCCAATTAATTCATTATTCTCCTCTTTCTGCGTGTGCATAACTGCGCCCGGTACCAGTACGCAGGGCACGCAGGGCACGCAGGTGAGCAACGTGGCCAGCATTCAAACTTCGACCAACATCTGTGACCCGTCCACGTCTCCCTTTTTAAAATTGCCGAACCACGGACACCCAGATCCCACCCCTGGGTACCTACAGTAGTAGGCGCCGAGGAGTGGGCAGCAATGACAGTCCCGTCAATACGGCACCAAGTACTCTCACGCAAAGTGCCCGTAGTCGGTGACATCCTCTTGAGAAAAGGATTGAAAGTACTGACATCAGGACCAGAACAACCCCCCACTGATCCATTCTCTTCTATTATCCCCGCTAAAACCAGAATGCCGAAAACCGAGTTCGTCCTCTTACTAGGTTGCCCAGTATGGCCCTGACGGTTCCCGGCAGCGTCATGCAGGGCTCATAGTGTCACCGTCCAGACTCTTCGCCGACCCTTTTGTACAACCTCTAGGTGCTTTTCACAGGTGCGGGGCGCAGGACGGTGACACCATTCTTTGCATCGACCGAGCTAAGCGCAGAAGATAGTATCGTCATGAAGGCTTTTGCGGGGGTAAGAGAAGCGAGCACTCGAGTTTTCCCGGCAGGAATGGCATTACTACATAGCTTCCTACGTACCCGATACTAGCTAGGTACCTAAGTACTTACCAAGGTAGGCATTAATTACAGGAAGAGGATGCCTCAAAAGAATAGAAGCATCGTCCGCTGTCGAGTGGTCTTGAAACACCCCGTCCTCAGCCCCCGCTCAGGCGTGGCACTTCCTGGATTTGTTTTCCACTCCAACATTAATATGGAGTACTTCTTACATTCCACGAATGAGCAAGGCTTGCCGAGGGTGTAGCGCAATGCAGACGTGTAACCGAGCACTACGTACAGGTATCTACGACTCTTGGAGCACACTTTTGGAATCTCCCCATTTGGGCCGTTTCAACAGGCGAACGGCCCATGAACCTATCCACCTGACCAAAAATTCATCCACAAATCATCTCGACTCTTCGGTGAGACGGCACGCTGCGTATACACAGTCACAGTTCGAGACGAATCTGAAGAGCGCCAGAAGTACGATCAACAGCCTCTCTCTCCGACTGATCCGTTCTGGCTTGGGCAAGATCGTCGATGAGGATGTTTCCTCCGGGATACCAGATGGCAGGCATCTGCCAACCATGTAATACTGTGTACCCAACAAGTTAAATGTTGCTTATGTCTGTTTCCCCTGACCGAGATATGTATAGCAACCGGAATCTTATCTTTTTCCGAACCGTACCCTGCCCAGGTGGTTATCTCTGACTGCAGGTACGGAGTAAAAATCCGCCAAGTCACACAAAAGAGAAAGAGAGAGGGGCACATACAACTTGGAACCCAGTCGGTTCGTGTCTGCAAAGGCGGGCTTACCGTCTGTCTCTTCCCTGGGATGATGGAAGAATTCTATCTACCTAGGTATGGAGTGGTACTGCTCGAGTAGGGTGTTTGCCCGAGGTAGAATACTCCTCGTCCTTTTCTCAATGGTGACAGAAGAACCTCCTTGTCTCTGTCTCTTACAGGGAGTATGATGGCCATGCACCTAGTATTTCTTGGCCTCGATATGAGCATCAATGGTATGTGCTATGCCTAGGTACCTACAACCATAGGTGCCCCTCGCTTAAACACCCCATCAGTTGTCGGAAGTCTTCGCTTCGCTGATCTGCCGGTAAGATGTTCAGTCATCAGCCACTTTCAACGTGTGCGACCGCCGGCAGAGAGGTATAGCGTACGAAGGTACATGCTTTCCATGACAATTTCGCTGTCCAAAGCAGAGATAAGATGTATCTTTCCTGCGTTTGATGACTGCATCGTATTTTCGTGGCGCAGCACCGGGTGTCAGGCGGAAGTTGGAGCAGCCGAGTAGGCTTCTTGTTTTCCCACCAATGGCCACTGCGCTCCCTGGGCGCAGCCTGGAGAGCCACTGAGCCACCAAGCAAGCGAACCAACTGCTGTTCTTCTGTCGCCCATGCAGAGCCATGCTTGCGAGGCGGGAGCTGCAGCCGTGCAGATTGTTCCCCCTTCTTGGACCTGGCTAGCCACTGAAGCCAGGGACCTCAATCTACGGGGGTCTGTGCTCGTTCACCATCCTTTTTCCAACGTCGCCTCCACGAAATATTCCAGCATCCAGCGTAAAGGACGAGCCTTATATAAAGTGCTTTTTCATATGGTGGCATCCGCCTCTCCACGACCAATGCAGATTGCACTCAGGCACGCGTCATGATCACTCCTCCCCAGCCAGCCATGACCGCGCCGCTCGATCTGGAATCTGCAGGCCGGGAATTCGACAAATGGCTGGATTGGAATGGGACTGCGAATGCCTTTCCACGAGCTCCTCAAGAAGACAATCTTCCTATCACTACGCAAAACCTCCTCACTCTTCCGATATCTCCCTCATCGACCGCGAACGGGGATTCACACCCTGCCCAATTCAAGACCGACCTCCTCACCGCCCCTCCCGGCCAAGATCTGTTGACCCCCCGACACAGTTCAGCATCCCCAGAGTCGCGTTCTAGCCTCGAGATGCGACTCAGCGGAGATACTCTAAGAGAACAGCCAACCCCCAGCATGCGACCTATGCTCAAGCGGAAACTGTCCCCCACCGATGTACCAACAACAGACTATCAGCATGATGCTCCCACTCCTGCCGCCAAAAAGCGGCCGCACAACATAATTGAGAAGAGATATCGTGCCAATCTGAATGAGAAGATAGCAGAATTGAGGGACAGCGTGCCCAGCCTCCGTTTCGCGCAAAAGTCCAAGGTTCGGGAATCAGCCAACGGGGATTCTGACGATGATGACTTGGATGGCCTCACTCCAAGTAACAAACTCAACAAAGCTTCCATTTTGACAAAGGCAGTTGAATACATCCGTCATCTTGAGTTTCGCACAAAGCGCCTAGAGGAGGAGAACAAATCTCTGAAAGAACGGCTCGAGACCCTTGACAAGGTCATCGCTCAGGGCGGTCACGATGCGCAAAGAGCTGCTGCTTTCACAAGCAATGTGGTCATAGAAGAGTCTTCTCCCGCTTCAAACACCCATTCCCCTTCACCCGAATCGACAAACACACCCGCCAACCCTCCTCAGGGACTCATCCCGCTACCCGAGAGTTGGAGACGTCTACGACAAAACCAACCGCAAGAACACTATGGCCACATCTATCAGACTCCGTCAGAACGCTCCGTATTCAAGGGCAAATGGCCTACGAGGATTGTTCTAGGCTCTATCGCCAGCCTAATGGTGATAGATGGCCTCAGTGAGTCTGATATGGGCTCCGAATCCCGTGAGAAGGGTCTTTTTGGAATCCCTCTGGAGCTTCTTGATGGCTGGAAATTTCTACAGTCACCTCGAATATACTTGGCCGCTTTCAGCCAGTTTTGTCAGGCCGGTGGCATTTTACCCTTGGTCAAGGGATTCATTGCTCTGACATTCTTGGCCTTCCTCATCTTCTCATACTTGTTCAATTCGAAGCCTCCGCCAAAGTCCGACATCGAGGAATTGGGAACGCCTTCGAGACAGGTTCCAGCTCCCGCCTCACCCATTCAAGTTCGACGCCGCGCCTGGAGCACTAGTATGCAGGAGCTGCACCTTCCTCATCACCACTTCTTCCCCGAGTGGATGGCGATCACTTGTGAATGGCTCAAGTACACCTTTGGCTACCTCTTTGGAGCGCGGGCCTATGCTTGGCTTACCGGCCGCACTGCTGACGACGACGTGGCTCGGATCAAGACTTGGGACATTGCAATCGACGCACAATTGGCTGGCGGTGATGCCGAAGTGAGCCGAAGCCGACTGCTCCTGACAATCTTTGGGGCAGGGACTCTCCCCCGGTCGCCTTTGCGGTTGATGCTAAAAGCACTCCATTGCCGGGTGCTCCTGTGGAACGTGGGCTCACTCGGAACTGGAGTATCCAGGATCGCTAACCGTGTCGGGAAGTATTTTGCAAACCGGCAATGGAGTCGCGCCAAAGACTCGCACAGCAATTTACCCCTGCATCATCCGGATCCTCTCCCTCCGTACCTTTCGAACATGCTCGATATGCCGTGCGATCACGTATTCCTGGACACGGTCTGTCAGAGGGCCTACAATCTGATGTATGATCGGCCCACGCAGGAAGACTCTACCAATCCTCTGCTGGACGTTGTGGTGGAAGACCACGCAGTCCGATCTCCGCTTGATGCAGTTGCAGCATGGCGGTCAATGGTGTCATTGACAGAGGCTCTGGAGCTGTCCTTGCACTCCCCCGAGGCATTCGATCATGTCCAAGAGCACTTGAGTGCTGCGCTCAGAATTGCCCCACCTGGCTCTGCTGCCGAAACACGGGCGCTGGCCGCAAGCTCGGTCCTAAGCAATACCGCTCGCACGGACTATTTTCAACGAGCATCCGAAGCCATGAAAGTTTTGTCCGCCCCTGTCACGCAGCCAGAAACCGAAACTCGGCCGCCTTATTTTATTGACTCGTCGACTCCGCCATCCGCTAGGACTGATATTTTGAATTGCTTGCATTGCGCGGAAACTTTGCAGATCCTCGATCGGGAGGATCATAGTACTCAGGAGAATCAAGAGACGGCATTGGCCTTTTTCAGTTCGAAGAATCTTGAAATCGAAAGCACATACCTGTTGACGCAGGCTGCGAGGAAGCATCTTCTCGGGCGTTTGCCAGCTATTGAGAATCCAGCGACCGCTGGAAGAGAAGAGGTTCGCGCTCTACCACACGATCACATATTCGCGGCTGACGTGTTGGGTATGCAAAATAGCCGAAACAAGATCCCGCGCCGGTATAGTGAGACCAGCACCGACTCTGGTTATGTTAGTCAGGATACTTTTATATCCTACTGGGACACCGATATCGAGTCATCGCCCATTTCAAGGGCTTGATGCCCTTCGCGAGAGCCGGGATTGTTGTTGGAACGTGTAATAAAAGAAGCAGAGCTAGTCTTGTTCCCGAAGGCGGTACTTATGATAATGGGCCTTTCATTTTGTCGGACATCACAGGGATGTTGTCGATGTACAAGCTTTCCTCATAGCGCACTCATGAATTAATCACAGCCTTATGAACGAGCTAGATATTTCCACCAGCATTTCTCGCGGACCAAGCTGTGAAGCAGAGTTGAAAGCGTCAACCGCTGATCCCTCAGCCTTTATGGTCGTTGATGTTCGGTGATTTTCACCTTGTTTCGAATGACCCAAGATGATGTCATTTGAATAATTGCGTAGCGTCTGTAGTTGTGCTCGTGAACTCCTATTGCACTGAATATGTTCGGCAGTTCTGCATCTTCTTCGTTGCGAAGCTCTCGCCTGTGTTCACCTCCCGACTAGTGAACCACCGTGCTCCTAGAGATGGCTGACAACGACGATGCGAACGATGCCATCTGGCAAATCGGCGTCTTCGACGCCCACTGTCATCCTACTGATATCATGGCCTCAATCAGGGACATCCCCAGCATGAAAGCGAGAGCCCTTACCGTCATGGCCACAAGATCACAAGATCAGGAGATGGTCCGGAATACGGCACGGAAGTACCCTCGTCAGGACTCGACGTCGAGTTCTGGAGGCGAGGAGGCCTCGAAATACGTGGTCCCGGCGTTTGGATGGCATCCTTGGTTTTCCCACCAAATGTACGATGATGTGAAAGACGATAGTATTCACCCTGATCAGGTTGATCATTATAAAACCGTCTTGACTCCCACGCCAGATGACGAGGAGTTCCTGAAGGCTCTCCCTGCCCCTCGGTCGCTGCGTGAGTTTCTGCAGGAGACAGAGGAGAGATTGCAGGAGTTTTCCTATTCATTGGTCGGGGAGGTCGGCCTGGATCGTTCTTTCCGGCTGCCACAGGGCCCAAGTGCCATGACCGGCGACATGAAGAACAAGACGGGCGGTTCAGATGAGGATTACACGCCCGGATCTCGCGAGGGGCGACCACTGTCGCCTTACCGTGTCAATATTGATCACCAAAAGGCGGTCTTGAAGGCTCAGTTCGAGCTTGCTGCGAAGCTCCAGCGTCCACTCTCTGTGCACAGCGTGCAGGCTCATGGGTTGGTGTTTGACCTTCTGCAGGCGATGTGGAAAGGCCATCAGAAACCATCGAAGAGAGAAAGGAAAAGGGCCTTGAGCGCCCCAAAGGCCCATTCGAGCGAGAACAATCCAAACGTTGGCACTCAAGAGGCTAATCTTCCCCCATTCCCACCGAGGATATGTATGCACTCCTATTCCGGGCCCCCAGATGCACTGAAACAATTTCTCGCGCCGACAGTGCCGGCAGAAATCTACTTCTCCTTTTCGACGGCAATCAATTTCTCAAACGCTTCAACGGCAAAAGTCATCAGCGTCATCAAAGCGGTGCCCGACGATAGGATTCTTATTGAGAGTGACCTACACTGTGCTGGGGAAACGATGGACCGGCTTCTTTTGGAGATCGTACACAAGGTCTGTGAGGTGAAGGGGTGGGATTTGCGAGAAGGGGCCCAAAAGCTGAAAGCAAATTGGGAGAACTTCATCTTTGGCTCCAGTCCCCAAGGCTAGATTGTCTGTTCACTCTTGCAATTGAACTCGAGGCGACGGAGAGCCGTAAAAGGCACAGATCGGAATCAGCACTGTCGCCAAATGATTGAGGCCCAAACGCACAACTTCGCCCGAAGACGTCGTTCACATGTCTTGGGCTTTGGAGAGGTTGGAAGCGGAGTGCTTCACTGCACCAAGTGAAGTTCCAACCGGGTCTTCGAAGGTCGCAACGCGGTTTGCCATCTCGTGACGACAGCTCAAAGTACTGCCTCACCCAATTTGCGCGAGTTTTCTTTCCTTGAGTTGTCGCCTTTCCTCAGGGAGATCACATTCAGCAACCACTTTCGACAGGATGCACGGTCACCATCTCAGTGGACAAGCTATCGCAATGTCAGCCTCGTCTAAGGATGTCTTTCGTCTCGATCCTCCTCAGAGGTTTGCCTACACGGACTTTGTTATCAGAGCACCTCTTCCTCGACTTCCTCCGGGCATGCCTGCGGAAACGGCCATGCGAAAGTATCCACGCACGCGGTTGAAGAGGCTGATTAAGGTCGTGGAAGCTCGCTTGGGAAGACGCCGCTGCTTCTTCAGCGAATGCCAGCCGAGAGATCAAAAGAAGGAATCACAATTCGCGATTAGCAAGCTCTACGCCATGTATGAGGTCGGACACTGGCCAGGCGCGCTTGCGCAGTATGACTGGACACAATTTGTCATGGCGAACATCGAGCGAGACGCGCTGCGGAACGAATATGGACAGAGTGTGAAGCTGACATGTAAGTCTCTGTTCGACCATCTTAGATACCGTGAGCGCCGCTGATGAGTTTCTGCCCAGTGCCCATGCTTCCAGCCTCTGCCGTGCCGATTTATCAGGAAATGTTACGGCAGGAAAATAGCGATTCGGCGAGAATAGACGTCAACTCAGGCCATATCGCGGGAGTGATGTTCAAGGGCCAGGTTCGCTCCTATCCCGAAGAAGACTCGTCGAGACAACCACGACGTGAGAGTCCAGATCAACCGCACGGGTTGGTGCGGACCCCGTTCGTGCCGCCGCTTTCGTCTTCTCCAAACATGCGCGATGCTCTCTCCGAGCTCAGCAGCGAGCAGCTACAGGAGCTAGTTCGTGATGACCAAATGTTTCGTACCGCCTACGAGTACCACCAAAGAGTGGTCCAAAAGGAGCTGAAACAAATGTACCGCTTTTATCTGCGCTGCGTCTGTCGGCAGCCTGGGATGCACCTCTTCACGTGGCAGGAAGTCGTCCACGAAGCAAGAACCATGATCAAGCTGACGTTCATCCAGCAACTGGAGAAATGGAGGCAACAACAGCCAGACATCCGGTTTGATATCCAGGACTCGACGGGGACTATCGTAGACCTCCAGCTGAGATACCTGATATCACGAGTCCGACATTTCGATCCGATTCCCGCGCAAGCTTCGCACCAATTTCGAACAGAACTCACACGAAAGCATCAGATCGCCGCGATGCTGAGGCAGCGGCGGATCCTCCGAGAATGGACAACGGCCATCGCAGAGCGGTCCAGCGTGCGCGACGGGGAGAGATATCGCAGAGAAGGCGAGCATATCATGGATATGTGGACCGGCGCCGTTGAAGAGTATGAGGCGTTCAACGAACGGAACAGGAAGGAGAACGTGGTGCTCACGGCCGGTATGATACCCATGGCCTCCCAGCTTCGCGTTCGAGCGTCGGCGGCTCAAGTACAGACTCCAGGGAGTGGGGAGCGACAACAGTGGCTGCAGGTGGGCTCCTCGCAACCCTCTCCGCACTCGCGAGAACAGGGCGAAAGTCCAATGCCGACCCGGGGAGAAGGACAGGAACAGCCGCATACACAACTACCGCCACAGATGCAGGCCCCAGGACAGGACCATACGCAGGAGGGTCTGACAATCATGGAAAAGGCATTGACCGAGGCACAAGAACAAGGACAACGTGCAGAACACGCCTCCTCAGGACAAGGGCTCTCGCAGCAGCAAGGTCATTTGCAGACTGCTGCAGCGGCGCAAAAGCAACCACCACATGAACCATATGCACCTGCGCCCGGATTGGAGCAGGTCCACCCCGAAGACCATACACGGTTTGTGGAGCGGATGACATTGAAGGCGTTGGACATACGGTCGCGATTATCTCTCCCTTCCTCTAGTGGTGGAAGCAAGACAGACAAGGGGAACATGTTGACCTTGCATTGAGCCCGTCCATAACGGTTAATGAAAAACTAGGTAATCCTCCTTCGAGCCTCTGCCCCCCCCTTCAACATCTCATAAATTCTGTCAATATCGCGTTAAATAGCCTCCGGTGCTTCCGTGATCGCCCTACTTGGGAGTAAGGTAAGAAAAATAACGCCCGCAATCTCTCACCTTTCCATTCCTCCCCGAGCTCGGTGACAACGTTAATGATGATGAACTCCCTTTCGGACAGGTCTAGGTCCCCTCTTGTGCTGGGTACGGCAATTCCTAGTCACTGCGAAGCAATTTTCTCAGTTACTTACAGGATCGTGAAGAACATAGAATTGATACCTGCCATCTCACCGATCAATACCTGCCGCCTTCAATAGCCCCAGCTTTCCTTCCTCCAGAAGATCCAGAAGATCCAGAAGAAGAAGGCTGCGAGTATACAGTAGCTGTAAAAATACAATAATACCAAAGTAAGAAATGGCATCAGCAGGGAAAAGCAAGTGGAGATGCGAAAGACCTCCAGCTGGCAGCACGCGGAATGAACACGGGACGCGCAGCCATGTTTCTGTGAATGCCGCGCTAAGAGCAGGTGGTACACATTACAGCCAGTTGCGGTAGAGCGACTTTATCGAGGGCGTGAAGACAATGTAGCACGGTGGTAGCCAGTGACCGAATGCTTTATTGAATTCTGATTACATGAGGCTTAAGATATAGGCCACTAGTACCATTGTGCCACTCCCCATCAGCCCATTCAAAGTCGTCTAATTCATCCTTCGCTAACGAGAGCAGCCCAGCCCTGCGAAAAACTTCAGAATTCTTCGACGTTGGTGTCAGGATTAAACACAGAAGCGATTCCCCATTGACACTCTTCATGGCCCTCATAGGCAAAGCATACAAGTCATCATTGGTCTGGAGGTCTTCATCGTCATCCATGCAGCATGATGAACCGGCGCCTGGAAACATGCTGAACATATATTCCGGAAGCACTGCAAGTTCTGGCATCTTCTCCAAGGCTCCTGAAATGATGATTGTGCCACGATTGGCGTCAATGTTGTCACATTTTGTGACTGAGTCGATATCGATAGCGCGTATCTCTACCAGTGGTGGCCCCCAGGCAATATCGAGTCGACCTTGGGCAAAATGCACTCTTCCTTGAACCGATGCCCAGGACCATGATGGTGCTTGATAAAATCAATGTCTGCCTTTTCACATGGGATTAGTGTCATATTGACGTACCTGGGGATGGGCTGATTCTGTAGGACGGCTCCCAATTTGCTTGACGACCCTTCTCTATGTACCAAAGGAGATCAAATAGCAAATTGCGTTCCCACAATCCAGCAACATAGTTATCTCCTGTAAGGACTCTCATCCTTTCAGCAACTCCAGAGAGCGCGTACAGCTTATCGGAGCTCTTTGTGAGACCACTAACCGTGAATTGCTCCACGATTTTCGTCCATGGAGCGTATAGGTTCGTAGATCTTGAAGTTTCGGTCCTCCAAGACTTTGGGCAAAGTGTAGAGTCGTCATCAATGTCTTCGGGTTCGAAATCCATCACTTTTCCTATTCCCCACGGAAATGTTTCACAGGCTTGAAGTTCCCGACATTCCCAGAATAACTGGGTATGAAAAGAAAGCGTGCGAGGGCTTAGAAGTCGCTCTTGGAGAACCCATCCGCGTCTATTCAGTGGTGTTTTGGTAATTCCAAGGTGCCAAAGCCCGCTAAAGAGGCAGTAGGAGGATTGCTTATGTCCATTCCAGTTGGTGTCAAGTCGAAACGGAGATGTCAAAGAGGGATCTCTGTCCAGAAACAATCGCTTATACCCTTCTGATGCGGCGGTTGCTGCAATGTTGCAATACGATCTCTCGTATATCTTTCCCATTGACGCAGACTCCCGAATCCAATCCTGCTCACAGTTCTGAATAATACAAAGGGAATCGATCCAGAGGTATTTGACGCCTAGGCGTTTCGTGGCTGATATCGCATCCTTGAATGTGGGTATGAGAGCCTCGGAAGGGATTGCCTGTTGATACTGAGTGATGTTGGAGGATGTCAGGTTTTCCGTTTCCCTAGAGCCCCATCTATAGCTTAGAGCAACATAAGCAGGACATACAGTTCCGATCTGGCCATTTTCAGGAAGAATCAGCCGTGGAGCACAATTTTCCGCGGGGCTTCCAACGTCGATGAGTCTAGTTGGTAACCAACCATCTTCCTCGCGGCTGGACGAGCATTCTCGATGATGGTGAGCGCAGTTCTCTACCCAAGAACCTATTAGTTTCCAAGCTACATCAGAAGATGTGTTTAGCATTTCGATTCCGCGACCATACGGTCGATAGTCTACCTCTACACCTCAATATACATGTGTTAGGAGCAATACCAATCATAATTATTAGATGGATTTAGACATACCCTCGTTCGACAAAAGTCTTATATGTACTTGTGCCAAAGATATCCCAAGTTCGTCAAACCCACAGGTTTCTCTGCTCCGTCGAAGGGCATAAGATACGCCATCTTCCTTAAGCCATGGCTGGGTTTCCAAAACGGATAGAACAGCTTTTTGAAAGAAATAACAAATTTTACAACCGATCTTTGAAGAGGCTTCGATGTCGTCGACTGAACGTTTGCGATAAACAATGTTGCTGTCCCCCTCTTCAAATTTGCGGTCGACAATGCTTGTACATACCTGACAGAGGCTGTGGTTTATCGAGTTTCTGTCCTCCTCGGTCCCGCCTAGCACGACTTTGGTACCAGCTGGTGTGCTCATGCTGGCTGAGCTCTGTCAGCCACCTCAGTGGCGAAACACTAGAAAAGAGGTTCGTTCAGATGATACGAGAAGCAGGTTAAAATGCTTCTTAGATTTCACTGTCGTCTTCGCCATATCAAAATTCGGCGTACATGTGCTTCAACGAGACTTTTGGTAAGAAATTAGACATCAGTCTAGTGACAACATGCCGAAAATCGTAGGGATGGTTTCGGTCCTTGGCATCAAAAAGCTATTTTGAATGACAACATGCTCAGTGTAATGTATTGATATAACGTGTATTATGAGCCCGAGATCCATGTTGCTGGGAATGTGCCTAATCCATTAAGCTTATCCATTATAGAGAAAGGGCTGCAAGAAGTGGATCAGTGTCATGATCTGAAAATAAAACTGTATCGGTTTAATAGGACACCGATTTCGCACACCACTGTATGTAAATGTGCGTGTGTGTGTGTGTATCTGTGTTAAATCCCGTCTCGATTTCTCCGTAATATTCAATCTCCTAGAGACTCGAGAGCCCTTTCCCAGAAACGAAACATTGACTGACACCCTTCCTCTTCCTCTTCCTCTTCCTTCTGTCTTGATCTTCGTTAATGGAGAACAGGAGGTCATATTTTCGTGAGTTCACCTCGTACAGGCCCTCCTGAATGAGTCCCTTCCCAATATACGTCGACGTTAAAAGACTCCTCTTCCCCAAAACACACAGTTCCGTGCTACCGTTGTGGAAGCATGATCTCTCCTGTCCTATCTTCACGGTCATGTCTAGCTCGTTAGAGATGCCCCGTGAATCAAATGAGGTGGGTAGATCAACCATTTCCTCGGCCGGCTGGTGGCACCGCACGCTTTCTGCGACACCCCCTTCCACGATTTCAGGCCCTGCCAGAAGTGACAAGTCGGGAAATTGAGATGTTTGGTACCTGACTGCGTGCCTGCCCGTCATGGATGAATCGCTGGCCATGAGCACTGCGATCTATTGAGGCACTGTGCGACAATCTCTGGATCTGTATATCCCTCATTATGGGCTTACGCGCATACCCCCTCTTAGACCAGCTTCTCCAGAATCCAGGATGTGCATTCTGGCATAAAGGCCAGTATTTTCGAGCTCGCAATGCCTCAGAAATATCCGTCTCGGGGTGACGAAGCCGGTGCGGAGATAGGACGTGGCGCGGAATGTGTCTTGGTGCTCTGGACCCCGGAAGGGTAGGATTTTCGAGCATCGGACTGTCATTGAATGATCGTAATCGTGTCGAGCATTCCCTTCCATTACGTCTTCAATCATGCAACGTCCAAACGTCTCGAATATCTGTCGGATGTCTCTTTCCAGGTACGGGCAAGTTGACGCGAAGAGACAAAGGCAAGACTTCAGGCTTGCAGTTCAATGATTGTCGCCAAGCTGCCTCTCGATCGGCAAGATATTGAGCTCTGCCGGTGGGCCATATGCGTGCCATAAGGGAGGCGCGAAGGTGAGTTCGGAAGTTGATAGTCGAGGACTCACAGGCAGCGGCCATATGGCCGTCTTCGTGTGCTGTTGTTGCTCTAGTGCTAGTGTCCCCGGCATCTGGGGCTTCTTGAGAACAAAAGAAGCGGTGGTCTCCTCTTTGATCGGATGTTGCAGCAACAAAGTCCAAGCAGCACGCTGGTAGTGTGTGAACGAGCAGATGCCGTCAACTTTCAACTGGAGTCGGTGTTCCTTTCTCTTGCCACCTTAGCTATCCAACAACAGATATGCCGCTTCTACCTGCCCACTGTTATCAACACTGTTCTCTGCGCCACGGTCATTTTTAAGAAAACAGTTCCCCTGAATACCTCCCCTACTGAGTGCAAGAGTAATGTTGGCGCCGTAGACGACCGCTTGGCACCCATCGCCAGCGATATTGTTTGCAGCGCATTGGTCGATGCACTCGTCAATGCTGTACGCAATGACAGCAGTCAGGTCGACCACAGATCCGCCGCTCAGGGCTGCGACCCCACTTGGCCAATCTGTATCGCAGAGAATAGTCCAGGTTGCGTCGGTGAACAAGGGGGACACATAGTTTGTGTTGTTGTCTGCGGGACAATTGTAGCTTCCCTCGCCGGTGGTTGTGGCAGTAGAAGCAGAGGCGGTGGAGGTGGTGGATGTGCTTGTGGACAAGGATGAGGACCGGGTTGTCGTGGAAGTAGCAGGCTCGGAGGTGGCTGTAGAAGCGGACGCAGAGGTAGTCGCGACTGCTGTCGGGATTGCGGTAGCGGAAGACGTGCTGCTGGTCTTCAAGGACACAATGTCAATCGGAGCACGAATACAATGTGAAACAGGTCCAACTTCACCTTTGCTGAGTCGGCACTTGCACTGTCTGACTTGTTTTTGTTTGCAAGTACACCTCCTATACTTCCTCCGATGATGGCGGCGACTATCAAAGCCGTAGCTACGGCGAGCACGATTATGAGGGCTCTGCGGCTCAGACCACAGAACTTTCGTTTCGAACTTTGCTTGGACCAGGCAGGGTTCTCTGGAGCATCCGTTAGAAGTTGATCAGCCGCTTCCAAGCCTCCACCTCCGCTGCCGCCATTTGTACTGTCGTTGTTTGTGTTGTTAGGATTGGCAAATGCATAGGCGTCCGGATATGGCTGTGTCTGCGGGACGACCTCTTTACCATGGTCGATGTTGGACGCAATCTGCTTGTCGCTATAGGACGAGTGGTCTCCGGTAGGCGGTGGGGAAGCCATAGATGGCTCTCAAGCATGAAGCGCGATGGAATTGAGCAAAAGTGACCGTGATGAGAGAGTGAAATGCGACCGCAGATCGAAGCATGATCAGGCGGGAGCAGGCCCCAAGTCTGCATCTCTGGTATGGAGATGTGGACACCACGCGGGTCGTCAAAGTTCAAAGTGGGCATTGTTTGGTCTAGCGGCGCAAGGACTTCTGGTGCATGCCTGTAACGGACTGGCGAGGCGTTTGGCAAGAGCACCAGAAACACAGGACAGAAGGAAAAGGCCAGAAAAGCTGGCGAAACAGACCCATAGTCGCAAGACAAGGCATGAAACCAGCCAGTCAACGCCACACGCAACTCGCACTCGCAGGGGTCGAGCAGCAACACATCGGAAGCATGCATGCATCGCCAAAGTCAACACGACACAACAAAATATGCGTACAGACCTGCAGCGTATCAATCCTCGAGGACTGGCCATGGACAGAAAGCCCTCGATCCAGCGGCAAACGAGACTTTTGATTAGGATGCGCGATGCCAATCAAGTATGAAGAGACAAGATCAAGTCATTTAACGGAGGAGGCGAGGAGGAAACAACAAGGGATCCCCGGGTGGATGCCGGGGCTTGGCGGCGACAGTCGAGAAACGGCGCGGGACGCCTGGCCAAGTCCGCCTGCCGTGTGCAGTGTGCACAGCCACGGTTCCACCAGCTCAGAGTCGCTTAGCTATTGGCTCGGTGCCAGCCAAGGGCCAGGTCAGGATGCACCCGCGAGTCGTTCAGCCTGACGAGGCTGACAGGCTCCCTTCTAGGTACTCGGTACACTCAATGCGATCACCTAAGAATTGAGTATCTCCTCCCGAGGCAATCCAGGAGTCCATTGAGATGTGACTGAACGACTACTCGGCACACAACTTCTACAGCTTCCCGGACGGTCCCTTCTTCAGTGTGAATAGGTTCCTCTGTCCATCGTTCCGGACCCGCCCCGTCCGTCCAATCTTCTCGTCTCTTCCGGACGAAAGCTGCTTCAACGTCTCCTCGTCCGCGTGATTGGCTATAAACCGGTGGTCGGAGCTCTTCAGTCGACCGACGACGTATGCTCGGAGCGGGGTATTGTCGCGCTTGAATTCGACAGTGTATGTCTGTTGGGTGGTTGAGCGGAGCAATCAGCATTTCCGCCCATATTTATAGTAGAGGACGCTGGGAGGAGGTGCCAAATCTTGGAAGGTTACACATACCTCGATAACAGCATCCTGCTCCCCTTCGACTTTGCCATCGACCTTTGGAACTGGGATGTCGGTCACAAACTCCGGCAATGGGTCTCTGTCAGGGTAAGGGGAGCCGCCTCGTCGGCGCGTCGTCGACAGACATATCACATGCTGGTAGGTCATGACACCACCGTTCGCAAGGATCAGACCGTGTCGACCCTTCCCCTTTCTCAGTTGTCGCGTCATCTCTGTCAAAGCCTGCGGGAAGGAGAGAAAAGAGTGAGCCGTTGCCTGCCATTTCCCTGACGAAAGAATGCGGAAACTTACGTGCATGGAGTAATTGTTTCCTGCACCACCGAAGCTGGTCAGCCCCCCAAGGAGAGTTATAGGCTTGCTCCCATGTGTTATCGGCAGGTTCAGATGTGATGCGGCGATTTTCGGGACAATCGGGAAACATCTGCACCAAATATATGTCAGAGACTGCAATAATGGCCAGCTACTGGCGCTGGCTTACGAATAAAAGTCGAAAAGGTCGATGTCTTCCTTGGTCAGACCAGACACATGCAGACCTGCATCGATGGAGCGTTCGATTGACGGACTCGTGAAATAGTTCGGTCGTTCCCAGACTACGCGATCAAACACTCAGTAACTCTGCAAATCATGCCTCTCCGAAAGGCTGAGGAGATACACACAGTTACTACTGTCCTGCGTGCCAGCACCACCAAGGACGTATATCCACTTTGTCTTTGGGATGCCCAGTTCTTCCGCGTAGTCCGTCGAGGTCAGGATGCACGCGCCGGCCAGATTGATGGTGTTGAACGCATTCATCAGAAGCGGATCTAGCGTCGCTTTCGGTCAGCACAAACCTGCACCGACACACAAACCTCTCACCGCCTTCCCTGGTGACTGGCAATAACTCACAAGGGAAGCATATCATGCGATTGCGCTTCGTTACCGTCCCGATGACTTCCTTCGTGGCAGCTGGCTTGCCGTAATTCCAAGCATAAGGTTGGTTCTCTGCCACTTTGGCGAATTCGGCGTAAAGCTGAGACGACTCGTCGTGGTTTTCGGGTATTGATTGACCGCGGTGCGCACGGAAGGCGTTCTCGAAGAGCGGATAGACGTGGATGGGCGCTCCTATCGAGTGGACGGCTCCAATATCTTGGGAGGGTTGTGAGTAAATTCTGAGGATCAAGAAAAAGAAGCAGAACACAGCTTGATTGAATTGCCACATTTACCTTTGCCCAGATCTCTGCCTGTAGGAGTGAAAGCTTTATCGACTCTTTCCTTGGTCTTGGTCCATCCTGGCGGCGGTAGCTTCTTGGCAGTAGCGCACGCAGTCACTATGTCAGAGAGAGGAGGATTAGCATCGAGACAACGCTCCTGCTGGAGAGAGAGTGTGTTCGGTAGAGCATGTCTCTTACAGGATGCCAATGCCTCTCCTCCCGTAACAACTGCGACCTTCGTCTGGCCCTTTGAAATTCTCCTCGCGGCTTGATCGAATAGTTTGGCAGGCTTGTTTCCGCCGTGGTCACTGTAGAATTGATGCCGAGCGTTGACCCCTAACGCGCGGCCAATGTCACCCGGGAGGTCGTCATATGGCCACGTCCACGTGCGGACCACGTCGATGCTATCAATGGCAGCCTGAAACTGCTGCTTCTTGTCCTGGGGGAGACCAGTGTCTTCCAGCGCGATATTGATGGCGTTCAGGATTAGTGTCAATGGTTCCTGCGCGTCAGCGACCGAGGTTGACCGATTGACGAAGTCGCCAACGCCGACAACGATGGGAATCTGAGGCGACATGGCTGCGACGAGTTGGACTTCACGCGACGAACAAAACTCACTATCTGTATCGACAACGCAGAATCATCTTCAATAAAAACTGGATGCCAGTCTCACGAGTCGAAACATGTCCAAAGGCGGAGAAAGAGGTGCGTTGATTGGACAGAGGTCTCCATTGCCGAACTGACGCTGATGACCACCCACAGTAAGCCGAGGTATTGAGTACTTTCGTGGCATCAAAAAGAGCCCCTGAGATGCCGTGCCCGCTGTCGGCACAGCGGCTGTCGCTTGGATCAAGCTCGATTCGAGGTTCACGGTGCTGCGGGCTCCCATCGTATCCGAATTGACATCAAGCAAGCAATCGAAAGAGCTTGAGACAAGATTGCATTGAGCTCTGTGCCTTCGCAGCCTTTCTCCCACAAACCTGCAACGCCTGGGTATGAAGATCTCACATCGATATCTCCAGAAGCAGCACACTTGGGCAGATGTACGCCTGTGGATTGTGGACCTTCCCAACTGAGGCCTATTCATCACAGAGCCGCAGAAGAAAAACCGAATGGTATCAATACGCCTGGGATATGGGTGGGTTGCGACACAGGATGCACGACCAAGTCTTTTTTTGAATGATAGAAGCCTCGTGGCGCAGTTGTTTCAAGACCGCGGACCCCAAGCTCATAAGTGAAGCAGACCTCTACAAGTCACAGGCACACTGTCGCAGGCGACCCAACCAACAAAACATGAAGCCCTAAAGTCCTCCTTGGAATACCCGCCAGCTAAAAAACAAAGTGGTCTGCTGCCAACTCTTCTTAGACAAGAACCAAAACGCGATATCCAAAAGTGATTGATAGGGTACTTGCTGCCTTGAGCTCCAATCCGCACGCGGAGCTACGCCCTGTCCTAGGAAATGGATCAAGCTCCTTGTCGGGCTCCGTGATGGGATGTCGCGGCCCGTCGCGGTATATTGTTTTACCAGATGGCCCACTGGAGGGACGAGCCTGTCTAAGGACAAGTACCGAAGAGAGGTACAGTGCACTCTGGGCAGCGGGATGGGCACATGCAGTTGCTTCGGGTGGATATGAAGTCCACAATGACGACGGAAGCACTGGCCTCTAAAAGGTGCGTCTGCACGCAGTTGGCCGTCGACAAATAATAAGAAGCTGCAAGCCTGCAAGCTAGTTGTTTGCCAACAGCATGACCTCAGGAGGAGATGACTCCTTGAAGGTTTTGGCAGATGTCTAGCAGCACCACCTTTCACTTGGCACTCTCTTGTCCGGAGTTGTACTACCTCTGCTTCGTGTTTTTCTGTGACACCTCATCGACACGTGGAGTATGCCTGAGGCAGCACATGCTCATGGAGTTTGAAAACCAGCGAAAGATCTTGGCCGCATAGGCATTCAGCTTCTCCTGTTAGATCAAATGACCCGTGCAGCCCCACCTTGTTATAGACCAAGAAATGTCAACAGCACGCCTTGTTCATAGCCTCATGCTGGCTGTCGACGAGAGTTGAGGCTGATCGATGTGCGCACTCATCAAGCACGTTCCGAGGGATGGCGCATGCCCCTCATCGGGACTCAGGGCTCGTCTTCGTGGTGGCTAGTAGCGTCGGTAGCCTCACACGCCTCGGTAGCCTCAGACCGGAGGAAAACAGCGGAGAGCCACTCGATATAATGTTTCCGGTGGAAATAGAAAGACCTTTTCAAGGCATTGACGGAATAATGCGTAATACGGAAACCTGTAACGCCGGCTAATCCTTTATGCGGATTGGAACACAAAGTCAACCCCGTCGTATGGAGATCTCGTCTGCATGAAGATCTTGTGGAGATTTCGCAGTCCGAGTTCGAAGCTTGTGCGGAGAATCCGCGATGGGATTTTCGCGCTTGGGAATACGATTGCAGGCTTGCAGCGCCCAGCTCCAGGGACCAGGAACACTCTTCATACTTTAGCCGTCACGGCTTGTCGCCACCATCCCTTGCTTGTGGGGGTCGCCTCCACGTCCGGTTAACGGAGCCGTTCCGTTGCTTGTTGGGAAGGGTACCTCGTCATATAAGCATGGCGATCTCTTGGGCGTTGTCGTTTTCATATCTCTACGGATTGAAAACTCCCATCCTTTTGAGGCATTGTGCGGACATTGGCAGTCTTTGAGCATCAAACAGTATGGCCGACGAAAGCAGCATGGACGATTCGCTTGAGCTTTTCAAAAGGAGAAGCCGGATGGCTCGATGGCGACAGTATTTGGCAGAAGATGCAAACAAAGAATGGGGAGATCTGGTTTTGATTGTCGCCTGTTTCATATCAGGTCTGGTTGACAGTGCAGTCTTCAACGTCTGGAGCTGCTTCGTGAGCATGCAGACCGGTGAGTCCCCGGGTGCGCGTATAGTGGTCAAGGACTGGATGGCTGACATGAACGGGCTGCAGGAAACACCGTATATGTTGGTTTGGGCATGTCTGGTCAACCTTTGAGTCAGCCATATCGTTGGGTGAAGTCTGGCACGGCGATCCTCAGTTTCTGCTTGGGGACCTTTTTCTTCAGCCGAGCCTGTCGTTTCTTTGGCCCGCTTCGCCGAGGTACTCTGAGCGGCTCGTGCCTGTTTCAGGCTCTGCTCTGCTTCATCAGCGGGATCCTCGTGGTCAGCGACGTTGTCCCCAACGATGCCGGCAGCCGGCTACCCTACAACTACATCGTCCTGCTGCCTCTGGGGCTCCTCTCATTTCAATCGGCCGGTCAAATAGTCATGAGTAGGATGTTGTTGTACAACGAACTGCCAACGGTTGTCCTCACAAGCACATACTGCGACCTGATGTTCGATCCCACCCTATTCACGGCACCCATCACCCAGAATCCAAAGCGCAACCGCAGATTTGTGTCCGCCGTGGCGCTTCTGCTTGGAGCTGGACTCGGAGGCGTTTTGACCGAGGGCGGCGATATTTCTAATCCTCTCTGGATCGCAGGAGGCACCAAAGTCGTGATGGGCGTGGTGTGGCTCTTTTGGAGAGCAGAGGGATCTATCCGGTTGGAGTAGACGAGCGGTGCTGGTCTCTTCGGAGCAGTCGCAGCCACTGGCTGGAGGGCGGGAAAATTACCTCTGTGTTCACATGGCGCGATGGCAAGAGGCGCTCTGAGCGGCGGAAAGGCCGAACCTCATGTATATATTCTTTTCAAGAAGAGAACCGGCTGGTTGATCGATCAACTCAGTCAACAACGATCAACCGCATGATCTCTGGACTGCCACACGTGATAGTCACGGATAAACATATTGTTCCGAGAAAAGGGGGCAACATGTCAAACCCCTTTGTTCTACCGTGAATACATTTTCCCTTCACCTTTCCCGTCTCTCACCAGTCGACCGTCTTTGACAGGGACTGTCTCGGATCCCGAAATTGACCGATGGAGCTGACCGCAACCGGGCTGGAAATCATGCCTTATCTCTCGCAAGTCCGTAGCCGCTGGCCATCCGCCTCGCCAGCTGTGGAGAAAACCGGATCAGGCTCGAACTGGCGGTGAAATTGCGGCTCCGGCTAAATGTTACGACAAAGGGGACATTATTGCATTGCTTCTGAGAATAGTGGAGCGCAGTCAACAAAAAAAAGTAGGTAGATGGTATCTGCTGGTGATAGATATCCTGCATCCACAGCGCCTCGGTCATATAACAGAGGCTCTTCTCTTCTGCCCTCATAGGACTGTACAAAAGGAAAACGCCTTTCGGCAGGTCGCGTCGCCGCACCATGTGCACTGCCATCGCCTTTGCCCAGGAAAGGATGAGATCAGCCCTGCTGGGTCTCCCTGCTGCTTCCCTTGCGCAGGTCATGCCTTTACACAGCACACTCGTCGCCAAATACTGATCATCATTCATACACTCATACACTCGAACCCATCCGATACCCAGCGGGACGCTCGCGAAGACAACATTCAAACCACAACCCGAGGTAAGACCTTCTCTCTCAAAACAACATGCTGGGGATTATTACATCTTCTCACGATGGGTGATTGTTGTGTTCTCCTCACTGCTGTCCGTCTTGACGACGACCTCGCAGATTTCATGGTCCTGTCTGGAGGCCACAACAGCATCGGCGACAGTTCGGAACACCCTCACCGACGTCGGCTTGGAGGTGTCGAATGAAGCGTCCCCGTCCAGCAAGGTCCAGCCCGCCCGCTCAAAGCGCTCGCGAGTCATATCGTTGAGATTAACGAGCCGGACTTCGGTGCCGTCGCCGGCATAGTGTCTCAGCTCAGAGAAGAAGTTCTTCAGACCTACTACACCGCTGGTATCGAAGTAGTTGACCTTTGAAAAGTCAAGGATCACCACATTGATCGGCGGTAGGCTTTCTCCTTGGGTCTTGGCCTTCCTGCGCAGCCGTGCGATACGTTTCTCTCCCTCGACGGACCAGTTCCGTTCACGCTCCTCTCCGTTGCGGCTATTGTATTCTGGAGCGTGGTAAGTTTGGATGACGTCCAGAATGTTGGTCTTGACCCTCTGGATGTTGGGGAAAAAGAAGGATTCTTCAAAGCGGAACACCCGAGTGTCCGGAGGAATATGGGGCGGCAGCCCGCGTGCGGCATCCAAAGAAGCCGCGAGTTCCGAACGCGAGTCTGCTCCGACCGTCTTCGGCTTCTTGAAGACTTGTCGGAGCAAGACATATACCACGTTGCAACCCACCGCGCTGGCGATACCAATCTCAGTCGAGGTGAACAGACACACCCAGAATGCCACCATGGCTGTAACAAAGTCGGCGAATGAGGTTTTCCAGAAATGGTAGTAAGTGCTTGGTTTGCCGATGAGTGGCCAGATGGCCGTGATGACAATAGCAGCAAGCGTCGCCTTTGGAATCCAATACAGGGCTCCGGTCAGCTTGTAGATGGAGAGAACGATGACACCAGTGGAGACCAGGCCAGAAAGCGGGGATTTGACATTGCACTGGGAGTTGACGGCCGTTCGGGACATGGCGCCACCAACACCCATGACCGTGAAGAAACTGTTGAAGATGTTGGTCACCCCAAGATAGCAAAGCTCTTGACTGGGATCGATGACATAGTTGTTTCTGAGGCCAAAGGCACGGGAAATTCCAAGATGCTCAATGGAGGCACCCAGAAAAGCGGCAATGCTGCGACCAGCAACTTTCCCAAGCAGGTTAGCGTCGACTGGCTTGGGAGTGCGGATGGCGAGGGATGGGATCTTGCTGACATCGAACAGGTAGTCTTTGCTACTGCGTCCCTTGTTGACGCCGTAGCTGATGCCGGTGAATAGAAGAAGACAGATGAAAGCCCGAGTGATGGACAGGAACCAGATGAATTTGTTCTTGCTGCCCCATTTCTCGCCGACCTTTTGCAGGGCGACTAGGAGGATGATGCCAGCAAAACCGATCCCGGCAGCACGTCCATTGCAAGTATCGAAATTGGTCAGGATGTCACGAATCTGGTTAGCGACGCCGCTGCCCACGTTGTCCTCGCCGATGAGATTGGCGACTTGGCCGAGGCCAATGGTGATGGCAACGGCGGAGATGAAGCCGGTCAGCACTGGGTAGGAAATGAAATCGAGCAGAAAGCCCAACTTCAAGACACCGAGACCGGCCATGTAGATGCCCATGGAGAGGGCGACCGCAGATGAGATTGCCTCTGGAGCATATCCTTCCTTTGTGAGGTCGTCCACGACCTGGCCCGTCATCAACCCGATCAATGAAGTCGGTCCAGTTGAGACATCTGCAAGCACAATGTAAGCATACGATCAAAAGAGTTCAACAGGGGAAGTGGGAGATTCTGCAAACCTTTTGACGTGCCCATAACGGCGTAGATAACCGCGGGCGCCCAGCAGGACATGAGACCATACTGGACGGGGATTTTTGCGATTTTGGCATAGGCCAGACCTTGGGGGATCAACATGAGCGACACGGTCAAGCCAGCCACAAAGTCGGTCAGTAGCCATCGATAGTTGTATCGAGGCAGCCAGTCGACGATGGGCGCCTTTTCAGCGACATATCTTGCCGCCACCCTTGGAGTGGCACGCAGGCCCTGAGCCCCATAACGGGCGATCCGGTTCCAGGTAGCATCGGTCTTGAAATCATCCTTCACCCTCTCGACGACCTTCATGATGATGGTGGTTGCAGTCTCTTTTGGAGAAGCACCCGAGGTAGTTTTGGTATCGAGGCAGAAGAAAGGCAAAGCAGACACAGGGGAAGGGGAAAGGAGATTTCTCGAGAGGTGAAATATCTGATCAGGATTGAAAGAGAGGCTTTCTTGATAAGCTGGGGAAGACGGCTGGGAATATAATCAATATGCATGTCAGAGAATGTGACAAACAAGCAGGCTAGAGCATCCCCTCCACACTCCATGCAGGATAGACCGGCAAACCCATGTCGAACATTAGAAGAGTATTTTTGTATGTTTGAAAGGCTTTCGCCTTCTTCGTCTAAATGTGCGCTAAATCAGGGAATGTGTCTGGTCTAGAAACGCACAAGATGTGTGAGAGCTGATCAACCACAATAGAGAACGTGGAGAAAAGGCTAGCGGGGAGAGTGGACGGTGTGTGCTGTGTATGTTAGTGTACGAGGGTAAGAAAGAGGACAGGACGATCGCAGAGAGGGTGTGGTTAGGAAGAGCCGGGGGAGGGGAGGGAACGTGGGTGAGCAGCGTTGCCAAGCAGGAAGTAGCAGGTGAAGCCTACAAGGCCTAGGAGCTTAGTCGCTCCACTAGCCCCGAGGAGGCTTGTTCCAGGGGGCATAGGCTCCATCAATCACGGCGTGCGGGCGAGGGCGGGCCAGGCGCGATACCCCAATGGCACATCTGCAGTGCGGGGGTGGGGATGGTCATTGGAGGACACACACCTGCGGGCACCTGCAGACACCTGCGCCTCTCATCCATGGGGCTGCCCCTTGACTCAATCCAACCTCTCCCACTCCCCAAAGCTGAATAACCCCGGACGCAACAAGCCTTCGTATTCCGCCTGTCATGGACATTCGTGCTTAGTATGCTTAAACCATCTCCCGAACCACTATTCCCAAAACCTTAGCCCTTGGTTACACGACTTCTGAAGCAATGCAATGAGCCAAGGCATGCTGGGCCATGCACTTTGCCCACCAAGCCACGGAGCCTACTTCCAGACAACGACACAAAGATTGATCCACAAACCTTGTTCCCCTCCGCGTGGCAAAGCTCCCTGGGGTGGTGGTCTTCGCAGCCCAAATCCGGGGTCTGGGGGTTTGGTGGGTTGGCACGGTTGGGAAGAGCGACAATTTCCTGGGGAAGTCAAACGCACAATTCGCGAGGTGCCTTGATTCAGGACTAGCTGTCATGAATACAATATCGATACCATAAAGCTTGTAAGGGCTTCACACCGGGAAAACAAATAAGCTGGATCTGAATCGATGTCTGGAGGGTCGGATTTGTCGACGCCCACTCCTTAACCGACAACATGCCCAGCGGCCAGCCGGTCGCCTCTCACTTCGGTTATGAGATCCCTGATCTAATTTGGACGTCAACATCTGCAATGCCTGTCCCATGTGCCAAACCTCCGGCTGGTGACTAGAACACAAGCATTCCTTGATCAGAGCTCGCATGACCACTCCAACCAAGGGAGGGTTCCTCTTCTAGACCGTGGACCGGTAGTTCAGTGCCCGTGATCGGCAGCCCAATATGGGTACCTTCAAGTCCAATGGGACCCTGGACAGATCTCACACAGTGGTAGTTCCAGGATAGCCTGTGGCAACATGCATAGGTCCAGCCCAGACGTACCCAGTTGGACCCCTAGTCTCGAGGCAATCAGCATGATCCGAGGCCTCAACAGTGGCAATGGCACTTTCTGTCGCTTTGGCCGATTCGCAAGAAGAGAACCCTGAGGAAAAGGTTCTCTGAGCGAAGAAGTCGATTTCTCCCGACCTTTATATTCATGTTCAGATGTTGGATCGGGCGCTTTCGGGCTAATAGTTATCACCATCTAGACCACGGTGCCAACGCCGGAGATTCGAACGGCTGTTCTCCCCTCCTCCGGACACCGACAAATTTCCGTAGCACATCAAACCTTGTCTTCTGAATATTCATAAGAGATGCTGGTAGCCCTTCGTTTGCTGGAGACCCGTGACACGTAACCGCTCTCGTGGAAGCCCCAGGGTTGAGACAGCGAGGCAGCAACAATCCACGCCAGAAGCAGCGACCGGGAAAGATGGACCTTTCTGCCGACCAGAACGCCGACCAGACTCCAACAATAGACATCAATGTTTTCACGCCGGTACAGACGCTGAGAGCCCGGTAAAGTCCTCTCCGAACGATACCAGACGGCAAGACTCACTGTATTCCCATCTCACCAGAGTGCAGCCTCGAGTCCACCAAAGTCACTTGATCCGCTGGGTGAACCTTTAGCCAGAAGCACATTCGTCGCCCACCAAGAGAGGTCCCAGGTCCAAAAGGGATGTGGGCACCCATTCTTCAGCAGTGTGCCCCTCTTAGTGTAGCCCGAGTATGTTTCTTGCTCCAGAGATCCGGAGCATGAGGAGCCCCAGCTTGTGGGCAACGGCAGTGTCGTGAGAAGCTCAGCCCATTGGTTGTTTTGTCGCAAAGGTAACATACCTGTGGCTAGCCTGGCTGATTCCAGCGAGCCCATGCGATCCGGCCGGTCGAAGTCTTGCCACCCAGCTCGTGCCGAGCTGGGTAATTCGATTAAGCGGCAGCCTGCTCGTGAGGACATCTATATTGGTGGCGCATTAGTTCGCAGACAGCACAAGTACCCAGGAGCCACATGCTCGATTTCGCGATCGTTCCTGAGAGATACGTTGGGTTGTCGACCTCACTGGGTTTCAAAGCAACAACATCTTTTCGAGTGGGGGTGGCGACCTCCTCAACCGCTTCATGCTTCCGAGAATATCAGTGGAGCTTGTCGTGACGGGACTTCAGCGCGTGGTTGGCCGTCTGGCGATGCAGTCTTGCAGCAAAAGTTGCCACTCTGATGACGATGGGTGAGGTCTCCGGGGCGAGAAGCATCTAGCCAAAGACTGGCCTCCACCGGCCTCTCAGCACGGCTCCTTCTTCGAATCCACCTTTTGGAATCTACTAACTCGGGACCCTTTCTGGAGAGAGGTCTCTCTTCAACAAGAGCGTTATCCGGTTAATGAATCAACCCAGGGACTCGAGGTTGGTATTGGAGAAGAGTTGCCGAAGTCGTCGAACTATCGCCATATCCCAGTGTGACTTGATCGTATAGCTGCGGCTTCAAATTCCGTACCTGTATCTTTATCGGTTAACCGGAAGTGCAGAGTTGTAACTGTCATCTTCTTGATCAAAACACTTGCCGTAAAAGGACTGCAGAGCGCAGGACTCATCTGCGTTGGAGGCATGCTCTTTTACAATCCAGCCACGCCATGTGGCACCGGTGTCGGTCGAGATGGCCACGTTCAGAGACGCACTCATGGTGGGCGACCAAGGATCGATCAACCTCTGGCGTGATCCAACCTCGGACCAAGTGAGAGCAGCCAGGGATCCTGCCTCGCTGTTTGGAGTCGCAATTGCAGACAATTCTAATGCACTCTTACCTGAGAAAGGACCGCCCCAGAGCCCCATCGTCGTAGCTATCAGCAGAAGTATCGTTCTGTGAGTCTCGTTGCCGACTGATCGCGCCTGGGATCATCCACAGAGGAACATTTACGAGGAATGAAGACGAAGTTAGGTACGCGCTAAATCCCGGACTAGCCTTATGCGTACTAATATTATCGATTACACTGTCAAGTCTGTCGAGCTAGGCGCGAAGTGGGCCAATCAAATGCCATGAGGCGCTGATTGTGCCTTACCGGGAGTTTCCAGCCACGGTCTGCTCAAAGCAACAAGCTCGGTCACGTATACCTGAACTGGTCCCATCGCGAACACAGGCTTGTCAGAGAAAGAACAGGAAGCAGGCTATTGAGGTCGCCTGATCTTTCATCCTCAATATTTCGTTTGTTTGTTGAAAGAGACACTACCTTCGGAAAACGAGTTCCTACACTATCCTTCAGTACCATGAATTCGCCGAATATTATGCGTTGATTACAGCAGCGCACGTCGCTAGGTGAGGGCTAAACTATGCTTGCGACTACCGGTAAAACAATTGCAGCCAGACTCCACGGGAAACGGCCTGAAAGGCGGCTCAAAGATTTCGCAGACGGCCTCTGGTATCGCCATGGTAACTTCTGAGGAAATGAGCATGACAGACCTCAGCGAAGCTCCGTCAGCAGCAATATACTTGCATGAGTAAGTCCGATATTCAAGGTCATGACGAGACTCGTATTGATCTCTCGGTGGAAAATCGAGGAAAGTCGAATATCGAGGATTGAGGATTGAGGATTGAGGAAATGTATTGTCAGCCTTTGCAGACCGGGTCAGGGCTTGATGACATCCTGTTCACCGATCATCTAACCAAGATCCTAAGACCTGACCTTTCTCGCGCAGCTTAGAATGTGAGGAATGTGTATCGCGTTGGTGGTCCTCCTATACATGGCTCTTCTGGTTTACCGTATTCTTGCATCAGAAATGACTTCTTCCAGGGACAGGTCGTCAACGTTTCCCAGTGAGGCCAACAATGGGCCACGGCGTCAGATCACAATGCTCGATAGAATTTCTGTCTCAGAGGCAGCAACCTGCAGCATTCCAAGTCGTTGATGCATAGATATCCCAAAAATCGAAAGTCATCTACAGTTGCTCAGTGCAGCACAGCCCACTTAATGTCTCTGACCAGTGTCAGCGCCATTCACACAAGCAATGCCGGGACTATAAACGGCTCCGAATCCATGACTTGAGAAAACCTGCTATAGTGGACATCGATGAGTATACCTTACGCAGCGATGCCAGGACTCGAGTCCTTGATTCGCTGAATCAACTCGGATTCGAATCCTGGATGAGCCACCCCTGGATTTTGGCAGGAGTCGAATCCGAGCTGACGCAGCGGATCAAGGAGTGAAGTCCCGGAAATACTGACCTTATGGTCCGAAAGATACGCCGAGCAGGAGATCGTCAAGGTTGAGGTCCCAGGGTTGAAATATGAAAGCCTCACATATCATCGGAACCCATCGAATGAACGGTAAGCTATAACGACCAAAACCCGGTGTTTTCTTCGAAAACCTGGACACTTCAAAGTTGAAATTGCCGAGATCAGAACTGAGTTTGAACAAATCCGCGTCTGCAGACTGCAGCCTCGAAGTTACACTACTCAGCGGTTGAATTGTGCCCTTTTATCATGGCTTTATTGTCCGCTCAACAGGTCCGTGTCTCTGTACCCTGTTTCCTCGTGCCTGGTGGACAAGATTTCTACGAAAAGGGGATGGTAAAAGGGAAGAAGCCAGGAAAAGAGAAAGTAAAGGAAGGGAATGTAATGGAAAAAGGGGAAAAGAGCACTCTCATTGAGAAAGACACCGGTTCGCTCGATAAGAGAGAAGTTAGAGAAACCCCCAACCCCCACTGCAGAATTCACATTGAACGAAACGGGTACAGAGACATCCAGATGAATCCAGGCTTGCGTGGCATGTGGCGGTTCAGGCTAGTCAATTGACTCTCCGCACAGTCACCCTGATCGTGCTGCACATGGTCTGAGTGAGGTACACAGGAATCCACCGGAGATGTGCCATTCCACTACGATCCTTGACACGGTACGAACCTCTCCCTGAAGATCAAAGTCAAGCTCCAGAGAGAAGCAGGTCTGACGAGCCAAGAGATGGAATGGACGGAGAAGCTGCGTTGGATGGATGGATCAACCACGCAGGACAACATTCTCTGCCATTTCTCCTCCGACTTTCGACGCCTACTCGGTACAGGTCCATTGGACTTTCCCTATGACAGATCCGTCACATTTCTAATCGGGGGGAGCAGCTCGGTCGTTTATAGTAGCGACTCGTAAGGTAGGCCGAGATACATTTGTTGTAGACGTAATCACATACTCTGTCTGGAGAACGAAGCACACACAAACACACACAAAGCAAACGCGCCCAAACAATCCATCGGAGCGTCACGAGATTTTCTTGTCCTGTCTAGGTAGGTAGCCTTATTGCTGGAGAGTCAAACCCCCGGGAAAACGCGGGGGATTTGGATGCCGAAATGTTGGATCTGTGTGGAGGCCTGACCGGCAACCCCCCCTTTTTGTGGCCAGCCTTGTTCTGCGCCCGCTTCTTTCAAGCCCTCTCAAGAACAGGCATCACAGCCAACGGACACTCGACATCCACCGTGCTTCCACCCTCAAGAATCTGCCCATCTTCATCATGGCCCTGGACCTCCCCGTCGTCAAACCTCTTCCACTTGGCCCCTTTTGGGAGATATACCTCTCGCCTGCTCATGCCGGGGTACATGACCGGCGCCACCAGGTACTTGTGTCCAAACATGTACTGGTCCTCTACCTCCCAGCAGTGCTTATCGTCCGGAAACTCCACAAACATGGTCCGAATCACCGGCGTGCCCTTGTGGTGAGCTTGGGCCATGAGTTCGCGGATATATGGACGGAGTCTCTCGCGCAGGAAGAGGTACTTTTTCATGATCTGGTAGCACTCGTCGCCGTAGCACCAGATTTCATTGGGCGCTCCGGAGAGGCAGGTCGCGCCACCGGTCGTGCCGTGTTGAGGCTGTTTGGGTTCCCGGTCACCGTGGAGGCGGAAGACGGGACAGAAGCAGCCTAGATCCACCAACACTGTCAGAATGGACGGGCACGACAGGCTGGTTTTTTTTTTTTTTCCATTGATCAAACTCACCGTATTGGAACCATCGGGTGCAGAGCTCACGGAATTCAGGGTGCTTGGGATTTCCTCCATGAAAGCCACCTTGGAGAGAGGAGTCAGTACAGTGTATGGGAGCAAAGGGGTTCACAGAGGTCGGCTTGCCAATGTCCGTAGTCCACCATGGGATACCGGCAATCCCAACATTCAAGCCCGCGGCAAATTGGTCTCGAAAGCTCTTCCAGCTGCTCGCAATGTCGCCACTCCACAGCAACGTCCCGAATCTCTGACTTCCAGCCCAGGCACAACGGATGAGATTGCAGACATCCTTTTGTTTGCCGTCCTTGACCATTCCTTCGTAGAACGCCTTGGCATATTCCACCGGGTACGCATTCCCCGTGCTCAATACACTTCCACTATGGTACCGATAAATGTCAAAGTCGTAGGCACTGTACTCCGGCTCTGCCTCGTCGAGCCAGAAGAGCTTCACGCCCTTGTCGTAGTAATTCTTCTTGACTGTTTTCCAGACAAATTCCCTCGTCGCCGGATTCGTGAAGTCAGCGTGCACGGTCTCTCCCTGAAAGTCCATTGAGATGCGCAGTCCGCGGTCTTGCCGTATAAGAAGTCCGTTTTCCAGCATAAGCTCGTAGTTTTCGGATCGCCTGTCGACTGTGGGCCAGATGGAAACGAGGAGCTCAATGTTCATCGACTGAAGCTCCTTGATCATGTCGTCTGCATGTAACGCCAAGTTTTCACGACGTCTCGTCAGAGCTATATTCTTCCACCTTGATGGTATGGTCGCCCTTTTCAAGGGCAGATTGAGGTGAGAAAGAGTCGATTTGGAGTTTGATGGCTGAGGGAGGAGGGGAAAAGTGGAATCCAGGTGCTGGCTCTGTCGCCGACTCCTTCCACGTCGACAACAGTCTTCGCATGGCAGACTCACCGGGGTCTTTCCAATATGTTGGATCGAACTTCCATTCTCCTTGCTTTGGCCCTGTCATGTCGCGTTAGCTACCTGTTGGAAGGCGTCACGTAGCTATGAAATCGCACGCGCGGACCTACAATGAAAGAAGTCCACCACGATGACATCAAGCGGCAAATTCCGTTTTCGGTACTCTCGTGCAACATCCAGGAGTTCTTCTTGCGTCTGATATCTCAACTTGCATTGCCAGAAGCCTAGGCCGTACTCTGGCATCATTGGCACTTTGCCCGTGACGTCCGCATAAGCTTCGATGATCTGGGTGGGAGTGTCACAAGCCACAATCCAATAATCAAGCACCCTCGTGGAATAGGCCTCGAAGCTCATCGTGTTCTTCCCCAAGACAGCTCTGCCGACGGCTGGGTTGTTCCAAAGCATGCCGTATCCCAGGTTCGAGAGCATGAAAGGAACGGTCGCTTGGGAATTGCGCTGAGCCATTTCAAGGTCGAGTCCCTTGAGGTCGAGAAATGGTTGCTGATACTGGCCCATGCCATAGATTTTCTCATTTCGATCAACAGACTCCAAACGGTAGGTCAAGTGGTAGTCACCGCCCAGTAAGGGCTTGAATTCCCGCGCCTCGATCATCAAGGCGCTGCATTTGGGATCCTCGACATCGGCACGGTTGCGCTGGTACTCTTCAAGTAATCGCTCGCCCTTGGCATTCTTGATGATGATCTTGCCGCGTGAAGAAATCGTGGCACAAATGTTGCCATTGCTGATGGACGCATGTCCGTCACGCATGAAAATGGATACATCGGTCTTTGGAGGTGTGACAGTCAAAGCCCAGTCTTCGGCCGGAAGAGTATGAAACTTGGTGGCACGAACACGAAGGGCATTGGGACCCCACGCTTCGATCTGGACACGTTCAGAGTCGTAGGTATAATGCAGCGTATCGTCTTTGGAGAGTAACATGGTTAAGAGCCCCTCGAGCAGGCTATCTCAATCACTCTGGGCTTGACGCGCAAGGCACGAGTCAATCTTTCGGACCTTGGGAGCTTTGAAGAATGTGCTGAGGTTCCCCCGCCAGATCCAAGCTAAAAGGGAAGGTTGTAGATTTCCTACCGCGTGGGCGTGGCTATGCAGTGCAAAAAGTTGCCTGATCAACCACGGAACTTCTCAAACCAGTGATGCCGCCCGGCTGAATTGCGGAGATGGGGCTTTGATATCAGGCACATTTCGGCTGCCCATCAGTTCCGTCCATAATCATCCTCAGCATCCACGACGAGGCTCTTCTTGGTAATGTTCCATGGTGCCCTTCACATTCTTGGTGCATAACCCCAAACTGTGAATTGCCAGGAGGGTGTAATTGGGACGCACAAGCGGCTGGACACCCCCCACCGAGACACCGCGCCGAACTACCCAAGCCCAGGGTGGAAGGTCCGTTGGAGCATTAGGAGGGTCATTTGATCTCCAGAATGAGAAGCTCGATCGAGCACGGAAGCATCTTCTTGTCGGATCAGGAAGGGATCGAACGTCTTGCACCATCGCCAGTCTCATCCCAGTAACAGGCTCAGCACACAAGCTGAAGGAGAGTTTTTTATCCGTCGGAGCTCCACCCCCGCTTTGAAGCACGTGCTTTCGCCAGCCTGCGCGTTGCCTGGTCACGTGTCAGGCTGGGATAAGATTCTCACTACCGAGTACAAGCACGAGCTACACATATTTTTACACCCCGTGTATCCTAACCCGTCCGTTCATCCGTCCTAAGCAACAGAATTACCCAAAACAACCATTCCAACAGCATGTCCAAGTGGTAAACCCATCATGGCTTGCTCCTGACTGTCAAATCGTCAAGGACATCCGCCGTCGTCCCTCCCCTCTTCGTTTCAGCAACCTGGAACGCACTTCCTTCGCCGCCCATATCCAACCCCTTTGCGGCCCGCTCATAGGCCTCATCGCTCCGATCTGTCAAGATCTTCAACTCCTCTTCGCTCAGGATTGGTCGCCCCTTTTTTTGTTTTTCTTGCTCATCCTTCTCATCCTCCTCCAGATGCGGGACATCGTACTTCTCAAAGTCGTCGTTGACAAGCGCCCCACGAATGTCATCTGCATCGACGCCGGACGAAAGAAGAGATTTGAATTTGCCCTTTTGAATCACCAGTTTCTCGAGTTTTCTCTTTGTATCTGCCTTGAGCAGCAGTGTCTCCTCTACAGTTCCCCTGGTCGCAAGGCGATATACGATGACGGGCCTAGTTTGACCAATACGATGTGCACGGTCCATCGCCTGTAAATCCTGCTGCGGGTTCCAGTCTGAGTCGAATAGAATCACTGTGTCTGCTGCAGTCAAATTGATCCCTTGTCCCCCAGCTCGTGTCGTCAAGAGGAACAAATTGTAAGACTTGTCCGCGTTGAAATTGGTGATCTGCTCGTAACGCTCTTCTTGGGCGACCGAGCCGTCAATGCGACAAGCCTTCCAACCGCGCAGCTCAACCGCGTACGTTTCCAATATGTCCAGGGTAGTTTTGAATTGGCTGAAGATGAGAACTTTGTGCCCTAATTTGAAGAGTCGAGGAAGAAGAGTGTCGAGCACTAGGATTTTCCCGGAGGCCGTAACCAGACTTTCATCAACACGTGGGTAGTCGCCTGATTGCTCTTCGGCTGCTGTACTTGGTTTCCAGGGCCAATAGAAGTTGTGTGGACTGTTGCACGCGAGACGGGCCTGCATCAAGGGGTTCTGCAACTTCTTCGAAGCGATCTCCTTTTTCGCAAGCTTGAATGTCTTGGCTCTTTCGAGCTCTTCTGCTTCCTCCGACGAGATGTCTTGCGAGCCTGGCGATGGCGACGCGCGGTCCAGATTGATATCTTCTTCGCCTTGTTCAACTCGGCGAAGGCGAGCATTGAATTCCCGGTCCGTTACATCCCGATAGCTTGTGCGTGCCCCTTTGCGACCCCGTCGGATCGAGCCAGTGGAAGCAACAGAAGCTGGTGTTGAATCCCGACTTTGTTTCAAGCTCTTCGCAGGTGTACCGCGCCCGCTGGTGGCTGCTTTTCGCTTGAGGGAAGCAGTCCGGCTTCTGGCCTCAATACGTTCGACAGCCTTTTCTTCCAAATACGATCTGCTCGTGCCTGCCAAAATTTCCCGGTACAATTCCTTCTGCTCGGAGGTCAGAGGTGCATACAGGATGTACTCTCGTTTCTTGGGCAGATCTGACTCAACGTCCGCCTTGACTCTTCGAAGCAGGAATGGCTTCAAAATGGCATGCATTGTCGACACGAGATTATTCCTGCGGCTCAACGTCTTCTGATCGGCTTCCTTCTTGCCTTCCAACACGCTCGAAAAGTCGAACCACCGCTCAAAGCTATCGAGGTCGTTGAAGACCTCGGGCAGCAAGAAGTGCAGGAGCGACCAAAGCTCTGCGATATTGTTCTGGAGAGGTGTGCCCGTAATCAGAAGTCGATTGGCAGAGTTGTATGTCATCAACTCTTTGATCAGTTTACAATTCATGTTCTTCAGACGATGTCCCTCATCCACGATGATGTATTTCCACTGATACGTCGCCAGAAACTTCCGGTCATTCATGCAAATCTCGTAGCTGGTGACGACAATCGGAAACTCGTACTTGAATTGATCTTGCATCTTCATCTTTTTCCGTCTCATCCCCTCGCGCTCGTCCTTGCTCCCATGGTAGAGGATCGTGTTGATACTCGAAGTCCAGTGTTTGAATTCTTCGACCCAATTGCGCACGGTACTCAGAGGAGCTGCGATTAAGAAGGGTCCAGAGATATTGTTCTCCTTGAAGAACGCAATCAATGAGATAGCTTGCAACGTCTTCCCAAGACCCATCTCGTCCGCCAAGATTCCAGAGAGACCGTTCATCCAAAGCGATTTCAACCACTCTAGACCTTCAAGTTGATAGTGCTTCATTCTCCCACCGTCGACGAGAGAAGGTTGCTCGGTTGCAACAAGCTCCTGGGCCCCGAGTCCCTCACCTTCATATTCGTCGGCTGCCTCCGCAAGGGCTTCTTGGACAGTTGGACCCTCTTCGGGAGCCTTAATGGCCTCGGAACCGAAGTAATCACTTATGCTCTTCTTCGCAACATTAGCCTTCTTAGGCTGCCGTCCCCGGCCCCGAGTGGTCTTCTTCTCGTCTTTCTCGTGCGTGCCTGTTGGTTGCTCATCTTGAGCATGCGTTCTTGCAGACTTTCTTGTAGGGCCCTTCGACTCAGCAGCCTTGACAGCCTCATGATTCCGTTTCGCAGCTGCCCGTCTAGCTTGCTCTTGGTTGCGCTTCTGCTCTTCCTTCATCTTGTCTGCCATGATTGCAACAAAGACTGAGCTTGTTTTGAGCAGATTTGTAAGTGCCTTTGACTTGTGATCCATCTCCTCAACATCATCCGCATCCACCTCCATCTTATTTGCGTCCTGCTCTTTCTTGTCTCCGTGGGCCTCTTCTTTGACCTCTGAGAGATTGCGGTCGGGTGGCGAAGACGGTGGGGTGCTTTTATCGGAAGACATAGCAGGTGTCGCTGGCTCCGAGGCCGTAGAACTCGCTGCCATTAGTATCGCTGTATCCTAGGTGCAGGCGGCGAAGGGGACGGTAAAGGCACTCTTATCCAATTGAAGGTCTTCTGCGCAAGAACTCTCAGCAAACGGCCGCAACGGCTGGGATCAAACAGAGAATGTTGGTCCCCATAGGCTTTCCAACCAGTATGAGGGGAAAACGAGGCCACAGCTGGTCTGAACGGTTCAGCTCAGGGGAGATCTCTGGTTCCTCGATCTGATCCCACCAGACTTGGCCCCTTGCTTCGAGAATGTGGTGTCGTCACGAAATGCGGAAAGACACGCTTTGTCACGATCCACTTTACGCGTCCGAGTACGCGTTGATCGGCGCTAGGATCTCAACTACTCAGTTATATGGCCTCCGCATGTTATAGTCAGGAACAATTCAATGATACAAGATAATGTGCTCTTATCGAGACGGCCATTGTTATGGGTATTGCCGCTACAATTAACTCTACTACTCCAAGTCATAATACGATCATCAGCCCTGTACTCGTAGGAACCCAGCACAAATATCAAAACACTCAGCATCTGAGCATCTCATGCCGAAACTGTTGCCATTGAATTGGCACCTCTTCCAGCCATGCGAGTGCGCTGACGCTCTGGTCGACGCAAAGTGTATCTGCAACTCATGTCAGCGGGATATCAAAGTCAACTTAGTCGGTAACATACTTTGCGAATGCTCTGGCAAGCGCCTTCTTGCAGCTAAGCTTTTGACTGCCAACAAATGAATCAACAGTTACCGCAATCGCACGATCAATGTCTTGCGAAGAGCAGAAGTCAGACAGTCTCATCTTGCAGAATGCTTCCGCAATTCTCATGATTGCTTCAAGGTGACGGACCTGCAAAATAAGTTAGCCATACAGGGCAATGCATTTGCATCCGAATGACTCACTGTGATAGGGTACGCCCCCGTTGCGAGAGACTCTCGTCGCATATCTGCGAACAGCCTGGCCACTTTATCTTGGTCGATCTGATAAAGTTTCGGCCGGCACTTTTCCCGGGCATACAGAATATACTTGCGGAGCAACTCCTGCGGAATGGCTCCTGCTTGTTGCGGTTCGCCGTTGTTGATTGCATTCTCCTGTTCAGTTTCCATGGCGGCAGTGTCTCCAGCATCGGTCTCGAGTCTTGCGGGATGCGCTCGTCCGTGACTGTTGACCACAAAGTTTGCAAGCCGCTCGTCTTCGGCGGGGTCAACAGTATCTCGAACCACACACAAAATGTCGAAACGAGACAAGATCGGCTCCGTGAGCTCGACATTTTGGCTAAAGGGAATGGTGCTATTGTATCGTCCTCCTTGGGGATTGGCTGCGGCGACGATGGCACAGCGTGCCTGAAGTGTGGTAACAATGCCAGCCTTGCTGATTGAGATGGTTTGTTGTTCCATGGCTTCGTGGATAGAAGTTCGATCAGCATCGTTCATCTTGTCGAACTCGTCGATGAGGCAAGTTCCCCGATCGGCCAGGACAAGCGCACCGCCTTCGAGCCCCCATTCTTGTGTGAGGGGGTCCTTGCGAACAGACGCAGTCAAACCTACTGCCGAAGCACCCTGTCCCGTAGCAAAGACAGCCCGATGCGCGGTCTTCTCAATATACTTCAACACTTGTGACTTGGCCGTACCAGGATCACCAAGCAGTAGAACATTGATATCACCTCGGATTTTGTGTTTGCCCTGGGCTTCTTTGCTAACGCCGCCAAAAAGGGACAGCGCAACTGCCGTCTTAATATCCCGATGCCCATAAATTGAAGGGGCAATCGAATCGACAATCTTATCCACGATATTGGGATCTTTAGAAAGGGCTCTGATCTGTCGTTCATCCTCCTCTGTCAGTCGGAAGCCAGCGAGCTGATCATGAGTCTTGATGACGTGGTTGGCTTCGAGCATAGTTGCAAACACGGGGAAGCCATTTTTGTTGTTGAGCTGGCCACTATAGTTGTTACGATAAATCGCTGTCACTTCGACTTCTTCACCAGGTTTTGCTTTGTCGATGAGGTCCGCGAGAAGAATGACCTCTCGATGCCGTGGTAAGCGGCCCGCTGGTACGCTACCAGGAGACTCCTGCAAGGTCAATTTTTGGTAATTTCGGTAGACGGTCTTTTCACTGTTCAGCGTGAAAGGGCCCCGAGATTGACAGCTCTGGCAGAAGGTCAACTTGACTTCGGCTGATGTTGACTCCTGGGCAAATGGGCCAAGAGTTACACCGCACTTTTGACACGTAAATTTGACCATCTGAAGTTGGGGGAATACACCAGTTCGTCTGGTCACCACTCCAGAAACCCGAACAAGACAGTTGAGGTGCGACTGCCGCAGTTGCCGCAAAGTATATTGGACGGGCAAATCTGAGATCCGGACGTGAATCTCCGGATGAATCAGTTCATAGTTTGGATAATGCAGTCGGACCACCTCAAAGGCGGCTTTGTCGAAGATCTTGAGCATCTCCGACGGAGCGTTGGCAAGAAAGTAGGCCAGGATGGCTTTGGTGGAAGCCAGGTGATCGTACGAGACTTCAAGCGACTCCGAGTTCACCTCTCCCAAAGTGCGAATGCGGGTGCCGTAGACCGACGTGCCGTTGGCATCGATGTACTCGGTAAGGAAAGACTTGAACTCGCGAGCAATGGTCTTCATGACTGAGGGCAGGGTGACCCACTCCGTGATGTTGGATGCTTTGACGTCTTGCAATGTCTCCAAGGAGAGTTCTTCCTCCATAATGTTCTCATCAAGATCCATGTCGTCTTGATCCTCATCGTAGTGGTGGCGGCGTCTCCGTGGCTGCTTTGTCAAGTCGATGCCAGCATCGTCATCGTCGTCGTCGGGCATGAACGCAGCCGGCATCCGACGTCTCCGAGCTAGCTCACGGTCGCGCTTGTTCAGGCGTGCTTCCAATTGGCGTCGGGAAGCCAGGTCGAGTTCGTCGTAATCGCCGTCATCATCGATCATCCGGCCTTGATATGTCTCTTGGTCGCGGCGTTCGCGTTCATCGTTCATAAAGTTGTCTCCAAACAGGTCTATGCCATCTTCGTCTTCGGCCATCTCATCTGCATCGTCAATGTCACCAATGAGGTCGTCCTCCGTTTGCAATTCATCATCCCCGAGATCATCATCATTCTCGTTCGTGGGGAGCAAAGGCGGAGAAGAAGGGAGTGCTGATGAAGTTAGACATTTCGATATTTGGAGGGCAAATGTTCAGCTTACCAGCTGGCGATGAAGACATGATCTCGTCCTCTTCGTCGCGAGCCCTTTTCCGCCTGCTGGCGTTCCCTGGGCCTCTGTTTGCGGCGGACATGCTGGGTCGCAGTGGTGAACTTGGAAAGGTCAGCTCTCCTGATCGAGTTGAAGAGTAAGTTCAGACACTGTGGATTAGCATACCTCATGTTTTTGCGACTCTATGTAGAGGCGATCCGTTGCAGTCTAGTATGGAAGGGGTTGAACTGAGTAGGTAGGGAGCGCCGCAGTTCTTAAAACCACTTTACGCGCGAGGACGCGTTGCACGAAACACGCTAAGGACGTGCAAAAGTGGGGAATTGAGGTCATCCCCAGTTCGAGTCTGTGGCACCCATCTGGCGCTCACAGCATTTCGAATTGACAATTCTTTCGTTATTCTTTTTTCCTGGCCTTCTGGATCACGATGATGGAGACCGTACCTGAAATGGAGGAAGTCAAGCAATCTCAAGACTCGCAAACTGCCTCCGAGTTAGTCCCCAATCTACCAAGTCCGTCGATTCTCGTCGATACTGACAATTCCCAGTTTCATCGATCAACAACTAGCCCTCGAGGCTGATGCGCGAGAGGTGCTTCCATATGTATAGTTCTCGCCCTCCTAATCCCTCTCCGTCACTACCAGGGTCGCTAATGTCATCCATCCACAGAAATTCGACAAATGTACCAACATTCTCGGTCCCCTCCGCCAGAACGTCTTCGCCTGCCTGACATGCAGCCCTCCACCCGCCTCCGCAGCGCAGGTCTACACGCCCGCAGGTGTCTGCTATGCCTGCTCCATCTCCTGCCATGGTGAACACACCCTTGTTGAACTGTTCGTCCGTCGCGACTTTGTCTGCGACTGCGGCACGAGCCGATTCCCATCGACGTCGCCTTGCAACTTGCGATCCGATCCCGTGACGGGCAATCGCGGAGTCCATTCGCAGGAACCAAACAGGGGAAACCACTACAACCATAATTTCCAAAACCGATTCTGCGCGTGTGGGGAAGAATACGATGCGGAAACGGAGAAGGGCACCATGTTTCAATGTCTGGGATTAGGGACTGTTGAGAGTGGTGGGTGCGGAGAAGACTGGTACCATCCGGAGTGCCTGATGGGGTTGCCGAGAGATTGGTACAAGTCGGTGGTCGACTCGAAACCACCTGCAAAGGCGGAAGAGGAGGAAATACAACAGAAAGGTCAGAAGACAGAAGGAGACAAAGAGGCGGGAGAAGAACCTAGCCATCCAGTCCCGCCGGGCTTCCCCAACGAAGGTGACTTTGATACCGTTATATGCTACAAATGCGTCGAGTCCAATCCGTGGATCAAGAAGTACGCCGGGACACCGGGCTTCTTGCCAGCAGTGTTCAGAACGGACGCCCAGACAGGCAAAGTGAACGATACTTCTGAATCAGCCGGCCCTGTCTCGCTCAAGCGCAAAGCCTCCGACGACGACGACGACATCTCAGCCGGCGGACCACCCAGCCCGTCGAAGCGCGTTAGGAACGAAGACGAAACATCAGCAGCTATTCCAACCACCTCTAGCGAGACACTCGCCGTGAATTCCACCACAGAAACCACACCCAGGCCCAAACGCTTACACGAATCCCTCCCCAGCCCCTCCCCAAGGGGCACCTTCTCTTTATTCGCTCGCGCCGATTTCCGCGACCACCTCTGCCACTGCCCTGAATGCTACCCCCATCTGATCCCGCACCCACAACTGCTCGAGGAAGAAGACACATACGAGCCCTCTCTCTCATCCGAAGCCTCATCCCACCCCAACCATGCAAACGGCGGCTCGCGATCCTCGCGTGCCTCGCTGCTCGATCGAGGCGAAGCCGCGCTGTCGAACATGGACCGCGTCCGCGCCATCGAGGGGGTGATGGTGTACAACCACCTGCGCGACAAGGTGAAAGAGTTTCTCAAACCGTACGCCGAGAGCGGCCAGGCCGTCAGCGCAGAGGACATCAAGGCCTACTTTGAGAAGTTGAGGGGTGATGAGAACGCTATCAAAGAGGCCGGTAGGGGCGCGGCTGGCGGTCATAGTGGGGGACCTCCGAATGGCGGCGGTGGAGATGCGAATGCTGGAGGTGGAGGCGAGGGCGGAGGCGGCAATACTACTAGGAGAGAACAGTCTGGGTATTAGCTGAAGATGAAAGATAATGGCTCCTCCCTCCTCTCTCCAGGTGGCGCTTTGGATGCAATGCTGCCTACTGGGAGCGCGCGCGCGCGAGAGAGGAGATCTACACAGAGCCAGATGTTTCGACGACGACTACTGTACGCCAGGAACGGGGCTCCAAAATGTACAATGCGCGGTCACTCACGGTTTCCCGACTGTCGTGGAGAGAGGGACTGAAGAACAAAAAGTCTTATCCTGGATAGCTCTATCCTATTGCTGTTTGCCATGCTCACATCAGCACAAGCAGTCGCCGCTGTGTCAAAATACATCTAAACACGTCGATGGCGGGTTTTGGGTTTTGAGGCCTCGGAGCTCTTTCAGTAGTTTTGAATGATTCCTTCAGAGCTCCTTGTTCCACGCACACTGTTTTTCCCCAGCTCCCCTTTTTGTCGCTTTTTGTTGTTGATGTCAATGCTCCGTACCTCATACATTCCTGTCACCCCCGGAATCCTCTGCAGAACCAGCCTCGCCCGGTGGATTACACCTCGTACAAATGCTGAATTGCTCGCTTTTGAGTGAGAACCAATATGCTGTGGGATATTGCTGGTGCCCTGCACTAAATGCCCTCAGTCGTCGCTCAGAGCACGGCCATGGATTCACGAGTCTCCGATCTGACCTGCATAGTCCGCGGTGCTTTGTGACCCTGTTTCAGGTCCTCTTTCCATTACCAGCCTTCCCTTCCTTTTCAGCCTGCTTTGCGAGCCTCTCCCGCGTTTTTCTGTATGGGCCTCTGGGTCCTCTCGGAGCGCCACCTTTCTTTCTCTTGGCGCTCTTTTTCTCCATTGTCTCTTCCCCAGCAGTCGTCAAGGACTCGTGTTCACTCGTTATGTTGCCACTGTTCCCCGCTGCCTGCAGAGATTCCTCTCCGTTAGCCCGAAAGGTAGGATTCGAAAGCGAGCTCAGGTCAAGAGCAAGCTCTGATTGCAAAGCAAGGCTCTTCCCTTGGTCTGGCATCTTGCTCCTCATTCGGTCCATCATTGGTCCTCGGAGTCGTGCCTGGAGCTCTTCCAGGTCCTCATTTTCGGAAATCGGAGAATATGATGGCGAGGGCGGTGATCTTGATCTCATACTCTCCAAGGGAAGGGTACTTTCAATGGCTGCTATCAACTGGGCAGTGGAAAGCTTATGAGATCTTTTTGCTTCGGTGTGAAGCTGGCCGATATCACTATTGCTCTCGTGCGAAATAGATTGAGAAGGATTCACAGGTGCCGCATCGATTAGCATTCGCTGAACCTTGCTGATATCTGGACCAATATCTGACTGGGAAGGCTTTCGCTTTGTCTTCTCCGGCGCCACAGGCTGGGATTCGACCAGAGGACGTGTTGCGGGCCTGGCGGAAGTAATGCTGAGCGTGCCGTCATTTGGCGGTCGTTCGACATCCTTCACCAGTGGACCCGTGCTCAAACCAGATGAACTAACAGCAAATGCTGGAGGGATGAGTGATGAAGGCTGAGAAGGGTTCGCAAGCCCGTCGAGAGACACTGCTGTGGTATTTCCAGAGTTTGGAGGGGTTAACGGGCTTGGGTTCTTTCTCAAAATCCTGGCCAATCCGTCCTTGTTGTGTATCTTGAGAATTAAGCGCTGAGGATTTGGCGCAATCCCAATCGGCGAAGGCTTTTCTGAAGACTTTGTGGTGATCTCTTGAGAGGTATCACCCCCTGCTGAATCCCGACTGCACTCTTCGGCCTTAAGAAGTCGCTTGGACAATGGAACTCCAGATGGATCGAAGAATTCACCCACTTTTGTGACGGTAGCTAGGGGATGAGGCTTGATTTTCACCATCAGATTCGGATCCAAGTCAATTAAAGGACGCTGTGATGTCGGGCGATGCTTAATCGAATAGACCAAACTATTCGGATTCATGTCCCCTGTGCTTCGCTTTTCCATTGCCTTCTTCTTGATCAGATCTTGTCTAGGCCGGAGGCGTCTTTCACTGCGCTGTGCTGCACGCGTCTGGTCCGCTTCTGAGAACGAAGAATATCCTGAATCGGCATGCAGTTGGTTGTTCGACGGGAGCGACATATCCGTCGTGCCCGGAACATGTCTGTAAAGTCCACCAAACTGCGCGTCTGAAGGATCTGGCAGCCACGTTCCAAGTAAGTCCGTCGCAATGCCACGACTTGACAAAAAGTCTTTTGCCAGGCGGACCTCAGCCTCGAATGCTAACTCATAGTTGCTCGCAAAAATCATGTAGCCAACATATTCATTGAATACATCGGCGTCGATAGAGGAGGGCGATTCAAGAGTTGCAGGGCCTTCGACGCCAGCTTTGGAACAGTAATCCCAGATCTCCTCAACCGAAGCTGGATGCAGAACGCGCATGCCCACGGCTTTCTGAATTTGGCTCGCTTCATGCTCGGTCAATCCCAGAAGCTTGGGCACCAATTTTGGGGAATAGTTTGCCAATAGAACTCTGTAGATGTGAAACTGCAAAGACAATGGAAGTAGATCCCATGTCACATTGCAATCGTTCTGTGGGATACCAGTCAATATAATGTTTAGAGGTTTAGAGGTTGAAGCAGATCAACGAACCTCTGAGCTGGTGCTTGCGACCTCTGCAGCCCTTGGCCCATTGATAATGAGTCCCACGGGCATTCTGGCATTTCTCTGCATTGCAATTGGTGAAACTGTTCGCCGCTCTGTTTGCGGGAGGTCTTCTTGGACTGCACTGCTGCCGTCCAAGCTGATACGGAGACCCCCATTTGAAAGTGAATCCACTGTGTGAGGAACATTCACCAGCTCTTCAAATCCGCTCGGATTTCTCGCAACAGGCGCATCGACAGATGTCAGCGGAAGCGAAGGAAAGGCTGCTGGAGGATTGTTTGGATTGAAAGGGACAATCTGAGCTTGGAGTAACTTGGGATAGGCTGGCTTTGTTCCATTGCCATTTTGAGGTGCGATGTGCACTTCATCTTCGAAGCGAGTGGGTATCGTGACACACTTTCTCAGTTGCATGGCTGCATATCAATAAATCCCCTAAGGTATGAAAGAGAAATCGATAGGGGGTATGGACACGTGATTTCAGCACAATAAAGGAGGGTGGGTGTTGACAATTGAGTGAAGGTGGCTACCCAAGACAAGGAGGATGGAAGACAAAAGGAGTGCGTGCGGTTAAATGATAGATTTCAACTGTTGTGCCAGACCCCACGGAGTATGTGAAGAGCTGGTTGGTGATGCGATTGCCAGTGAAGTGCTTGCCTGTGAAGGAGGCGCCTTCAATCAGTTCCTTCTCACTCGAGGCATCAAGATGGGAGAGCGCGACCTACTAGGCCCGCAACAAGAAGTAAGTTACAACGCTGAATCGCCTGTTGGGAGTAGTGACCTTCTCGCTGCTAACTTCCACACCCACATAGTGATATTCCATTTCTCGAAGTGCCTGTTGAGCGAAGTTCTCGTAACGAGGTTTTGGATCTCTCTCCGACCACTCTTTATGCGGGTTATGCCTTGTTTGTGTACCGTTGGTAGCGGAAGCGAGGCGAGTTCAGTCTATGGTTGAAGTTCGCCCAGAAACGTCCATAGAGGACGAGTATTGCCAGGCAGGTATTCAAGCATGTTGAGCGCATAACTCAGCTCGGCATCATCGTTGGAGGATGCAGCATTTGCCCCGTTCGTCTCGCAAGGCTTAGATTCGCCTCGAATGTCCGATCAATAGGATCGAATGTCTCCTTGAGAAAACGTTCATGATCATTCGAAGACGTCCACAAACGGGGCCACCCCTTCCCGAGCACGAGCACCGTATATGTGCTCGGAATCGCATTCCATATTCTCGTCGGCGTCGTAGAATTCATCTAAGCTCCGCTTCCCAAGTTTTCTGGTTGGAGGCACATCATTGTCGCCGTGGCTTGATGCGCCAGCGTCTGAGTTGGAGACTTGACGTTCGGCTCGGGTGATTGCTTGCAAATCCAGGAGGACATTCTTCATTTCGTCTGATAGACCGATACAGAAGCGCTGCGACTGGATGATATGGATGGCAACAGTCGCGTCCACTCCGTAAACAATCATCAAGTATGCCGCTACCAATAACGGAGATCGCTCATTTCCAGACTCACAGAAGACGAGAACCTTGCCGCGGACATCGTCAATGTCTTGGACTGGGGTGCTGACGCATGAAGACTCGAGATGGTCATTGATCGCCCGAACAGTCGACTTGACAAGTGGAATAAACTCGCGCGGGTGGTCGAAATCCAAAGTCAAAGTCGCTCGTCCCGCGCTCGAAGGAAAACTCGCAGGATCGAGGAAAGTCGGTCTCGTTAGCAACGATCTGGTAGAGCGGACTGCGACAAGGAGAGTGATGCCTGTCTGCTTTAAAAAGACAGGATCCTTGGCAGAGCTACTGGGACCCAGCAGCAAGAACGGGAGGATATGTTGGGCACTCCTGCGCATCTCGTATTGCCAAATGAGCATCGAGTGGGTCAAGTCCAGCTTGTGACTGTTGACCAACGCAGCCAGGAAATCCGGATTGCCATAGTGTGTAGCGCTGTAAGTGAATGGAGACACACGAACTCTGAAAGAGGGCTTCCCGTTGTGGTACTCGAGGTCAGGTGGAGGCACGAAGACTTTGGGAGCTTCCAGCTGTCGTTTGTCGCTGTAGTCCTGAGCCGCGGCGTAGACACCTGGGGGTGGAGGCCAGGAAGCATCTGGTTTGTCCTCGATCTTGGAAAACATGGTCAGATTGAAGCAAGAAATACGTTGTCGAAAAGATGCTTCGGTTCCCGCTGAATAGAGACCGATATAGTACGATCAGGACTGTCTGCAATCGATGGTGCGGTTCTTTGGTGATGTTAACAGGCTGGTAAGGTGAAAGGCCTGTTAAGACTCAGCAGGTCGTTGCCCGGTATGCATGAGCAATCTCTGTCCCTGCCATTCTCAGGAGATATTCAGAATAGAGGATCATTCAACGTGGAGGACACTAAGGCTGGAATTTTGATGACAATGATTCGAGATGGAGATGCCAAATGTTATGCTACCAGTGAAGTAGAAGCGAAGCCAAGTTTATTGTATTGCATTGCCGCCTGCCGAGGATCGACGAGGCGCCCGCAATTCATGTCGCTGCCACCGCCACCACAACCACTACCCACCATTCTCCTATGCATGGCACCGAATCAGACAAACTACCGGTGGTCTTGTGAAGTACTCTTTCTCGTGTAAACGGAGTTGATTCATCTATCGAACCTTGGTATTTTCTCTCTTGGAGTGAGAGCCGTAGTGTACAGTAAGGCAGCACGACATCGCGACTTTGCTACCGAATCTATCTTCATCATCATCTCATTAACATCCATCGAACAATGAAGCTATTCCTTCCTTGTTACTGGCCTTTGTTTTTGGGCCCAGTGCTTCCAGCATCTTTTTTAGACTGCGATAGGGCCTGCTTCTCATGTTGTTGCTTTTCGCGCCTGAACTGTCTTTGGATTTGCCAATTCGCCCTTTCCACCTCTCCGCTCAGCTCTGGTACTCCTGTCACCTTGGCCACCAGGTTGTGGCTGTCTGCTGGAAGGATAATTTGTTCGGGTGGCGCACTGTCGTCTAGGACTTCGCTTCGCGTGACAAACGTGAAATCCGGTGCATCAGGTGCCACTTGCTCATACAGATCCTCAATCTCTGGAGGTGAGATTGGCCGAAAAAGTCGATTATCCAGGATGAAATCCAAGTGATCTGAACCTTTCAATGCTGGTGGCCTGTCAGCAAGATGCGGCTTGCCCAGGGACACTGCCATTTACCTTTCCAATGGGACCAACACCGGTATGCAGCATACAAAAAGGGAAAATTGGGTATTCTAGTGCACGTTAGTCATGTTGATGGGCTCCTGGATGGGGACCAGCAGGGCAAGACCATACACGGGCACCAGTGCAAATGGTATGCAGAGGGGCATGGCGACCATGCTTCCAATGAAACGGTTCCAATGCAGTTGCTTTCTTTCCCTCGCCAACCTTGCCAGAACTTTTGGCACATCGTCTTTGTGCATGACATTACCAGGAAAGATGACATCGAATTTCTTGCCTTCTGCAATCTGCTCGGCCTGCAGTTTGGGGTTGGAAGGAGGAAAGCTCTTTAGTCCCCATTCCTGGTAAGGTATGCGCTGCAGGCCTTGATTGCCATAGTATACAACTGTTTTTCTCCATCCTTTATCTGCTGCTTCCCATTTGGCCCATGTCTCCGCTGCCTTCGCCGTCACTCGATCGATGATGGTCGGCTTGGCGTTCGACTTTTGGGCGCCGCGTTGACAGAAGACGAGTGCTTGTCGCGTGGTGAGAGGCAGGAGAAAGATTCGCATAGCAGCAACCTCTGCGGACTGAAGGGTCAGGAAGTAGGGACTGCAACCGGTTTGGGTCGTTCAGGGAAGTGTCAATGAAATCATGGTCGAGACGGCACACTGCGAATAGAAAATGAGCGAGCGACACAAGTATATCTGAAGATGAGCGCCCGAAAAATCAATATTTCCCTGCCCTGACGATGCTAGACTGAATAGGTGCGCACGGCGAATCGGAGCTGCAATCTGGATTGTTGTGCAGATATGGGCATTAAAGCGACTTGTGAGGTCAAGTATGAGCCCATGATGGTTTTTTGTTCAAGTTGCTTCCAGAGCTCCTTCCTCAACGTCATGGCTGAATCTCATGCAATGATTCGCTTAAAGCTATCCGGGGCCTTAAGCTACTCTCGTGGGTGCCTGGGCGCCGTTCCCGCAGTCATCTGCAGCCGACAAAAGCCCCCATTCGCCAGGTGGGCAGGCTTGGGCTTACTCTAAGCGGCTTACTCCAAGTTCCCTCAGTGATGAATGATCAACCCACTTAACTAAAACAGCTGCTAAAGCAAGTCATCCTCCCCCGTCTGGCACATGGCGCAGCCCAGCATTATATACCCGATAATTCCCTCTCTGTTTACAAGCCTGAGAACGCTATCTATTCAATACTATTGGAGCCACACCAGAGCAGATCTTGATGGAGTATTGACACGGCCACCTTGACCTTCACAACGCGAATTCGCGTGGTCCAACACCCTCGAAATGACCTTCCGCAATCGCCGGCGTTGAATCTCTTCTCACAACGGTGTACCCGAATCTCTGGGCCCTCCTCGGTCTGTAGCCGATCAGCAACATGGCTGTTGAAGCAGGCTTTCCGTGGCAGGCGCCATCTAGAGATCCTGAAAAGACCGAAATGGTACTACCAGAGAGCACCAATGTTCCTCCACCGCATTCCATCAAGCAAGAGGCAGAACCAACCTCCCCTACAAAGACTGCAGCGCCGCATCAGCATTCCCAGCTTTGGAAGAATAGCAACTCGCAAGGGAAGCATCGGCATGGTTCAGCCAAAGGGCCTCTGCGAACGGGTATAACAACTGCATTCAACACTCCGTCAGAGTCCGCCAGAGCCAAACTAACATCTCCCCTTCCAGTACGAACCATTCCTCGTAAGTCACTGTCTCGCTCCCTCGCTCTCCCAGACTCCAGTGAACAAGGCTAATGCTTTCGTACAGCTTGGGTAAGAGATGCGGACGAAGATGATCTGAGCGATCCTCAATTCCAGAGCCCGGACACTCCACACGCAGCCCTGGTTGCGCAACATCACCACAGCCCGTCAACCGCGAGGAGGGCCCTTGTATCCAGCCGGCAGTCTCAAGAGGAGGACTATTCTACCCCATCGGGCAAAGCGAGAGCTCCGCGAACTTCGAGATGGATGTCCTTCGCCCAGCCTAGTGCCTACCCTCGTGAGAACTTCAACAGTGAAAAGGTGGACCCGGATTGGCTCAACCAGAATTTTACTGACTATTCAAAAACGTGGCTTGCAGACCACGACGATGACGATGTCGAGGATGGCAGTAGCCGTTATCGTGCGTTTCGCAGAAAGAGACAAGTGTGGTATAAACGCGCCCAGTTCTACATCCTGCGAAACCCATTTATTCCTCTTGCTTTCCGATTGACAGTGTTGTCTTTCGCCATCGTCGCTCTGGGTCTGGGCGCGTCGATTTACCATGAAACTGGCAAGATCACCGAGTGCATCAAACAAGCACCAGAGCGGCGCAGTGCCGAGTGTACGCAACGCGTCGGTCCTACGGCCACAGACTATTATCGAGATCCTTCAGGCTTGATGGCGGTGATAGTAGACGCCATTGCCATTGGCTACACCGTATACATCACCTATGACGAATACTTTTCAAAACCTCTGGGATTACGGCGTGCAAGAGCAAAAGTCCGACTGATGCTACTTGATCTGTTCTTTATTGTGTTTCAGTCGGCAAACCTGAGTCTAAGTTTTGAATCCTTGACGGTGGATGAAGGTGCTTGCAAAACTGGCGATTCCGCGAGGACGACAGGCAGATTCGAGAGCATCTGTGACAGAGCAGAGGCCTTGAGTGGTGTGTTGTTGGTGTCACTTACAGCATGGTTGATGACATTTTCCGTTAGCGTCTTGAGGCAAGTATATCCATACCGACCGCTCTAGACATATTGACTGATTATTGTGCAGACTAGTAGAAAAAATGGACACGAAGTGAAACGACTTTACGACCTGGACTCCGACCGACAATATCTTAGACTGTATTGTACAGAGTCCTCCTATGGCACGACTTATGCCAGCGGATGGCTGCTCAGCATTATTAATGGCTTCACACACATACACATTTAGCCCTCATCAATGATGCAGATTTGGCAATGCCCTCATACTTTGAGACTTGGGCCTTCGTCGCCATAGACCGGGTCGCGCTTGAACCATCCCAAGTTGTCAATCTGCTTGACCTGCTCCTCCTCCCCAGGCCTCCCGTAGCACATATCCCATGTCTTGCCCTTCTCATAAGAGCCGACCATTTGGAAGCCGCCATAATCCTCCAGCAATCGGTGACCGACTCCAGCAGGGACGACTACAACATCCCCTTGCTCCAGAACGGGCTCCACTCTGCCTTCGTTCTTCTCACCTCCAAAGCAGCACTTCGCAGACCCTGAAGCAATGCTGAGAATTTCATGGGTGTTCGAGTGGAAGTGCGTTTCGCTAAACATGGTGTATCTCCATTGTGGAGAGACGACCCCGACGGATTTAAGGTGAGCTTCGATGGTTGAGGGATTGGGATCTGTGAAGACGCCGTGGTATATCATGAGGGGTTTGCCTTGTATGGAGGTATTAGGAATGCCTTTGTAGGCGGGTATTTGATGTTTCGAAACCCGCAAGGCATTGAGCGGAATGATGGACATCTTGTCATCTGTGAAGGAAACCCGGAGCAAGCGTGTTGTTGTCGTTGCGGAGCCTTCCGGAATGGAAATGGTTGAAACTGGCAGTGCTGGGCCCTGTGTGCAAGCAAAGGAGACGATACTTCACTAGAACAGTAACAAAGAAGCACTTTGCACAAGAGGTTAGTGAACTACAAGACAGTGATGAACTATCATGTCGTCGTCGAATTGTCACTCTTCACCAAAAGCATCACCACCATCACTTGCCACAGCCTCGGACGTCTGCCCTCGCTGCTTTATCTCGCTGCTTTATCGGCGACTACATGACGTCATCTCCCTCAGTTAGTCATCCTCTATCGGAAGAAATGGATGATCCGGGCCGACCAGACAGTCTGCGGCCTTGCCGTTACTGCAGCCTCTCTCCAACCTGCCTACAGGGCTTTGGTGTCTGCAGTGATCACGAACTGACGCTTCGTCCTCTTCTTACCACCTGTCCGTGAGTTGGAATGCGCTCTAGGAGTGAGAGTGTTTCTCTCTTGAACTCACAGTGACTGCATCTCACATAATATCCTGCCATTCAGTCAGCCGATCTTCGAGTTTCCTTCATTCCCTCTTTCGCCGTCGCCCCCGAGGATCGATCTGGCAAGAAGTTGTGAGCAGAAGGCATAAAACCAAGGACACAACTCTCTGAAAGGAAGTCGGTAAGAGTGATCTCCGTTTGCGACCGTCGCCCTTGCAAGGCCGTCCTCCCTCTCGACGAGACTCTACTGTCGTCCGCTGAAGCAATATCGCTAAGATTTCAGTGAAGGGAAACATATCCTCCGAACCATGGCACCCACGGCGGGCACAGCCTCTAACCCGGCGATGCGGGCACGAGACGATCTTGACACTACGTAAGGATGTCGGAACAATAAAAGCGGAACACCCTGTTAACTGTCAGTAGGTGGACTTATCTCGAGAAGAATGTCAACAACGTAATGACCAAGTTGCAAGAGGGTCTTGACATGAAGACATACATGTTCGCCTACTCCCCTACCTTTTTTGCAGGTAACAGCTTACTGACCCGATTCCAGGGGCGTCTACACCGCAGTTCACAATTTCTGTACCTCGCAGAAGGCAGCCACGACTCAGGGCCAGGGTGGTTCCCCTGGAACCTTGAGCCCCGTTCATCGTGGCGCTCATCTTCTAGGCGAAGAACTCTACACCCTTCTTGGTAAATATCTCACGGAACATCTCCGCGATGTCCTGGCCGCATCCGAATCACATACAGACGAAGCACTCTTGGCCTTCTACATTCGAGAATGGAAGCGTTATACCGACGCCGCAAAATACAACAATCATCTCTTCAGATACCTGAATCGACACTGGGTGAAGCGAGAAATTGACGAAGGCAAGAAGAACGTCTACGATGTCTACACTCTGCACCTGGTCAAATGGAAAGATGACTTCTTCAAGGCGGTGGAGGGCAAGGTCATGGATGCGGTCCTGAGACTCGTGGAAAAGCAGCGCAATGGCGAGACTATTGATCAGATGCAGATCAAGGCCATTGTCGATTCCTTCGTCTCGCTCGGCTTGGACGAGCTAGACAGCACCAAGTCCACCCTCGACGTCTACCGCATGTACTTCGAACGTCCGTTCATTGCCGCCACCAAAGAATACTACGTCAACGAATCTCGACGCTTTGTGGCAGAGAACAGCGTCGTCGAGTACATGAAGAAGGCAGAAGCAAGACTGGAAGAAGAGAAGGAGCGTGTAGGCCTCTACTTGCATCCCGACATCATGAAGAAACTCATGGAAACGTGCAACGAAGCCCTCATCACCGCTCACTCTGTCCTGCTGCGGGATGAATTCCAGGTGCTGCTCGACAATGAGCGTACGGAGGACCTTGCTCGGATGTACAAACTCTTGTCCAGAATTAAGGATGGGCTGGACCCCTTGAGGACCCGATTTGAAAGCCATGTCCGAAAAGCTGGCATTGCAGCTGTTGAGAAAGTTGCAGCCCAAGGAGACAGCTTCGAACCGAAAGTTTATGTCGATGCGTTGCTCGAAATCCACGGCAAATACCAGCAACTTGTTAATGTCGCGTTTACTGGAGAGTCCGAATTTGTGCGGTCGCTCGACAATGCTTGCCAGGAATTTGTCAACCACAACCAAGTTTGCAAGACCAATTCTACTCGATCGCCCGAACTACTTGCCAAATACGCCGATCAACTTCTCAAGAAAGGTGCTAAGGCGGCCGACGAGTCTGAGCTTGAAGAACTTCTTGTTCAGATTATGGTTGTTTTCAAGTACATCGAGGACAAGGATGTGTTCCAGAAGTTCTACTCCCGAATGTTGGCCAAGCGCCTTGTGCACACAAGCTCTGTATCTGACGATGCGGAAACAAGCATGATCAGCAAGCTGAAGGAGGCATGTGGTTACGAGTACACCAACAAGCTACAGAGAATGTTCCAAGATGTTCAGATTTCCAAGGATCTCAATACTGCCTACAAAGACTGGCATGACAAGATCCTCGAGGACAGTGACGAGAAGAGGACTGTCGACTCCACATTCCAAATTTTGGGAACTGGTTTCTGGCCTCTGAATGCCCCCAACACCCCATTTGCCCCTCCGACGGAAATCAACAAGGCCATCGAGTCTTTTACCAGATTCTATGATCAGAAACACAACGGCCGCAAGCTAACATGGTTGTGGCAGTTGTGCAAAGGCGAAATCCGAGCCAACTACATCAAGAGTCAGAAAGTGCCATACACCTTCCAAGTTTCGACCTACCAGATGGCCATCCTGCTTCTGTTCAATGACTCTGACAAGTTGGATTATGCAGAGATCAAAGAACTTACCAAGTTGGCGGATGAACCAATTGAGTCCGCAATTGGCATCCTGTGCAAAGCTCGCGTTCTCAACTCGTCGCCGGAGGACGGCAAACCCGCACCTGGCACTAGTTACTCGCTGAACCACAACTTCAAGAACAAGAAGGTCAAGATCAACTTGAATATTACCGTCAAGTCCGAACAGAAGGTAGAATCTGAAGACACTCACAAGACCATTGAGGAGGACCGGAAACTCTTGCTCCAGGTATGTGCTTTTCACTTGTGTTTGAAGTTGACACTCTGCTAACTGTTTCAGGCTGTGATCGTGCGTATCATGAAAGGTCGCAAGAAGCTCAAGCATGTCCATCTGGTCGAGGAGGTCATCAACCAAGTCCGTAACCGATTCCCTCCCAAGATCGTCGACATCAAGAAAAACATCGATGCCCTCATGGAGAAAGACTATATTGAACGTTTGGACAATGACGAACTGGCTTACATTGCTTAATCGCTTGTTGTGCCGGACGACTTTCTCACCAGACGAGGAGCTTGGTTACCTTGACGGAATTGCGGCGTCGGGCAGAGGAGACGACCCTCTTGTTCTTTTCTCTTTTTTGCCAAAACCTCGGACAAAGAAGTCTCTGAACTCAATAAAGGGTTGACTTTTAAGGCGAATGGGACGGATGGGTTTTGACGGATGAGTCCACCCAAACAACGGAGTGGTACGGATCAGCATTGCGTGGCGGTGCAGCGGATTGCATTGGTTTGTGTCTCGTTTTATTTTACGGCCATGGAAATGGATTCGACTGAACGACTTCACGACGCGTGCATATCAGCCATGGAAAGTGTCAATAAAGTCGACAAGGAACAAATGGGTCGGGACTGTGGGTAAGGGCCCGGTGAAGGGTCTTTTGCGAGCAGTCTCTCTCGAAGGGCGGCAACGGACTTGTAACAGGAGACGCTGCTGGGTCTGGGAGTAGTGATGACAAGAACGTTTCGTGCTGACCCATGGTTTATGCTGAGAGGCCCTCAAAGAGCAGTAGTTTGATGATAATGAAAAAAGACTCTCTCTTTATCTTGGTCCGTCGCTGAAAAGTTTAATGCAGTGCTTGCTATTCATTCCGCCTTTGGGCTTCCCTACTCGCTACAGGCCCCAGGTTCTTTTGTGATGCTGTTTCGCTTCTCCTTTGGTGCTATTCCCTTTCTTTTTGCCCACCTCTGCGCGTTGAGAGCCCTGCGTGCGGTACCACTGATTCACTCACCCACTCACCCATTTCCTAGCTCATGAGCTGACCAATTCAGGTACTCCTGAGTTATATACCTACCTAGGTAGGTACGAGTATAGTTACGGCAGTTTACTGGGAGGAGATACACTAGGTACACTAGATACGTATGCCCCTTTCTTGGCTACCTTTTAATTACTTTTACAGCCCTGTAGCCCCTACGGAATAGTCTCTGGAAATATGTACGTCCTGACTCCCCTCCGTCGTATACATATATGGTAATGTGTTTATATGTGGATGGTGGACATTACCTAGGTATGTATCTATTATCTATCTCTAATTTCGGGCATTTCCAACTGCAAGCTTGTGGGAAGACCAGCCCAGAGACAAGGAAGGGAAAAAACAAGGGAAAGAAACCTTGGAACTGTTTATTCAGCCTCGCCGTCTTGTCTCTAATCCCATCGCATTGCTCACCGCCCCTACGAGCGTACGTATTACCTTCAAGGTTCCTTCCTGCCTAAACCCCCCCCCCGCCTGATTCTTCAGCAGACAACTTGGGATTATCGTTGACTTGCGGGATGCCGAATCCGAATCCGACGCCTACGCCTAGTGTGGGTTTTCTTCCCCCCTCGTTCAAGGCCTCGAGTATCAACTGTGCGAATTGGTTTCCCCCTTTCTTCAACCACTGGGCGCCCCGGTCTCGTCCGCTTGAGGTCCAGGCGCGGTCTGGGACGGGTCCTCCTTGCCTTGTTGAGACTGTTGCATGCGTTGCCTCGCCCAGGTACCCCAGCCGCTGAGGTAGGCGCCCGCGCGAGCCGCGCCCTCGCGTGCCGACGCTTGGATCTGCGAGGTGTCGACGCGCGGGGCCCGCCAGTTCGACCCGGTCGCTGTCCAGGTGCCGCCGGTACCCGTGGATGAGGTGGAGGTGGAGGTGGAGGTCGGAGGCGAAACAGGCCGCGCCTGCGCCCTGGATCCAGCAGCTCCAGCTTCACCACCTTCGGGCTGCTCGACAACCATCCAACTCGAGTTCGAGCTCGCACTCGACAGAGCCGCGGCCGGTTTCGTCTCTTGGGTGTCTCTGCTTTCGGACCCTTCGCCAATGCTCCTCGTAATGCTGTGACTGCCGCTACCACTCGTCCTCTTCGTCGCCCGCTGCTGCGCCCTCTGTTCCCTGGCCTTTTCCACCTGAGCCCAAAAGCTCGCCATCCCGGCTTCCACCCGCTCCCGTCCGCTCTGCAGTGTGCGGCCCAGTTGCTCTCTTCCCTCCCTCACCCTCTCGTCGAGGTGAAGATCCGCCATTCCCCTGGCCACTCTCCTTTGCAGATCCTCAACGCTCAAACCCCCGCCCGTCGGGTGCCGCGGCTCGATGATGTCGAAGATGCGATTGCCACGTGTGAGGCGGTCAAAGAGCGCAAAGTTGTTGGTCGATCGCCACATGGCCAAAAATTCCGGGTTGAAATCGGACGCGGTATCCCCAGGTTCCGGGAAGCTCTCTATATTTGCGACGGAGGCCGGGATGTTGTTTTCCGTCAGGGACTCATGGTAGATCTGATATGCCATGCTACTGAGCAGAGAGAGTATGTATTCTTCGAATTGCATGCGGATCGCGTCTTCGGACCCTGCGTAGCCCATGTTTCTCGGCCTACTCGGATTGTCTGGATCCCATGTATCCAGAACGGTCTGTGTGAGGTAGTCGATCCAACGACGATCCGCGGCACTTAGGGCAAGCGCGGCGCGCAAAGAAGGAGAAGTAATTGTCATAGAGTTTGATTCGTCGAGGTTGATGAGAATGTCGCTGTATTTTTCCTTTTGCTGGAGGAGGAGGCTGTTGGTGGAGCCGACAACATAGGATTTCGTGTCATAGTCGGCGAGGATGTCGAGTTGTTGGAGAGGAGTGTACGGGCCAAATATTGAACCCTACGTAATCGAGCAAGGCAGAGAGTCAGTCAACTTGTGCGAAGAGATGAGGCTGAAGGCCCGGCGAAGATATCATGTACGCTCCTCCGCAGCCTTACCTTTCCGAATATTTGCAACGGCAAGCCCATGAATGCTAATACTGCAGCCCATATCAGCGGCTTTCTTTGATCGTAAATAGCGGGTTCATGAATCGATCAACATACATGAACCTCTATCGCCTGTCCTTAAGCTCGTCGCCTTCTGCGCGCTCTGCGCGTACGTATCTAGGCTCGGGTCTGCTGCGTCTTGCAAGTTTGCAATGAGTCCAGGAATGAGCGATATCAAGGCGAACTGCATCATGCACAGCCTTTCACACTTGGAGCCGAAGAAGAGCATCTGTAACAGAAAGCACAAAGTGTGAGACCAATGGACAGTGAACAGTTGAATAGTCGATAAGATTTCTGGTCAAGGGGGGTAGATGGGGAATTGTATCAAGGTAGCAGAAATCTCACCTTCCGTTGTAGTAAAAGGCATTTGACCAGCGCCAAAGTCTGGTGTCTAAACTCATAGATCAGTTCTCGAAGAGAGAGACCTGTAAACATCCCAATGTCAGCTCCGAATTAAACGAAGCCTCGAGTCCATGCTGTTGCGTCGTCCATGAGGGAGTCATCCGATGTCACAAGCCACTGGAACACGACACGGCGCAAGGTCCAGCACGTACCAAAATGATGATCCTTCCCATCCTCGTGCGTGGGCGAAACTCTGACTAGACTCTCTTGAAATTCCTGCATAGCCAGACGATCAGCATTCTTTTCCCTCACCCGAAAGTTAGACGGCCAGCGCGTACGGCACTTACCCACCTTCAAAATCGAGATATCCGAAAAATCTCTATCGCACAAGTCAGCCTCTCTCAACCCTCTGACGCACCACCTACACCGCTCCCCGATGGCCGGGTAACGACAGGCTGTTGCACCCTCCATGAGGAGTTCCGACTTACTCCTGCGCAAACCAGGCTGCCGTGACGATCCCCAGTCTTTCTCTCAATTCTCCCATGCCCCTCGCTGTGGGCGAGATGACGACAACGGCCTTCTGGACAGTCGACCGCGTCACGTCCACGGAGCGCCGCTTGAGTTTCTCCGTCCGGATCTGTCGCGTGCAGGAGATCCCGAAAAGACTCGTGGCGGCGCTCGTCACTGCAGCCGCACCGGGCGGACTCGCCTCAGAGCTTGATGCCGTTTCGACGGGGCCTGAGTCTGGACTGCGATTGTCGAGCAGCGTAAAATAACTGAACTCCTCTGCCATAGCGTGAGCCCCGTCTGACAGCGCCATGAACGGCAACAACGACCAGTCGTTGAGTTTATAGAGGTTCTGGCCATCGCTTTGTATCCAGAACTCGACCTCTGGACCACTTTACTCATCTGTCCGTCAGCGATTGGAAGTAATATCTCTATTCCGTAGTGTGCAGTTGGTCGGGAAATGTACTAATTGAAGCGGGACAAGAGAAGGAAGCGTACCGAGCGTGGTGGAAGTCGACAACCGCAACCTGAGGCGAAATTGTTGTCATGTTGGGGTTGAAATCAGACTTGTATGCATCTCAAGAGCAGGAAAAGTCAAGAGTTGATGGAATTGACCACGCCTCTTAGAGGTGCAGAGGAAATACGCCTCGGATTAGGTGGTAGACATGCAGGAAATAACAAGGATCCTCGCTTCCGTCGAGGAATGAATCCGAACAATGGAGTCTACACCGGTTTCCGGATTTTAGTTACTCCGATCAAACGGATCCCGCGCTTGGCAACGCCTCTGGGCTCTTCGAGATAGTATCGACGGCTGAATCCTTCTATCACAACGTTGCTTGTCTTCATTAGGTGCTCGAGAGTCATAACGATATTTCACTAAGGTCATCATAAATCTCCTTGCTTCTATCTTCCACCCTCCTGCTCTGGGTGAAATCCCGAAGTGCCATCTCAAACGGTTGATTTTGCTTTATCCATTCTTTTCCCGCGATCCCAGGTTTCAAAGAGGTTTCGGTCCGATGCCTTGATAAGGAGTATGCACTGCTTGTCTTGATTACCGATCTTGTATCTAAAGAACGAACAACCCCAAAGTCCCTCCCCTCTGTCTAGGTGTCAAGGCCAGTTCGTTCTCTAACCTCTTTCTCATCCTTGACATCGAGAGGTTCAATATTCCAGATCGTATCGGCATACTCGTTGATGCAGCGGTCTAGACACCAGATTAGCGTACCGTCAAGAATGGCATGGAGAACAGCGCAGGCTAGGCGTACCCGATGTGAAGAACCCCATTCTAGCCACACTCATAATCGACTTGGTAACCCAAGAGTTCTGGTCTTTGTATGCCTCGTCGATCATATCTTGAGTCTGGCAATAGCTGTTGAAGTCATCGCTCACTACACAATCACTTCATCAGCCTATGATCAGTTATTCAAACTCAAAGCGCGTCTTACCAAGATAATAATCGCCGTGCTCTGTAATGGCACTGACGAGGGCGCCAAACGCGGCCTCGTCACCGAAAGTGCCCGCCTTGATGCAGTCAAATACTTTCAGGAGCTCGGGATTGACCTGATAATTGCCGTAGAAGTGGTGGTGTCGCAAATCCTCCACGTCTTCGGACAGATTGCCAAACAAGAAGATGTTTTGTTCTCCAATTTCGCGGGTGATCTCAATGTTGGCCCCATCGAGAGTGCCAATGATCAAACCGCCATTCAGCACAAATTTCATGTTGCTGGTGCCCGAGGCCTCGGTACCAGCAGTGGAGATATGTTCACTGATGTCCGAAGCTGGGATAATGATCTCTGCCTTGCTGACGTTGTAGTCTGCCACAAAGACCACTTTGAGCAGGTCGCCGACGTCCGGATCGTTGTTGACCACCTCTCCGACCTTGTTGATCAGGTGAATGATGGTCTTGGCCATCCAGTAGCCTGGAGCGGCCTTGCCACCAAAGATGGACACTTTAGGTGAAACCTTCTTGCGCTCCTCAGGAGTCATGGCCTTGATCGCCAGATATCGATGGATCACACCGAAAACGTTGAGTTGCTGACGTTTGTACTCATGGATACGCTTGACTTGGATGTCAAAGAGGGCTTTGGGGTTGACGCTGACTCCTGTGGTCTTCAGGATATGTTGGGCAAGTCGGACCTTGTTGGCGTACTTGATCTCCGCCCACTCCTTCTTGAACGCCTTATCCTCAGCGAAAGGCTCCAACTTGTTGAGCAGGGTCAAGTCTTTCAGGAATTCATAGTTTCCGATCTTTGAAGCAATGAGTTCGGAAAGACGTGGATTCGCCTGGTGCAGCCATCGTCGCGGAGTGATGCCGTTGGTGACATTGGTGAATTTGTCCGGGCCATAGACTTTGACAAAGTCCTTGAAGATGGTCGTCTTGATCAAATCGGAGTGGAGCTCAGCCACACCATTGACCTTGTGGGAGCCAACAATTGCCAGGTAGGCCATCCGGACCATCTTGGGCTGTGACTCTTCAATAATGGAGACTCGGGCCAACATATCGCGGTCTTTCGGAAAGCGGCGCTCGACAGATTGCAGGAAATAGAGATTAATTTCGTAAATAATCTGAAGATGCCGAGGGAGGAGGTTCTGGATAAGTGGCACAGACCACTTCTCCAATGCTTCCGGCAAGACAGTGTGGTTGGTATAGCCAAACGTCTTGGTGACAATGTTCCAGGCGGTGTCCCATTCAAGCCCTTCCATGTCGATCAGGATTCGCTGCAACTCGACAACGGCAAGCGTTGGATGCGTGTCGTTTAGCTGAATGGCGACTTGGTCGGGGAATTCAGACCACTCGCGCTTGGATTTCTTGAATCTGCGGACAATATCATGTAAAGACGCCGCACACCAGAAGTATTGTTGCTTCAAGCGGAGCTCCTTGCCCCTTTCAAGGTTGTCATTCGGGTACAAGACAGCCGAAATCGTTTCGGCACGCTGCTCGTCGGCCACGGCACTCTCGTACTCGCCCGAGTTGAATTTGGAGAAGTCGAACTCGCCACTTGAGGCCTTGCTAGACCAAAGACGCAGGTTATTCACGGTCGGGGTTCCGTAGCCCGGGACAGGCACATCGTAAGCAGTCGCTGTGACGACCTCGCCGTCCTGCCAAGACACAATCTGTTTGCCTTCCTCGTCTGTGAACTTGTTGACCCAGCCATAGAACTGCACATCGACGGTAACATCGTGTCTGGGGAACTCCCAAGGGTTGAAATCGAGCCAATAATCCGGAATTTCAACTTGATATCCATTCTCAATCTCTTGCTTGAAAATGCCGTACCGGTATCGAAGGCCGTAACCCCAAGCTGCGTAGTTCAAGGAGGCCATGCTGTCGAGGAAACATGCAGCAAGTCGACCGAGACCTCCGTTGCCCAAGGCCGCGTCGTGCTCCTGTTCGATGATGTCCTCAATGCGGAATCCCAGATCTGCGAGACCCTCTATTGCCGACGTTAGTGTGCGCAACGTGGCAGCGTGGCGTATGACCTACCTTTGGCCACCTCTTTCAATCCAACGTTGAGCATTGCGTTGTCCAGTGCTCTGCCCATCAAGAATTCGAGGGAGAGATCTTCCAGGGTTGTTAGTAACCACACTTTTATCACGGCGTTCCTACATTCCTAGAACTCACAGTAGATTCTCTTCTGATCGGCAAATGTCTGTCTCTGCTGAGTCTTGTTCCAATCAATGATCAGGCGGTTCCGAAAGGCCAACGCAGTCCCGGAGTATGCTGCCCTGTGTGACGGTCAATGTGAGGAGTCGTGTGTGCAAACAGAGCGGCAAAACGTACAGCTCGTCGCAGTTGAAGAGGGATCTCGCCAGTGTGGTCTCGATTTGCTTGACACATTCTGCCTATTGAGAGACCGTCAAGCCATGTTTCCTCGCCCAGAGAAGTGTCAACCACTGACCTCAAATTCTTCCTTGCTCGTGAAAGGGCGCGGGGACTGTCCAAGTTTTGCGTTAGAAAAGATCACCGGCTTCGGGAGACGGAGGCTTGGGGCTTTACAAATTTTCTCCAGCTGTTGTTGGAAAGAACTGGTCAGCGTGTCCATTAATATGGCATTGGAGAGCCACTACTCACGCCTCGCGCATGTGCTCTGGAATGCTCGACTCCACGGCCTTGATGTCACCAGCTCCGAAGCCTGTGGCAGTCCTCTTATGCTTGGGTCGAGTGAACCCAGGGCCGACAGGGCCTAACAAGGTCGAAATGGGAGCACCCGTCGAGGGTTTACGCTCCCGTGAGGACCCAGATTGGGCAGTGGTGGCTGCGGCGGCCATCTTGTCGGCGGTGTGGTACTAGACTGCACGAGCAACCCAAAGAGAGCACAGAGAGATACGAATAATATGAAGGAAAGAAAGTCAATAGCTTGAGAAGTTGAAATGAGCTGCGTGGGGGAAGGAGGTGAGGGCGGGTGAGAATAGTAAGGGAGAATGTGAGGAACGGAGGGGCAGGCAAAAGACGTGGTATAGCTCCAGAGCACAGGAAGGAAGGGAGGGGAGCTGGATCGATTGAAAAGCCAATCGAGATGCCTTTCCTCTTTGGCCTTGCTTTGGCGGTATGCTCATTCATTTCCGTCATTGCAAAGACAGTACCTGTGATGACTGGTATGCATAGCCGGCTCCAACCTATCAACGGGCCATTTCTTACCCAGCTCCATCATTCAGCATTCGCTATGCATTAGTGTGCAGCCAGCAACGGCAGGCCTTGTATCGGCTTGGAAGTTGGAACAGACCATGGATCTTTCTATCCACTGCAGTCTCGCATAGAGGCATCGTCGATCACCAACGGTACCAAAGTTGAAAAATATACTCCTTGAATAGGCGGTGAGCCATTATCAAAGAGAATTGCACTGCTTCCAGGCCGACTGCATGGGCCTCATTCAAGATGGACGCGCCTCAGATGCTCTACCCCGCCTTGAGAGCTGCCCTGTACCCATGTGTTGTAGGTAGCTAGAGCTCTGGCTACTAGGCTCCGCGCCGAGGAGGGCTGTGGGGGGCTGTGGGTAAGCAGTTCTGCATGTGCAACGAGAGAGTGGCGAGGTTTCTGTGGCTACACCAGACCTTCAGTCATGGCTCCATTGGGCACTAAGTCTGAAATCGCGGATATTGATCGAGAGCTGCTATTTCTACTCCGTACGCCGGCCTACTTCCACCGTCGGGAAAGGCTATGAGAAACCAAGCGCGAGGAGAACAGAGGTGGACGAAGCTGCTTCCAGAGCAACCCAGATGGCACGGGGTTCGGAATACGAGAACTCGCTACGCACCTCTAGGTATTGACACAACGAGGATATGGAGACCTGGTAATTATGGTTCTCTTTCCGCCACCTTGGCTTGCTTCACCTCCACACCAGCTGCAGTCCTAAACCATCCTAGGTAGGTCGGCGAGGTCACTCCATTGGACCTTGTTACCACCCACCTGGCGCCCGTCGAGTAGGAAAGCCGCCTGGAAGCTTGGGTGCGAGGGGGCGCCGTTGCCAATCGAACTGCTGCCCTTCAACCGCTCAAAGGCGTCAAGCTCTGAAAATGTGCCGCTGTTCCAAGCCCCGGTCAACATTCTTCC